GGTGAAAATTTTGATCTTATCATCATCATATATTTTAATCAGTTTCATATCAAAACAATGATTGTGAACTTTGAAGTTATTGAACACTCAAAACTCAATTATGGCTTGAATTTCCGAAAATCTGGGGAAATGATTATGTCATCAATGTCAATTTAATTTTAAAATAAACAAGTAAAAATTAAAGAAAAATTGACTAATATACATTAAAATAAAGCATTTTTTCAATGGCGTATCTTCTAATATTACTTTAAACGTGATATCTTGAGTTTGAAATTCTGATAATTTTTGAAGTTTTCAATTCTAAAGTAAATTTAAAATTATTGATATTAATCTTTTTCCTGAAATGTAAAATTTTCAGAATTTGAACGTTTCAAAAGCCATTAATAATTAGTATTACTAAATACCGTAGAGTTGAATAAAGAAAATTAAATAATAAAATACATATATTTTCTTACGAAATCTCAAAGATATATACATTTTTAAAAATTTGTAAAATGTCATTTTCCTTAGATTTGTTTTTCACCGAGATTACATAATATTGAATATTATCTCCGGAACATCAAGTTTATACGTAATTAGTGTATATCAATTTACCAGTGTTCAACTACAAGTAATAATGTAGTAATCAATAAAATATAATATAATATTTGACAACATATATCTTTATAACAACATCAATAATATGTTTTATTTAATAATAGCAAAATTAGGTATATATAACCAATGAACCTTCAATTGAAGGTAGTACTAAATTGATACAAGTAATAGAATTCCTAAACCAAAGATAAAATCAGTTAAATCAATTTTCCAAGATAATTTATTACCATTATTTGAATAATCAACATTTTTACGTTTACTATCATTATCTTCAATGATTGAAATTTCTTCATCAATAATTTCACCTTCTTGATCAAATTTAATAGTTTGTTGTTTTGAACCAGCTGTACAAACAATATTACCACCTCTAATGATTGAAGCTCCAACAGAATCATCTGTTGAACCACCATGAATCCATTTAGAACAATCTAATCCATCAGATTTACTATTAATAATTGCACTACCTTTAACTAATTTTAATTTATTAAATGAAGCTTCTTTAAAATCACCTAAAAATTCAATTGCACCACCAATAACATTTAATTTAGGGAAAAAATTAATTTTACCAACTTGAGTATTATTAACAATTTTCAAACCACCACCAATTTCTGAAACATTTGGAAATTCAATTTCTTTTAAATTATAATTTTCAATAAGACTTAAAGTACCACCAACACTTGATAATTTTGGTAATTTAAAAGCTTGGAAATTATTATCAATAACTTCTAATGAACTATTAACTTTTTCAATAGCATCTAAATTAATTGATGAAACATCTTTAATTGTAACATTATTTGCCCATTCTAAATGTGGGAATGAAACTAAAATGTTTTTTGCATTTGCACTAACACTTAATTGTTGTTTAACACCTTTTAAATTTAAATTAATACTTTCTAAAAATCTATTGTTATTTAAATTTAAAATATCAAGATATTCAACATTAAAACCTGCAAATCCAATTAATGAAGTATCTGAAATAATAATACTACTAATTTTTTCAACATTATCACCAAAACTAACAGTACTTAAAATTGGTAAAACATTCCAACGAATTGAACCAATTTGTGTTAAACGAGGTAAATTTAATGAAGTTAAACTTGTTAATTCTTTTAAAACAAATTCACCACCAACTTTTCTTAATTTTGGAGTATCAACTCTAACTAAATTAGTTGCATTAACAACAACAAAATCACCAGAAATGGTTTTAATATCACCAGTATCAATAGTTGGTTGTTGATAGTTTGAAATGATTAAAGATCCAATGATATCATCACATTCATATAATTGTTCTAATTGAGCACTTGAAGAAATAACATATTCACCTTTGGAACACAGAGTTGGAATATCATCATTTGAATCATCATTAGAACTTGAACTTTCATCATCTTCTAGAACATGGATTATTGTTAGTCATTAAGAACTCATTACCAAAGCAAAGCAAAGGATCAAAACATCAAAAAAAGGTATCATAAATTACCTTCTAAAGGATTTAATTCCAATTGATTTGAATCATTTGAGTCTGGTAAAACAGCGGCGAAAACAGCACTTAAAACGAATGAACTTTGTAAAATTGTAAAAATCTTCATCGTTCCTGCTTGTGATCCTTTTTGATTATCACCATCAAGAACATTTCAAAAATCATTTCGAATATCACACGATTTAAAAGCATTTCCATAATTTGATTTTGTGTCTTTGTGTTTTTTTGATGGAAATGTTTAAATTTTTGTGGCACAAAATCAAATTTATTATTTAACCAATTTAACCGGGAAAATGTCAGACCAATAAACTACAAAATTTACAAATCTTGAATTTTAATAAGGAAAATAAAGGACATTAATTTATAAAAATAGTATATATATAATTCATAAGAGTGCACTATCGGATCCAGAACGACCTCTTAAACGACACATTCTTAACCAAATTTCTTCAGCTAAAGCTTCTGATAATCCTGGTTGAGTCTTTTCAGCTTGTAAAAACAGTTTACCTAATGTTGAAACAGTCTCTTTGGTTTCATATGTTTTAGCTCTATGATGAACCCTTCTAAAACAATGTAAAATAACATCATTAATATGATCAATTTTTTGGATTCCACTATCATAATCCATTTCTTCATCATCATACATTGTTAATGATGTTGTATCAACTCTACTAGGATCATTGTGATGATGATGTTGATATTGTTGTTTATGAATAATTGCAGTTTCATTCTCAATGTTGTCCATTTCTTCATCATTAACATAACCATCAGAAGGTGTCAATGGTTCATTTTCATTTTCAGTCTCATTTTCATTTTCATCATAATCATCATAATCTTCATCATCAGTCTCTGGTGATGTTAAATCAGTATTGGAAGATCCAAAATATGTATTTGGACTTATATCTTCTGGTGAAGTAGAGTTATCTGATATTAAAGCACCTGAATTAACCATTTCTGTTATATAAGAATCTTTTTCCAACAATTCTTTATAAATGTTTTCAATATTTGATTTGTATTCATTGGTATTAAAAGGATATTTTCTTTTCCTATTATTTGGATTTGATAATGGTGAAGAATTCGCAAGATGTTTAGCTTGACGAGGTAATGTTTTGGTAAAATTCCATCTAAAACTTGCTTCACTCTTAGTATATAATTTCTTATCAATATCATATCTTGGTTTTTTAGCATTTGGTTTATTTAATTTCATCCATTCATCTTTTTCTTGAATTAATGGAACCAAATTTTGATATCTTCTAACTTGTCTAATAAATCTTGTTTTCAACAATAAAGAAGCTGAAGGTCTTTTACTTGGATTTTTAAGTAAACAAAATCTAATGAATTCCTTTAAACCATCACTATATCTTGAACCAGTAAGGACAGGAGGTGGATTTTTAGGAATTTCAAATAATATCTTCATTGGTTCTTCATGAGAATGAGGTGGTGTACCTTTTAATAATTCAATTGCAGTGATTCCTAAAGACCAAATATCAACTTTTTCATCATAACCTCTTTTTCTAGTAATAATTTCAGGTGCCATCCAAAATGGAGTACCAACAAATGTATCTTTTCTAACTTGTGTTGCAGTAATTTGACCAGAAACACCAAAATCAGCCAATTTAACTTGACCATCTGAAGTTAACAAGATATTAGCAGCTTTAATATCTCTATGAATTTTCCTTTCAGAATGTAAATATTCTAAACCTTTTAAAGTTTCTTTAATTACAAACCCAACAACATCTTCACTTAAAGATCTATGACATTTTAATAAATCAGCACATGAACCACCACCACAATATTCCATTACAATCCACATATTAACATCTTTAACATAAGCTTGATAATAATTTGTAATATGATCTGATCTTAATTGTGATAAAAATGAAATTTCTTGAACTAATACATCAATTTCATCATCTGTTTCTTCAAGATTAACAACTTTAATGGCAACAACTTTAGAGGTCTTTTTCTCATTGCTTTTGAAATGATTTGTTAGCATAAAAGCTCACATATAAAAGCCCAAACAAGTAAAGGTATCAAAGTTTACGCTTTATAAACATCACCAAAATTTCCTCTCCCAACACACTCTAAAACATCATATAATTCCAAAGGATCAGTAACACCATCCATCTTGTCTTATGAAATATTGTAATTAGTATAATATATTAATATAGAATTGAAAAACTAGCTTTAAATTTAATCTTAATGTGGCAAAAATTTATTGTAAAGAAACAACGCTATAATCTATAATCAAAGTTAGTAGTAAAAATGAAAAAAAATCTAGCAGAATAGCAGATTTGGTTGAATAATCTTTCAAATGATAAGCAAGCAGAGCCACAGTGCAAGAGATAAAAGTTAGATAGTTTGTAAAACAAATTGAAGATTCTAGTTTTGATAGATTTTTGGTAATTTGATAGTATTGATTTTTGTATGCCTCCATAGTTTTTTTTAGTGACATCTTTCGGAATTTTAAATTTTTTGTGTACAGAAACCACAAAGATGGAAATACAAAAATGACTGAGGTACTACAAACTAAAAGATATAAGAAAATATTAAATAAATCATCATGGTCATTAAAAAAATTCTATTAAATTGTCATTGAGGGGGGAATATTGTAGGAAATGGTTTATTTGAAAAACTTTAGTTTACTTGCTCTATTAGTTCTATCTTTCTTTTGTGGTTCATTACTTTCTTTAGTTTTGGAATTTTCTTTAGATCTTTCCCTTTCTTTATTCTTTTCTTTATCTTTCTTTTCATCATTCTTCCCATTAGGTTTATTATCTATATCTTTTCTTTTTTCATTTGTTAAATTTTTTAAACTCAAACTTTTCCTTATTGATTTTGATCTTGAATGTTGTGATATACCATTTGTAATGATTCCATTACCATTACTACCAAATCCATTTGAATTTTGATGAGCTCTAGAATCAAATGATTGTCTTTTAGGTTGGAATGTAGTTGGTTTAGGATAATATTGATCAATTTTTTCAGCCCAAAATTGTTTTTGTCTTGGTCCTAAAGGTAAATTTGTTGATACTCTATCACTAAAAGGTGTATTATTTAAAATTAAAATTGTTGCAACATCAAATATGGGATTTTCAATTGTTCCATGGAAATGTGTTAATGCATATTCAAATAATGATAATTCTAATTGAACAGGTCCAACTTTCTTTAGGACAACCATATTATTATTTGCACCTAATGCTAAAGATTTTAAAATTAATGGAATATTTGCAGTATGAACACCTTTAACTAATGATTCATTTGGTTTAAAACTTGATTCTTTTGAAATGAATTTTTTATTTTGATATTTATTTATAATAAATGATTTACGTTCTTCAATTGAACAAATTGGTGTAATTTTTGTTTTTAAAGTAACTTCAGCTTCCCAATAAGAATTTGCAAAACCATTAGCAACATGATATAATAATTCAATAGATTCTCTTGATTCAAATGCTTTAATATCTAATGTTAAAGATCTAATTTTAGAAATATGTGTACCTAAAGATCTATGAATCCCTGAACAATCAATACACATAACCATTAATAAATTTATTGAAATCCAATCAACAGATTTAGTTGAACCACAATCACAACAAATTAAATTACTTTGATCAATATTTCTTACAATACCTAAAGGTGAATTACCTGGAATATTTAAAGGAGGATCAACATTTGGAGTATATGATGATTTTCTATTCATTGAATTTGATTTTCTCTTTATAGAATTTGAATTTCTTAAAATTAAATCATCTTGAGATCTTTTAGGATTTGAATTATTTCTTGAAATTTGATGTTGTTGTTGTTGATTAGATCCATGAATTGGTTGATTACCATATGAAGATACAATTGATGTAACACTATCTTTTGATATTGGTTTTGGTCTTTCATGTAATGTGATTGAGGAATTATTTGTACTTGATGATGTATGTGGTGGTGCATTATTGGTATTATGTGTTGGATCAGGTTTTAAAATTGAAATTAATTCATCAATTGATTTTATAGATTGTAATTTCCCTTTAAATAAATTTTGTTCAATTTTATAATTATTGAAATTACTATAATAATCTAAAGCTTTTGTTATATGTAATTCAACATTTGAATTTGATGGTTTTTTATTAAAATCTTGTTGTAAAAAAACAGCTAAATTATGAATTAAATTTCTAATTAAATAACCATTTCTAAATTCATTTAAATAATTAAAATAATTTAATCTATTAAGTTCAAATTGTATTCTCTTGTTTAAAGATTCTTCATTATTATAATTTTCATCATTTGAAGAATTTTCAATTTCCCAATTTTTAAATTCTTTTAATTGATCATTATATAATTTTTTCTTGTTTTGTAATAATTTAAAATCTGAATTATAAAAAAGTAGGAAAGGTGTTGTAATGTTTTTCATAATTAAATTTGCATTTTCAATATTTTCTGTTGATTTTTCAGTAAAGATTGGAATTAAATCATTAATTATATCTTTTAATATAGTTCCATTTATATTTGATGAATAATTATTTAAATCTGAAAGGGATGAAGATAAATTTGATCTTGTTATAGCTAAATTTCTTTCAGATTCTTCTAAAGCTTGAGATTTTTTTATAATATTCTTCATTAAAGATTTAAAATTTATTAAATTTTCTTCAATTTCAAATAATTTATTTCTAAATGTTATACCATCAATCATAAATTCATATTGTGGATCTTTTAAATTAATTAAATCAGTTTTTGGTTGATTACTATTTTGTGAATGTAAACTTTCTAAATCAGTTTTATTATAATCTTCTTTAATTTTGGGTATTGAACCAGATTCACTAATTTTCCGTTCTTTATTTAATTGCATATTAACATCATCTAAATAAACTATAGTTTTGAAAATTTCTTCATTATTACCCAAGATTGTAATATATAATTTCCCAATAAATCCTTGTAATTTATCAAAATCAATCTTTATGTCAAAAAAATTATCAATAGGATTTATAATTATTTGATTTGAATCATTTTTGGAATGAATATTAGGATTTAATGATTTTTCTTTTAATTCAACAACTCTTGATAATATTTCATCAACTAATATCTTGGAATCATTGGCATTTTGTATAACAATTTTTAAATTATTAAAAATTGTAAAATGTTTCATATTTTGCATAGTTTTAAAATCATCTAATAAATCCAAAGATAAACCAAAAGTTAATTGAACTTGATCTTTATTATTTAATTTCAATAAGAATGGCCATTCATCAGATTTAACATTTTGAACAAATTCTGATAATGGAGTTTTGGGCATTAAGAATGAACCATTTGAACCATCAATAGCAAATATCTTGTTCAAAAAGGATATTTTCTTTAGTATTAATCCATTTGATAATAGCAGTGGAGCTTGATTGTGATTTTTATCCAAACTACCAACTTGACCCATACTGAATACTCATAATATTGAACCTTTTGGGAATGTAAACACAGCGGCTTTGATCAAATAGACGTACGAAAGAACCAAATTATAAGCGCTCTATAGGAAATAATGATTAGCTTGAACTCTGCTTAGCTTCTTTAGCACCTTTCTTTGTATTCACCAGCAACTTGATACCCCTTGATAACCCTGATCTCTTCCTTCTTAACAATAGAATTTGATGTTTTTTTTAAATCAAGTTTAAATTTCCAGTGCAAATCTACAAGAATGATTTTTTTCAAGAATCCAGATTGTTTTATGCAGCTTTCAATTACCTAATAAACAGGAATTTAGAACAAAAGGTTAAGTATCAGATTATTATGTGAAGATCCCTTGTATTTATAAGATACTAATCACCATAGTCTATTAATAACCTGGTGTGATATCATGATGAAATGTTGAGACTAATTATAATTTAATAAATGGTATAGCTTTAAGCGAGTCTGGATTTGAAATCGATATGCACATTTTAATCTGAAAGATTTAATCGGCATTCAACACAGATTCGAAGGTGATATGGTAGTACTAGACTACGTATACTACCTATAAGTATCAACTATTGATGATGAATCCAACAATAGATTATCTAGGTATCCTTTATATACCTGATAACGCGAGATGATTAACTTAATTTAGACAGCTCGAGTGTACTGCCGTTGTATTCTAGACACTTGATAGCTATGCAAGGGGTCAAAGTCAAATAATAAAATAAACACCAAAGTAAAGACTGAAGATTGGCTGGCTGAACACTTAAACACAAATCAAACTAGTAACTAGTCGTTTAACATTCAACAATAAAGCTAAACTAGAACTAATGTACCATTACATTTATATAATTACATTTAACTTACTAGTTGTCTATGAGTTTATAGCTTGAACCTTTTTACTTTATACTAGTCAAATATTTGAAACAATTCACACTTTTGCACAAACTTATGAAATTTGCACACGAGTTAAGTCACTGCCCCAAGGCAGTAATTCCTATTATGGAATTTACAAGCTATTTCTCGCCAAAGTGCGCAAAAGTTTCATTACAAATATCCATTTTTGTAGTGTTTCACTTTCTTATTTTATTTTTCGCAAAATTGTTTCTAATTTTAAATTCTCACGGTTTTTTTCCTTCCATCACCATTTTTTGTTTTGAGGAGTCAAAGTCGAGGCTTTTTAAAGCTTTTGTTTCAAAGGCCCTTTCAACTCTAAAAAGGAAAAAAAAAATAGCAAACAAGTCGAAAAAAATAAAATATTTAGATCTAAATAAACGTCGAATTTGAACCATAAATTCAATTCGATCATTTAATACCACGTACTGTATAAAAAAGTAACGTTTAAAACAATAAGATTTGTGCCTTGGATATCTAATTAATATACTGTTTATAGCAATTCAAAAGGAATTTTTGAAACGTAAAGATGTTGGACCCTCATCAATCTAAAAACCTTAGATCTATAGATTAACATTCTTGCTTATATCCACCTTAGATTAACTGATGAGCAGATTTATACCCATAAAGTGTATAACTATATAACCTAGATATAGAAACTAGATAGTAATATTCATACAAAGTAGTAAGACTATTATGAATCGAAATGTTACAAAGTTTTCAAATTAAAGAAATATTATATCTATTAAGTAGAGCCTGCTGAAAAATAAATACAATACTCAAAAGACACTGATTAAAAAAACATATAAAAATACATCTATAATAAAGAGCAAGTTTGGTTTAAAATTATTATAAATTTTTGCCACCTATATTAAAAAAAGCAACAAATAAATTATAAAAATTATTAAAAAATTAAAATTAAAATGGAATATTAATACCTATTCCATATGGTATATGAGTTTGGAAATCCTCTAAAAAAATAATATAATAGTCCTGAACTGTTGTATAATAAAATGAAAAAACTGAGATAATGCTAATTTATAATAATAAAAGTTTTGATTTTTTGTAAATTGTTTTAATAATAAACCTTGTTTCAAACTTCTTAGAATAAGAAAGCAACACCAGCAGCAACAGCAGCACCAAAGACACCAGCACCCATAGCGTTTGAAGCAGCACCGGCAGTTGAGACTGATGATGAACCGTTAGTACCGTTGGTACCGTTAACACCAGTTGAGTTTGATGAAGCATTTTGAGCTGAAACGATAGCAGCTGAAGCTAAAGCGACGACGACAGATTTGAATTGCATTTTTGAATTGATGTCTATAATTTATTAAATGTAGATAAAGAAAGGAAGAAAAAAATTGAAAGGAGAAAGAAAAGGAAATATAGGATTTGAATTTCAATTTATATAATTTTTCCAGTCATAATAAAATTTGAGAAGTTTTTTTTTGAGAAAGAATGTTTTAAAAAACAGGAAAAAAACTCGCATAATTTTGCATACATACAGTTTTTTTTTTAAATTTTTGCATTCAATCACGCTAAATTTCAAAATTCAGTGGCAAAAACTCTCTTAAATTACCGGATTAGGAAATGATAAAGACTGCATTTGGCATTTTTCCTAGTTAAATTTTATGAGAATGTCAAAAAATTTACTTGAGAAATGCCAGCCATGCCCCAGTTTGAGAATGAATTGTGGGTCAAATTTTCATGAGAAGAAAAGTAGTCATACTCAAATCAGAAGAATCTTTGGTATGTTGGTATAAAGAATGTTTAAGATATATAGTGAATATCAATCTTTAATTAGATCTTGTGTTGTCAATCATGGGTCCCTTTCTTTTACAATTGTCTTACAAGATTGTGTGTTAAAGTATAGGTACTGGTCACAATTATCCGGAACTGCCCAGTGCCTGTTTTAAGAGAACAAAGAGATCTTTAATCTCTCCCTAGCAATTTTTAAACTTCTCTGCCTAAACCCTTATTTCTTCTCACCCTCACAGCCCGTGCTCTCCGTGGGCTCCGTGCGTGGCCCTTATTTCATTTTTTACCAATTCCATCATCCATGGGCTCATCTCTCGAAACTTTAAAAGCCTGGCCAGAAAACTTTAATGGTTTCTTTTTTTTTCTCTCAGTAATTTTTCAAATTACCGCGTCGAAGGTACGTGAAAAAACACAGCCAGCTATATACTGAATAAGGAAATTTGAGAAAATACATTAAACAGCTAGTAAAGCAATAGTAGCCTGAGTCAAGTACATATATTTTTAGTTTGTTGATTAACAAGTTAAGTACAACATTCTATAGATAATTAAAAGAAAATAAAGCTTTGAACCACATTTATAGATCTCTTAGATCTAACTTGAACTTACTTCAAATAGCAAACTTTGTACCAAACTTTAAACATCGAATCCCATGAAATTTCAAATTGGATGAACTTTTGAGATCTCTCACAAATTATTCTTATCAGTAAAATTAAGTACGGTGAAAACTTCATTACACATAGTGACGTTTTTTCATTTGGTATGCTAAACTTCTTAGATACGCACCACTTCTGATAAATTACAACTTACAACTAGGTAGTATAGGGTAGGGTACAAGTTAGACACCTGACGGTGTTAAATCTACTTTGGTATAATATGAAATTGATAGTAATTGGGTTTTAAAACTATATGATGTAAATCATTCTGGACTCTATAGATAAGTATCATAATTCTATAATTAATTAGCAAAAAGATGTAAAAGGGTGCTGAAAAAGGTGTGGATTCTTGTAATTGTGTAATAAATTCAGCGGTCGTAGGCGTCTTTGTATAACATGTAACAATGTATGATAGTTTCATATGGCATGGAAGCTCTTTGTGCGATATGCTTTGATGAATCGTACGTATAATGATAAATACTAATCCCATCATCCAAGATTATTATCTCACTTTGTTAATGGACCCTATCTAAAATGGTACCTTATATTTGAACAATATGAACTTCTACATGTTAGGTGATAGGCTGCATAGTTTAAAACAGTGAATCATGATTTAGAGTATTGAAAAATGGGTTAAATCATTCACTGCCTCCATACTCTATGTACTGGAAGCATGATACATATTACAAAGTCTAGATATGCCTAAAAATAAGTCAAGTTCACTTAGATTTATATGAAGAACATTATACACAACTATAAACCAATAAGATTGAGACATCAGTTTTTAATCTTATAGAACGTGTACTGTTTTATGATAATTACTGAACTTTATTTTGTTATTGCACTTATGTGTTGCATTTAATATGAAGAAATCTTGCATATACTAAACAAGAAATTAATCCTTCCCATGTTCCAGTTTCCAATACGCGAACTCCATATCATGGATTCATGATTCTTATGGCTCTTTAAAGTTCATGATTAGCAATAAAAAGCACGACCTTTCAGAATATTTAAGCACGTTTTATATTATTGCAACTTCTGATCTCTGAAATCATGTATTTAATTAATCTCGTACTGTTTGAAGTTCAAGAACTTGATTAACTTTGTGATTCTCTGTTGTTTCAAAAATTCAAAAATGGTTCCTGAATTTTTCATTTCAAGATCTACACTAATCTGTTTTGGGAAATGTAATTAGCGAACATCTTTTTCGTACTTTTTGATTGTTGAAACTAGTGTAGGGTAAATACCCTGGCACGCGCGCGCGGTTTAATAGGTGTACAAAGAGTTTAAAACTAGATGATGTTGTATTTTCGATATCTTCTTATTTAATTTAAGATTCAGGTTAATAGATTATACGCCTTTTCAATATCACGATGAAATCTTGATACGAATGTTTCTGTTTTTCCCTAAAATTCCATGGTAACTTTAAGCTTCCACAATTAATTTTGCACCACAAATTACGAAATAATTTTCAGCATTCGCGGATGAGGTAATCGATGACATATCAGACACATACTTAAGCTCCAGAATGTTACGTCAGCCTATAGTTAGCAATTTCATTACTATAGGATGTTTGCTAAATTTATACAACTTATAAAAAGTGCCACTCTACAATAAACAATTCATACTTTTAACATAGATTAGATATACAAATCATCGAAATATTATTAAAATCAATTACAAAATGCACGCTAAAGATTGGTTCCTAGTTGTTATTGCAATCATCTTACCACCAGTTCCAGTTTTCATTAAAAGAGGATTCTTTTCTGCTGATTGTATGTACCTTTTGAATCGATAAAAGATCTCCACATATCTAATTGACACATTTTACTAACCAATTGATCTTTATAGTCTGGATTAATATTTTGTTATTAGTTTTGGGTTTCATTCCTGGTTTATTACATGCTCTTTATATCATTAGTCAATACCCTTATGAAGAACATTCAACTTATGAAGGTCCAACCTATCCAGGCGTTAATTCTAATGGTAATTATGGATCTATTTGAAAATTGAACAACAACAAGTTTCATTTCAAATGAACAAAGAATATGGAAAAGTTTGAAGATGTTTTTGCTTAGCTCTTTTCAAAGTTGCATTTTTTTAATACCATTAGTTGAATGAGGTTTTCATTATTATTTACCTGTTTGAATATTCATCAATATTATATGACTGCTATGTTTTTTTTATTTAAATGTTATATGTGTTAATGTGATTATATGTATCACTATATTTGTGGGTGGTTTTTTGGTTCGTCATGGAATGTATTTATTTATTATCAAATATTGAACAAATTGATTGTATATTATTTTGAAATTATACATGATTTGATTTTTGAAATTTTGGGATGTAGATCAACAACTTTTGGAATCTTCAAATGATTGGAAAAGTTAGGTAACAAAAGAGACCTATCAATTGAAAATTGTTTAAAACAAAATAACTAGAAAAACTCTAGAAATCTCTTAAAAGTGAAAAGAAAATCATAGAATGAAATTATAAAACACAAAATCAATCAATTGATAATCTAATCTATAATAAAATTGAGTTGATCTGGGATAAAGAAAATAAAAATTTCGACTAATCTTCATATATAAGATATAAAACATATCTAGATAAAGATTAATAATGTCAAATTTTATTATCTTAAAGTTCAATCTTCGCATAAAGACACATTGAATCGATATATATGTTGAAAACTTCAACTGATTCGATCAACTTAAGACATGCGGTAACACAAGAGGAAGTCAAATATTACTACACATCCATTGTAGTAATAAACTATTTCTATAGTTAAATCAATCCTTCTTTTGTAGCCTCATTGATTTGTGATACTCTTTGATATTGTAAGAACAATGAACAAAAATCTTTTTCATATAAATTTTCTTTACATAATAGATTTCCGCGAATATTCATTCTTAGTAATTTCTTAGGTCAGAAATTTCTTGCAAAAAAATGCGAAAAATCTCTATAGTAACAAGCTCATCAACTACGTAAAAATGAACAACAACGTCAAGTAGCCACATGCTTCTTGAATCTTGACACCTTTTATATTAATATAGAACAACATAGTTTGACTCTCTAGTTAATGATTGATATCCTGTGTAAAAAGATTTATGCACTTCCAGAAATATTAATAGCTAATTGAAGTATCCCTATCTCTTATCTCATTTGTAGAACTGATTTCAATTCATCAGGGTAAAATTTTCAGGTAGAATTTCTAGAACCTTCCCCAAAGTGAAAATTGCACAAATTTGTGCTGGAGTTACCTTTTACGGTAATATTTGCGTAAAGTCATTTGGATAGGGGAGAAAACAGTGTGCTGGCAAAAACAGGGAATTTTTGTTGAAGGAAAAGTCGCCACTTTAAACTTTAAATAGACAAAAAGGAATGTTTTTGTAGCCCCAGAAAAAAACTAAATACATCATGAAATAGCGCTATGTTTGAACTATATAATATCCAAAAATTAGCTATTGTTTGCTATATCAATTACTGTGAAACTTAAGTTTGAAGTTTTGTCGAATTTCTTATCCCTTCACCACTTTCGCGAACTCCCAGCATTCTCCTAGCAACGTGTGCTTCCTTAACCAGACCCATGGGGTCACCCTCCTCTGTTGCTAAGGTTTTCAAACTCCTTTGGCCAATCAGAACGCGTATCGCTCCTGCATGTTCAAAATTTTTTGAAAATTTTCACAATTCATTTAAAGAAAACGAGTTTTTCTTCCATGAATTTTTTATTCTCATTTTACAAATTTCAGTTTTTCATAAACACTTCAGTTTTTTTTCAGTTTCACTCATAGAAACCGAATTATATTCATACAAATTTCGCAACATTCTAACCAAAGGGTGGCGATTTTCACACGAAATATAATCAAAAACACAAAAACATTTACACAAACACAACAAACAAGAAAACAAATCAAAGCGGATAATCATCTTGGTTGATCTAAAACAGTCTGGTACTATTTTTCATTGACTGTTATATTCCATTTGTCGTTTTTGGCTCATCATCTGTTGTGATTGAAATTCTTCTGACGCCTTCATTGCGCTGTTCAGTTGTATCCCCCCTATAAGTTTTATTGAATTTTTAAATTTCGCCGTTTTTTTTCGTGCCGGTTTCCTAATTTGGTAGTTTCGTTTTTCATTTGGCAAATATTTCCCAATATGGCAACTCCACTGCAAGAACGTCATGAAAATAATTCCAATACTACTCATGATTCTATCAAAAGTTCATTAAAACGCAGTAAGTCTTTTGGTTTACAAAGAGCTGGTGTTAGCTTTGCTCCAAACAAGAAATTATGTTTGTCACCAATGTTATCAAGAAGAAATTCTGCAACTATTGCTGCTTTATACAATGATTCCTCATCTTCTTCAGATGAAGATCAAGATGATTCTCAAGATGAATCTTGTTATGTGAATAATCAAAGAAGAGCAAGAAAGAGAGCTTTTAGCTTCAAACGTTCAGCCAGCTTTTCTGACAACAAGCTGAATCGTGCTGTTTCCAAATATAGTGATGATGATGAAGAAGATGTAACAAGTAATGTTGACGTTAAAGAAACTCGTGTTGATGAATCAATTGAAAAAAAAATAACAGCTATCATTTCACCACGCTTATCCCCAAAGCAAGAGCAAATTGAGATTGAACCAAGAAATATTCAATTGAGTTCTCCAGTTTCTAATGCCATTGTTGATTCTATTGAACCAACTCCATTTACAAAACATGGTCGTCATGATTCTTTTACAAATCAAAGCTTATCAGGTGAAGCTAAATCTAACATTAGAAGGTCTAGCTTTGATGGTGATCAAACTGCTAGAAGTCGTTGTTTTGAATATTTAGTTTCTGCAATTGATGAAGCATGGGCTCGTTATTGTGATGCTACAACTTATGCTGAAGATGAAGTTTTCCACAATGATAACAATAGTTATTTACCAAATACCCCAGCTTCTTTAGGCTTATCAGATAATGAAGATTTTGATGAAGACAAGAGAGAAATTTATGATGATTTAGAAGATGGTTATAAATCTGCTTCAACAAATATCACTGAATATGATAGTGATTTTGATTCCAAAAGAAGAGCTAGCACTCAACCAAGCAGTGTTAAATTACAACATTTAAAGGATCGTTTATTAAAAGCCAAGTATTATCTACAAGATTTTATTGAAAGTGATTCTGTTGATGAAGCATGTGCTTTTTGGAAACGTTGGGATCTTGTTAAATATGCAACTATTGAGTTAGTTGAAGATGATGACGATGATGAAATTATTGAATCAACTATTGAAGATCTTGAAAAAGGTCGTTTATATGGTTACTCATAAATCATGAAGATGAGAGAATTAAGGAGAGAGAGAGAAGAGACAGAGAGGAGAATCTTTGATACCAGTGTTTTAAGTCTTGTCAAGACTTCACATTTCACAAATTGTACTACTATGAATATTATTTTTTTAAACATTTTATTGGTTTTTTTGCTGTTATATTATCACAACAATTTGTTATTAATATTGCTATTGAAAATTTGGTACGGAAGTTTATTATACATTAAATTTGTTTTGATTTTGTTTTAAGGTTATTATTTTGAAAAGGTGTTTGCTTATTTTAATTATAATTATATTTTGAAGTTATAAATACGTTTGTTTTTGCATTTTAGGTTATGAGTTTTTTTAGTTATGAAGTTGCAAGGGAAAAAAAAAAGATGTTGTTTTTCAAAACAACAAATATATTTTAAATATTTAAAGGAAAATATAAAACTATACATGTACAAAAAAGCACAAATTGTTGATGTCTTTAGGTTTTATTAGGGACATGTTTATATAGTTTTGTGTAAAAGATTATATTGTATATACTAATACTATCTTTTATTTACATTATATTATTAAGACGTAGTTAACTTCAATACGTGATCATTGGTCAACGGTTCAGCATTTATCGTTCAAATTCATTCGGTTGTAATAGATCATAGCTCTTATATTAGTGCAACTAGTATATTATATCTACATATAGTTTGTTTGGTTCAGGAATCAATCAGACCGGAGACGCAGATGGTCTCTAACTTCGTCTGCTATACTTAATACCACCACTTATTTGATCCAGCTTTTCGGGTCGAGCCTCGCGGTTCAATGTGACACAAAATATAAGAAGACATCTTGATGATCTATTATTTTACTACGCTATCGGGAAAGGGGTGAATGGTCACATACAGCTCACAACTCCACTATAATACATCCAGCTTAATGATTGTTTCATACGATCAACCTTCGATTAGCCCCTGATACACATATACACATCACCGGTTTAGTTTCTTTAGGATTTGATGTTCTGATTAAGGGTACTTTGTCCGTCAGCATTATCAGGGTCTGATTCCTGAACTTAACCCACTATCTAGAGTCTGGACGTGTAGCTTCGAAAACACTTATCAATAAGAGAGGGATCAAACTCAATCTGAGTCAGAAGCCAACGTAATCTGCTCTAGTATTTAGACATCCACTACCACTAGTATTCAGAGAGGTTTTAGTTGTTGGTGGTGTAGAGAATAACCGAAAATCATAGACAATGAAATCGCGAAACCCTTTTGTTCTTTCAAAATGTTTAAACTTTTCTGGTGATTCTTAAACAAGTTTTTAACAGTCAATTTTTAGACCAGAAGGACTTCAAATAAATGGTCAAATCAGGACAAAAAGGCTTCTACTTGTGGCTAGAGAGTGTCTATGATCTGTGCACTTGTCAAAGGGGTGCTCCATATTTGGCTGTTTATGTTTTTAGGATGATGGAAACTGATTAGGAATTGGCGCTGGTGGTTCATTGATTAAAGGCTTTTCAAAACACAAAACTTCTCGATAAGGGTATTGGATTAGGAGTAGTCTCAGATGGTAAGCTTAAGGTATCACTATCTTTAGTGGTTTATCTCAAACTTGATTCAAGTGATATCAAAAAGGTCTTCAAATTTAACCATTTTACTTTGTGTTGATTATTTGGATTCCATACATAGCGTGTGACTACTACTGATATTGATATTGTTATTTATCTGAAAATTATAGTGCTATTACTGCTTTTGGGCTTGATATATCCAAAAGGGTATTTATGATATCACGGTTCACTGGTGCTGAGTTGCTAGACATGTCTATGATATTTGAGAAGGAACGCGATATCAATTTATTACCAAGCCAGCATTGAAGCGTTACGCTAAATACATGTTTATTCGTTGATGAATTATATGTCTAAGTCTTTGGGCGTGTCAGTGTGAAGAATTAACAGTTATTGATATACAATGAATATCCAAACTCCAAACAACAACAAACATTTCCATGATGAGTTCTTGAAAAATTGGGTATAAATTGGATAGGAAATTCCCTAATCACATCTCAATTATTCATAAATTATTTTTAGTTAATCATCGATAATTCACTCGCTTACTTTTATCAATCGATATCAATAGATCATCATGAGATTATCTGGTATTTTTTTATCTGCATGCTCAATTTTGAGCTTGGTCAATGCTCAAAACTTTCAAAACTCATCAAGTACATCTAATGGTCCAATTTCCGCTGCTGCTGCTTCATCTGGTCAATTACAAGAAGATGCTACTACAGTTCCAGTTACAACCGTTGAAACTGCAATCGATCCAATTTCTTCAGAAGATGGTGCTTGTACTTATTCAAAATTAGGTGGTTCTTTCAACAATGGTAAAGCATGGACTGCTGCTTATGAAATTAAAGTTTCACCAGAAGATCGTTCAAACTTGAATAGTGAACGTATTTTCGAAATCACTTGGTATTTTGCTTTTGATGATCCTTTAGATGCTGCTACTTTCGAATTTGAAACTAATAGTGATTCTGCTGAAACCACTGATTTGGTTGCTAACGTTCAAGATGGTTCTTTCAAGGTTACTTTCCAATTCACAGTTCCATTCCGTGATCCTGAATACTGTGATTCATATTTCTTAGGTTTGTTCACAGTTGGTGATGATGATTATTACACAATTGTTGTCGGCGGCAAAGAACCACCAACTATTCAAGCTTCATTCAACTATCAACGTATTACATGGGAATGCTCTCAATTACTTGATTTCGCTGAAAACTGTGTTCCACCTGAAACTTCATCATCATCAGAATTGCCATCAAGCTCAGTTGTCTCTTCATCTTCAGAATTATCATCAAGTTCAGATGTCTCTTCATCATCAGAGATATCATCCAGCTCAGATATTTCATCTTCTGCATCACCATCAAGTTCTGATGCATCATCATCTTTCCCAGAATCATCATCTGCTCCAAGCTCATCAGACTCATCTGCCTCATCAGACTCATCCGACTCATTAGTTTCATCATCGGGATTCGCTAACTCAACAACTGGTGGTCCATTGACTTTAACTTCCACAAAAGAAGCCCAATCATCAACTGTTATTACTATCACCTCATGTGATGAAGATAAGTGTACCCAAGTTCCAGTTACTACTGGTGTCACTGTCACTCTTGTCACTAAAAATGATGTTGTTACCAGTTACACAACTTATTGTCCAATTACCACCACTGAAACTATTACTTCTTGTGAAGAAGAAAAATGTCAACCAACAGGTGCTCCAGCACAACCATCAGAAGCCCCAGAAGCTGTCACTACAACTTGTACTGAAGAAAAATGTCAACCAACAGGTTCAGAAGCTCCAGCTCCAGGTAACCCATCAGAAGCTCCAGAAGCCCCAGAAGATGCTACTGTGACTTATACTGAAGAAAAATGTCAACCAACAGGTTGAGCAGCCCCAGCTCCAGGTAATCCAACTGCCGCTTCAGCTTCTTCAGATGCACCAGATTCAGATTCTGGTAGCTCAGTTGCTCCAGCTCCAGGTGAAGGCTCTACAGGTACCGATTCTCAAGGTGAACCAACTGAAGCACCAACTGAAGCACCAGCTTCACAATCATCAGCTGCACCACAATCACCAGCTGTTACTACCTATGAAGGTTCTGGTATGATGCTTGCTGGTAATTGGGCTGTTTCATTATTTGCTGCTGTCTTTGCTTTTGCTTTATGAGTAAATTGGCTATATTGATATGAATTAAATTTTTTTGCATATTCTTCACCTTTTGTTATTAAGTTTAAAGTTTCAAAAACTTGAGTAAATTAATATAAATGGTTATCAATTTTTTAATTCTTATAATATTACCCATTTGTTGTTGTTGTTTCTTTCTTTGAAGATAATTGATTTATCTTTTACATTTGTTTCTATAATTTAAAGAACTTTTACACAAGTTCTTATTGTCATGATTATATATTATATCACTTCCATCCACGTTGAAGTGTCATTTTCGACATTTCTTGTTAACTCAATATACATATTGGCTCCTCAAAAGTATTCAAACGCGTAGTCCAAGATTTATAGTTTTGGGTTCGTATTTCAAACCAGTACTAGCTTTGCGCTAGCCATAATATGGAAAACATTATCGGTGCATTGAAAGAAGTTATGAGATCAAGTTACATTTGGATCATTAAACGGTTCAGCCATGTCCAATATTGTCAATTATTTAAGTAACTGGTTTGGAAAATGGCAAAAACAACTACTATAAATAAATACCTATATAAATATAAATTCCTATATAACCTAAATAGAAACACCATTATATATATTTCTTGAGATATGAAGAGCATACAAATCTATTGTAAACTCTTGAAAAAGTTGAACATTTAAAGCTAATTTGTCATATGTAAATGGGGCTTTCTGTTGTGAACGCAACCATTTATTAACTACTTCTTTAAGATCTTTCTCATTACCTCCTTCAAATATTTGTATTATTTCAATTTTTGGTAATTCAACAGATATCAACTTGGATCCCTTATTAATTGAATTTGAATATTGTTGATAAGATTTCCATAAATATTCAAAAATCAAACCAAATGGAGTGTTATCATCTTCACCAGTATCAGAGACAACAAAGTTAAAAATTCGACCGCCATGAGCAGTGGTAACATTTTTTATAAGTTGAATTAATGTTCTATTTGTTTCTTGACTATTTGTGAAAAATTTCAAAAGTGAAAATAATATATGAATTGGAAATAATTTTGAGGATGAAAATTGAATCCATGTTTGTTTAGCATTGCTATTATTTGGATCATGAATTAAATTTCTTGATAATAAAGATAATGATTCATCAAGTTTATCAATGATAATTTCATTATAATAAGAATCAGTGGTGATGATATTTCTAACTTTTGAGGAAAGATCAAATACATTACTAGAGCACTGAATAATTGGATCTGAAGTTGTTGAAAAAAAAGTTCTATCATCACTAAATGTATTTGATAATAAATTTAAAGACTTTGATTTTGTGAATGCATCAAATAATTTCAAAGTTGAAATCACAAGAACTGGATTATCATAAGTTTTAGCTAAATTAGTAATGAATAATTCCATAATTCTTGGTTCTTCCATATTATTAAAATCAAAATATTTTTCAACAAATTCATCAATAACATATTGTGATCCACTTTTAGGGGAAATCATTTTTCTGAAAGCATGTGATAATAAAAAAATTGTATTTAAATGGTTTGTTCCATCTTTAGTATAAGCTTCTAAAATAGGATCTATAAATCTTTTTTCAAAACAATTTAAAAATGCTGATTTAACAGAATCATGTGTAGAATATGCAATTATATCCAATATGAACAAGACAAAATCATCAAATTCATTGAAAGCCAGACTATTAGTCAATATATCATCAAAGTCATCTTGATGATTATCCAATAAAGATTCATTATAACTCAATTGATTAAATCCAGAAAGTAAGCCAGTACTAACAATTCCAGGAAATTCACTTGTTAAAAGCCAATTCTCTAAACTTTCAGAAAATCCAGTAGTTAAGACAATATGTAAAAGTATATCTCTTGAAACATCAAATGTATCTTGACCTGAAAATAAAAAATCTTTGGCTAATTCATACATGGGGAAACAATTAGGACCCAATTTATTTTTATAAAGTAAATATATCACATCAGGTTCATGAACTGAAATTTTCAACCATCCATCAACTAGTTTAGTCATTGTTAAAAAATATTGAGCCAATTTATAAACAAATGATGCTAGTAATTTAATTTTATTTAATGGTAATCTTTGATGTTTCAAATAATTGATAAGGAATACTCCTATATTTTTGGAAATCTTTTGGGTATCAGAATTAAATTCATTATTTAATTCATTATCTTCAGAATCATCATAAATTTTGGTAGTTTCACTTAAAAGACATTGAAATATTGCAATATGATCTTCAATAGCATCTAATGGGATACTTGATACTTCCAAGCGAGCCAAAAGACTTATAACATCATTGTCTAACAACACAAACACACGAGATTCATCCCTTGCAATGTAAAGATAAAGTTTATGCAACTTTTGTTTAAACGATGAATCTAAAAGCTTATGTTTCTAGAAAATGGCCGGGTTAGTAAAAAAAGAAATCATGTTAAATATTTGGAAAGGGAATTTATAAAACATATCACATCAAGCAATATGTAAAACAAAAACAAAAAGCCAAAAAAGGAATAAATCAAGGTTTCATAACACGAACCTGGATATAAAAATCTAAAAGATATAGTTTAAAAGATGATACAAATTGATCAAAATCCTTCATTCTTGAAAACACTTCTGATAGTTTAAACTTTGTAGATTCGTCATCTCTTGAAGTAGGTGTAGCACTGTTTGGTTCCTTGGATTTTGAAGACAATGGCCAAAAAGCCTGTATATAATCTTTAGATCTCTGAAGAGATGAAAGAGTGGACATTTCTCAAACCAAAATATTAAAATACCACAACAAACAACAAACAACAAATAACAAACCTCACTAATATAACACAACAAACGAGCAGGAACCCCTAGTTTAGCTCTGGAAAGCCGTACAAGTAAACAGTAAACAACCAGCACAAATCAGCACTAAATCAGACCCAATCCAGCCATCTCATTACCAAATGTTACCCTTCATTTCCCTGTTTGTTTGCCATTGTTTCAAAGTGATACATGTTTACAAATTTAATAAATTTACACAAAAACCCAAAACCCGAACTCCGATGACAGACACCCGCGAATTTTTGAGTACTACGCGAAATTTTGGCGTTTTTGGACAATGGAGAATATGAAACAGAGAAATCAGACAGGAATCAGGCAAGAACCATACATCAGAATACTTTCACGAGGGTTGGAAGACGCTTGAATCGTTGGATCTGATACAGAGTGCAGTGTGTTCTGGGCTATTTTGTGTTTGATCATTGTTTTCAATTAAAGTGTGTGTTTGAAGCATATTGTTATTGTTTCAGGAGTCATTGGGAAAAGAAGATATATAAAGAACTAGGTTTATCATTAGTTTCTGTTGAAGTTGCTTTTATTTTATTTGTGCCTGTGATATATATTTGACCTAATACATCATGAATAGAGCTACTTATCGAAATTATTATCCACATCAAGGAGATGGATCAGGAAGAAGAAATATGAATCAAAGGCAACATAGACAACAACAAAATCAGCAACAAAATTCACATCAAAATTCACATCAACATCAAAATCAACAATATAAAGATAGAAATACAAATTATTATCTTGAAAAACCTTCAATATATAACAATTTTGTTAATCCTACCAAGATATGGAATGATTCAGTTTCAACAAGTTCGCCAGTTACATTAGATGTTAATCATTCATATCCTCAAAGAAGATTTTCTCCTCAACCATCAATAAATCAATCTCAATCACAACCAACTCAACCTCAAACATTAATATCAAATCCATCTTTGCAATCAACTAGAAAACCAATGTCACCAAGAAATCAAACTTCACAACAACAACAACAATTATATTCAAATAAAAGATATAATGATAATGATTATTCAAATCATTATATACACACGGGGGAACAACCATCAAAATTTGTTCGTAATGTTAAAAATCCAGTTGAAGGATATCCAAAATTACAACGTCTTTTCCAATTAAAAGAACGTCAAACTCAAGCATATGCATGTACACCATTTGGATCAAGATGTGAAGTTGATAATATGGTTCCAACTTTAAAAAAATGGATCAATAAAGATCAATTAGTATTTGATGTTATTATGATTGGTTCATTAACTGAAAATCAATTTATTTATCCATTGTTAACTCAATTACCCTTGGAAAAATTATGTTCCAAACCTGGATTTTTATTTGTTTGGGCATCGGGACAAAAAATTAATGAATTAACAAGATTATTAAATAGTGATTCATGGGCCAAGAGATTTAGAAGATCTGAAGAATTAGTATTTGTTCCAGTTGATAAAAATTCACCATATTATCCCAACAAGGATTCTCAAGATGATGAATCATTATTTGAAAAAATGCAATGGCATTGTTGGATGTGTATTACTGGAACAGTGAGAAGATCAACAGATGGAAATTTAATTCATTGTAATGTTGATACAGATTTAAATATTGAAGATGAAGATTTAAATAATGAAGAAAATAAGAATTTAATTGTTCCAAATCATATTTATAAAGTTGCAGAAAATTTTAGTAGTGCAAATAGAAGATTACATATTATACCATCAAGATCAGGATATAATAATCCAGTTAGACCAAGACGTGGTTGGGTTATAATGAGTCCAGATATTATTTTAGATAATTTTGAACCAAAACGTTACAAGGATGAAATTTTAGAAATTGGTGTTAATGTACCACAAGATTCTGAAATTGAAAATTTAAGACCAAAAAGTCCAATACCAAGAAATTCAAATTTAAATCAAACTACAATGGCTCATTGAAATATATATATGATGTATAGCTAATAATGTTTAATTAATGATATCCAATATAATGCTATATGCAATTTTTAGTAAGATTTTAAAATATAATATATTTTATCTTTTTTTAAGATTATTTAAACCAATCTTTAATACCTTCAGCAATTGGAGTTAATAAACCTTTTTGCTTTGGAACATAATTAATTCTATGATAACTATTAATATTTTTTCTTAAAACAATTTGATAACAAGTTGCAGAACCTTGTCTTGAAATAATTGTTGAATGAGCCAAGAAAAATTCCCAAATTCTATACCATCTAATACCATATTTATTAACAACTTTATCTTTATTTGAAATCCAATTTCTATACCATCTCCAAATTGTTGCAGAATAATGAACACCAATATTATCAATTGAAACAACTTCAAATCCTGTACCTTCTAATTTTGAAACAACAAAATCTAATGGAGTTGAAGCATCAGCACCTGGGAAAATATATTGATTCATTAAAGTTAACCCCCATTCTAAATCTTCAAATTGCCAAAATTTTCTTAAACCTGCATATTGTAAGAAGAAAATACCATCATCATTTAACATATCATAAACTTGTTGTAAGAAAGAACCAAATTTTCTAACACCAACATGTTCAGCCATTTCTAAACATGTGATTTTATCATAACCACCAACTGGAACTGGAGTATCTCTATAATCTCTACACAAGATTTCAGATTGTTCAGATGAAATACCTTGTAATGCTAATTTTTCATTACCCCATTTAGTTTGATTTCTACCAAGTGTAATACCTGTAACACGAGCACCATATTCTTTTGAAGCAAAAGTAGCTAAAGTACCCCAACCACAACCAAGATCTAACAAAGATTCACCTTTTTGTAAATCAATTTTATCACAAACAATTTTTAATTTATTATCTTGTAATTCTTCTAAAGATTCTTCACGAGTAATATCAGAAATAACACCAGAGGTATAAATCATTCTTGAACCTAAAAACCAAGTATAGAAATCATCACCACGATCATAATGATCACGAACTTGTTCTTCATCTTGAGATCTTGTATGTAAAATAACTTCAGGAATCATACCAAAGAGGAAATATTTAAATAAGCCTAAAGTAAATCTAAAACTAACCCAATCATGTCTATATTCCAATGTATCTAAAGCATCACCTTTAAAACTAACTTTACCATCAAAATATAATTCATGGAAAGTTTCATATGGAATTTTATTATCACCTGAATATTTTTTAGCTAATTCATCATCATGAAATTCTAAATAATATTCAACACCTTTACCCGGGTAGGCAACTTTTTCATTTAATCTAGCACCATAAGTCGAGGTAAAAGTCCAATAAGCCATCAAGATTGGTAATACTAATAAAATTGTGAAAAATAACCAAGTTTTAAAACCACCACCTAATTTATATTTAATATAATATGGAATACCAATGATGAATGATAAAACTAGGATGTTTGAGAAGGCTTTAGTACCAGGACCATCAGCTGGTAATGGAGCATTTTTGATAGCAGGGGACTGTATTGTATTGTTAGTAATTGATCAAATAACATCAAATGAAATAACATCACATAGATCAAGATCAAGATCTCGATCTAAATCATACATACATCAGAAGTTAAGACACCACATTTATCAGAAGCAGGAGGTTGAGGCTCAGCTTTTGGAGTTGGTTTGAACTCGTGACCTAAGAATGCCATTTTGTTCAATTCAATTGATGAATAACTAAGTCTTTTCAACTAAAGAATGTGAAGAAGAAAGTATAGTATTTTTGAACTCGTGGACACTTTTTCCAATTTTAACGTCGACATAAAAAAATAAAAGCGCGAATGAAAAGTTGAAAAGTTGAAAAACGCGATTTATTAAAGAATTCAAGATTTTATAGGCAGTGTTACCAGTGTTATCGTATAAGTAATGAGTTATTGTGTATTTTGTGTATATTGAGTAGTTCTAAGCCAGTGCATTGTAATTGTTGAGTCTTGTTTACTATGTTTACTATGTTTTCCCATGTTGATTGGATTCTTGTGAAGTTACGGTTATAAAGGGTCCAATCAATCATAAATCATAAAGCAGGTACAAGAATGAATAAACAGTGAACAGTGAACAACAAAGAACAACAGATCAATTGAACTTATGACTGTACTATCCATATTCTATTCATTGACTATACAATTATACAAGTAGTAACCAATACATTGCACTACTAGTAACTATGTACTCTATTCAATCATTCTTTGTATATTAAATCATCGTATAGTAAAACATTCATCTATAGTAAACATCGTATAATAAAATAGAAATAAATATATCTGATTACATAGCTGCTTACATCATCAATAATAATTGTTACCCTCTCTTTATTAAATTACATAAGCATTACATAAGCATTACATAATATTTGGTAAACACAGCACTGCAGATGATTATAATTTTTTTTTTTATATATGAGATGAGCTTTAAACTTAGTATTAAACATTATTATATCATTATCAACAGAAAGTTATCATGGGTAAAGGTGGTGCTCAAAAGAAAAACGCTAAAGGGCGTTTAGATCGTTACTACTACTTGGCCAAAGAAAAGGGTTATAGAGCTCGTTCTTCTTTTAAAATTATTCAAATTAATGAAAAATATGGTCATTTCTTAGAACGTTCAAAAGTTGTTATTGATCTTTGTGCTGCTCCTGGTTCTTGGTGTCAAGTTGCTTCAAAATTATGTCCTGTTAATTCAATGATTATTGGTGTGGATATTGTTCCAATAAAACCTATGCCAAATTGTATTACTTTCCAATCTGATATTACTACAGAAGATTGTAGATCAAGATTAAGAGGTTATATGAAAACTTGGAAAGCTGATACTGTGTTACATGATGGTGCTCCAAATGTTGGTCTTGGTTGGGTTCAAGATGCTTTTACTCAATCTCAATTAACTTTACAAGCTTTAAAATTAGCTGTAGAAAATTTATCAATTGGTGGTACTTTTGTTACAAAAATTTTTAGATCAAAAGATTATAATAAATTAATGTGGGTTTTCCAACAATTATTTGAAAAAGTCGAGGCAACTAAGCCTCCTGCTTCAAGAAATGTTTCTGCTGAAATTTTTGTTGTTTGTAAAAATTTTAAAGCTCCAAAAAAATTAGATCCAAGATTATTAGACCCTAAAGAAGTTTTTGAAGAATTAGCTGATGGTCCAGCAAATAATGAAGCTAAAGTTTTCAATCCAGAAGTTAAAAAAAGAAAAAGAGAAGGTTATGAAGAAGGTGATTATTTACAATTCAAATCTTTACCAATTATGGAATTTATTAAAGATGAAAATCCAATTGATATCCTGGGTGAAACTTCAACTTTCCAAATTGATGATGAAGATCCAGATTGGAAATTAGTTAAAAAATTAAAACAAACTTCGGGTGAATTATTAGAATGTTTTAAAGATTTAAAAGTTTTGGGTAAAAAAGATTTTAGAATGATTTTAAGATGGAGAAAAATTGCAAGAAAATTATTAGATTTAGATAAAGATGATGAACCTGTTACCGTCGAGGTGGAACCATTAAATGAAGATGAACAAATTGATAAAGAATTAGATCAGGTCCGTTCAAAACAAATTACAAAACAAAAAAGAGAAAAACGTAAACAAAATGAAATGAAACAAAAAGAAATTGTTCGTATGCAAATGAATATGTTAACTCCTAAAGATATTGGTATTGAGGCTGCATCATTAGGTGCAGATTCCCTTTTTAATTTGAAAACTGCAGAGAAAACTGGTCAATTAAATGATTTATCCAAGGGTAAAAGAAGAATGATTTTTGATCAAAATGAAATTTATCAAGGTAATGAATTTGCATTTGGTTCTGATGATGAAAAAATGATTGGTTCAGAAGATGAAGTTGATGAATTAGAAGCTCAATTAGATAATATGTATGCTGCTTACCAAGAAAGAAGATCTGAAAGAGATGCTAAATATAGAGCTAAAATGGCAAGAGGTGATGAAGATGATTCTAAATGGGATGGTATTAAAGATGATCAAAATTCTGATGATGAAGAACAACAAACAAGAGATCCAAAAGATTATGAAGATGAATTAAGTGATGAAGAATTAAGTGATGAAGATGATGATCAACATATTAATTCATTAATTACCAAGTTGAAAAATGAAAATAAAAATGGTAAATTAAGTAATAAAGCTGATTTATTATTTAGTAATTCAATTTTTGATGGTGTTGAATCTGAAATTTCCAAACCACAACAACATGTAAAACAAGATGAAATTATTAATAAAGGAACTTCATCAAAATCAGGTTCAACAACTGCAAGTATCGAATCAGATTCATCATCAGATTATTCAGATTCAGATTCAGATTTTGAAGTTGTTCATCGTGATCAAGATGATGAAGATTTAAATGAATCAGATGATGAATCAGATGATGATGTTAATTTAAGAAATCATCAAAAATCTGTTGATTTAGCCACTGCTCAAGCAATGACATTAGCTCATCAAATTGCCCTTGGTCAAAGAACAAAACATGATTTAATTGATGATGGGTTTAATAGATATGCCTTTAGAGATCAAGAAAATTTACCAGATTGGTTTGTTGATGAAGAAAAAAAACATTCCAAGATTAGTAAACCAATTACCAAGGAAGCTGCATTAGCTATAAAAGAAAAAATGAAACAATTAAATGCAAGACCAATTAAAAAAGTTGCAGAAGCCAAAGGACGTAAAAAGATGAGAGCTTTAGCAAGATTAGAAAAATTAAAAAAGAAATCTGATATAATTAATGAAGATTCTGATAAATCTGAAAAAGATAAAGCTGAAGAAATTTCCAAACTAATGAGAAAATTATCTAAAAAACCCAAGAGTACAAAACCACAAGTTACTTATGTTTTTGCAAAAGGTAGTAATAAAGGTCTTGGAGGTAGACCAAAAGGTATTAAAGGTAAATATAGAATGGTTGATGGTGTTATGAAGAATGAACAAAGAGCATTACGTCGTATTGCTAAGAAACATAGAAAGTAATAAACCTGGGGACCTTCTTTTGTATATTATAGTTTTATAAATGTAATAAATTTGCATTTTTTAATAAAGCAGGGATGTAGTATAGCTAGTTATTGTGAGGATCCTATTTCTTCTTTTTGATATTAATTTTTTTAGCTTTTTTATTAGTTTTTGATGAACCAGTATTAAAAATCTTGTATAATAACCAACCAGTACCAATCAAAACAATAAATAAAGTAATCAATTGAGTTTTCAAATAATCCAATATAGATAAATTTGGAATATTAATTTGTAAATCCTGGTTAGAATCATGATCTAAATGATAAAAAACAGTATCTTTAGTGAAGAATGAATCAATACCTAATAAAGAATCATCAAATGGATTTAATTCAACATGTTCCGGATCTGATAGAATTAAAGAATCACAAGCATAAAAAAAATCAGGTTTATTGAATTGAACAATAGGGTTTGTGAATGGATCTAAATATCTTGAATGATAAATTAATTCTAAATCATTTGTATGATTTTTTATTTCAAATAATTGTAATGAACCAAATTTTTTAATTTTCCATAGGGGTAATTCTAAATCAGATTCACCCCAATGACCTAATAATTGTAATGAATTTGAATTAAATTGATATTTATCAAAGAATAAATGGGATGGTAATAAAGTTGATATATATAATTTACAATGGTCTTGGTCAACCGATGGTGGGATGTATTGGAACTTTATAACAGGATGTAATCCAATTGGTTCAGATAAAGAAATTGATGTGTTGGAACTTGGTATAAATTTATGACGAGGTTTTAAATAAATTAAAGTTTTAGTTGGTGGTAAATAATTTTCATTGATTGGTGAAAGAATAGTTCTTAAACCTGATAACTCTAAATCTTCCAAGTCCTGGGATTGTGGTTTTAATATAGCAATTTCTTTTTGAAATTGGGATTTATTAATAGTGGTTATTGAATTTGTTGATGGAATTGAAATCCATTGAATTTTTAAGATTGGATTTGATGAATCATATGAAATTTCTAAATCTTGGATTTGATCAATGATATCTAATTCATTATTAAATGTTTCCAAGAATTGTGTAATAATTGTTGAATTAAGTTCCAATTCACTTGAAGATTTATGATATGTTAATGAAGTTGCAGTTAAAACAAAATTTTCATGATTAAATTTTGATCCTTTGGGGTTAAAATTTGTTGAAAGATAATTCCCCCATTGATCTAATGATTCATTAAGACCATATGGAGATTTTGGTAATAATTGTAAAGTCAATCCATTTGGATGGAAATTTTGGAAAATTGATGAAGATTCCAGGTTTGATGATTTTAAAGTAAATTTAAATTGATCATAATTTGATAATAGTTTGGATAATTGTGGACTTATGTCACTAGGGTCTAAAGTTAATCTATCTTGTCTTTGATACCAAATTGAATTTGGAATTGAAATTGAATTTTCAGTGAATTCCAATCCATTTGTATCAATTGAATCTTGATCTATAACATTTGAAAGTAAAGTGATTCTTTGTTTCATGATAACCTTGTATTGTATTATGGTGTTAATTGAATATATTCAGCAGTGTCAACACGTATCCCTTTTATACTTTCTCCCTTGTGTATTTGTTGATCATTTGTTGAGAAATTGGTTCTTCAACTGTGTTTCTCTTGTTTATAACGGGACATAATCTATATTGATTATGTAATCATTTAGTCATGTGGATATAGATTATGTAATACAGTAGTGAGTGATTACATAATCATTTAAATCAAAAAATCAAATGTAGTATATTAGAATGAATGAAAACACAGAGAATCAGTTATATGGTACAAAGCATGTTGGGATATAACCACTGGCCATTAGTATACCAGTAAAGTATTAGCTTATATATTTGAAATGTATATATAACCGTTAATCATTGATTGATGATATTACTGATTGTTTGATTGTCTGATACATAGTTCATTGATGATTCCATCTCTTGAAACTTCTTTAACTTTCAATTGCATTTTATCAATCTCAAAAAAGGTATGACATATTTCCTAATCCAGTAACACTTGGTTTTACGCGTCGTTAATTATTTGCAATTTTTATTATTTACGTGTTCTTCTCGTGTTTCTGGATTACCGGATTGAGAAATACTTCCTAATAAGGTAATGTAAAACTTTTTTGCATTAAAGTTGATGTAAAAAGCTAACATTTTAATTTTGATTTGCGTATACTAAACATAATTTCAAACGTAGTTTTAAACACTTTTATACCAATTAATTAGACACTTTAAGAACAGTTTAAACCTGTTTGGGAAAGATCTCTGGAGTACAAGTATAATAGATTATGGATGTGGAATAAATGATCTATAGTTAGTTAAATAACTTACTACTTTGACAATTGAAATTAGTTGGAAGTTGTATCGTAAATCACAACGTCCTTAGCATAGTACAACTTATATAACTCGTACAGACAAAGTACCAGCATGTTCCTGAATAGAATGAGCTCATGCTCATGCCTCAATGCCCATCACTTAAACCGGATGAAAATTGAAATAACTAGTATAATTTATAACTAAAAGAATTATTGTATTGCCCCATTAAGATCTTACATAACTAATTATATATATGCACAATTCTGGGTAATTGAGATCCTGGGTTCTAGACATGGTAAACCAGTGAGCAAACATCACCATATAGTATAATCAACCCTGTAGAATACACTGACACTATCAAAACAAGTGATATCCTATGTTCTCATTGTGTTATACTCCCTTTCCATCATTGTTTAGGGTGACACCTCGGATCTTATATTAAAATCCTGCAAATTTGCAAATCTCAACTCCTGCAAAAAAGTTTAAATTTCGGTTTTTCCTTCTTTGTTATTTCAGTTGTGAAAATGCAAAAAATTAAAATCTTTGAAAAACCGAATGAAATCAATTTTAAACAATATCAACAAATTCTTTTAACAAACTTATCAAACTCATACAAATTAAACTCATTTCAAAAAGAGTACTGGCTGACTCACTGACACGGTGGTAACTGAACTGCATATACTTGATCCATTCCCTTCCTATTTGCTACCAGGTTTCTTTTCTGATTTGCCGCTGGTGTTTGTTTTGAGATTAGTATATCATTACCATTCTTGAAGAACCCTTTGAATATAAAAAGGTTGAAATTTAGTTGAGAAAAAGGCTGCAAAAGCAGAATAAACATCATCTCTTGAAGTACATCATTATCCATTCATTTGATTCAATATTATCCATTCTTTTTATCAAAATTATCATTCCATATTTTCTATATTTATCATTTTGATTATTCATTATTCAAATTTATATTTTAGAACTATTATTGGAATTACTATTAATAAATTACAAGATTGATACTATTATCATTTGCATATCAAAGAAAAATAACACAAACATTCATTAATTCCATTCATATTTCATTGTTTATTGTCATCTTTTTCATCCCGGTCATTCCATCATTCCATAATACCCATTTTGCATAATCATTATTTAAATCAAACTTTCACAATGTTATCAACTGCTCAACAACCACATAGAAGAGGTCATCGTCACAAGAGATCTGCTGCTATTAGTGGTGATTTTGATTCTATTGGTATGGATTTTTTCAAATCTCCTCCTTCAAATACTATAATTCAAGATAATAAAGAAATTGAAATTAATTCTTTACCAAAAGATTATAGTTTCGGTTCGAAAAGATTTAATCAACCTCAACCTCCTTCTTTAGTTATAACTGATGAAAATAATCAAATTGAAAAGGCAAATCAATCAAATACATCAAGAAATACATCAAACACATCAAATACAAATTCTTCATCATCTCCCATGAAAAAACATACAAGACTAAATTCTTGGGCTCATTCTTTAATGAAAAAAGATGAACCAAAACAACCACAACAATCACAACAACAACAACAAACTTATCAATCTCCTTCACCAAATGATTCTTATAAATCAAATCAATTCATTTATGGACCTGCTCCAACTTCAAATTCTCAATATTATGATATCCCAGAAGCTATAATTGATCTTGATAAAGCTCAAGAATTAATTTATGATCCAAATAATATTAATTCAATTCCAAGAAAAAAATTTTTACATAGAAGAACTGAATCTGCTCCTGAATTAGAAGATTTTTTAAAATTTAAAGTTTTCTCTAATGATCAAAATAATCAATTAAATAAAAATAATGACTTTATGAATAATGATAATAATAATAATAACAATACATTGACTACCAATAACAATAAAAACTCTAAGAACAGTGCAATTTTTGAAGAAGATGAAGAAGATGAAGATGAAGATATAATTAGTTCAACTTCTTCAGGTTTAGATTCAAATTTAACAAATTTACCAAAAAATGAATCAACACATTCTTTAAATTCAAATAATTCTTTAAATTTTAAATTACAAAGTCCTGCTACAATGAATTCAAACTCAAATTCAATTTTTAATACTCCAACTTCAATTAAAACAAATCAACAACAACAACAACAACAAACTACTGCACGTCGTGGTGGGGCAAATGCTGCAAGATATCAATCATATTATAAAAATTCATTAGCTTTATCAAATGCTTTAAAATCTTCAGAATCTTTATCACAAATAACTGGAAGTACAAATGGAACTGGTGCTCAAAGTTTAAATAATAAATCTTCAATTTCAAGTTTTGGTCAAAATTCTTCTTTATATAAAAATCAACATTTATCATCAGCTTCTTCTTCTATAACATCATCATCTGCTTTAAATTCTCCTTCAAGATTTAAATTTGAATCAAAAGTTTATGATATGCCTGATAAAGAAGATGAAAGACATACATTTAATCAATCATCTACATCATCATCTACATCACGTCCACAAGCATCAAGTACAAATATTTCATCACCAATAAGTTCATCATCAATAACATCACCAACAAAACCTTCAAGACAAATTTATATTCATAAAAAATCAAATTCTTTATTAAATTCAATAAATTTTAAAATTCGTCGAAATTCAAATAATTCATTAAATTCAAATTTATTATCATCAATTTCAAAATCTTCAACAAGTTTACAAAATGAAGAAAATAATGAACAAGATCAAGATGAAGAAATTGGTGATAAAACTTTAACACCACAATTTAATTTTGGTGAACCAGGTCCTGAATTAGATTTAATTACAATGACACCAAAAATTAATAAAATAAATAAAAATTCATCTCCTGATTTAAATAATTATCAGGATTTCGAAATCACACCAAAATCAATTAAATCTGATGCAATTCAAGAAACTCCAAAAAGAACAAATCATAAAAAATTTTTCAATTGGTTGAAAAAATAAAGTTTTCAATCTTTTATACATATACAACATATTTCAATTTAACAATCATTTATTATTTCATATAATTCATCATTTAAATACAAAGATTTGATGTTGATTTCATTCCAATAGCTCAAAATTTCTAAAAAATATAACATTTTATATCATTTCATATCAAAAATATTGTCATTTTTTCTTTTGTCATTTGATCATTCATTTAAAAACCATCATTTATCATTAATCATTCATTAAGCAATTAAAAAAAAAGAATCAGGACGTTTTTGTTTTTTGTTTTTTTGTTTTGTTTCATGTTTTAAAACACTTCATTTAATTGGTTTTTATTCAATCATGTCATATCATATTATATTCATTTATGTTTTTTTATCGCTTCAAGAATTTTAGTCATTTATTAACTTATTTTATATTTTTGGTTTTAGTCATTTACAATTTGATGATGGTTTCTTTTGTTTCTGTATATACTTTTATTAATTTATATATTTACGAGATGTATTAAAAACATGGTTGTAGAGATAATGAACTATTTACTGCAGCTATAGTACTGACGTAAGAATAGCATGTTGAATTGAATAAGTGATTCATGAGTGAAATTTGCTGAGTGATTTTTAGTACTAGCAAATTGTCGGCACTGATTTTGATGCGAATATTTGTTTTAAATTCATTGATTACATTATGAGCATACGCATTCATCAACGAGTGAATAGCTAACTAATGACATACGCTGAAGTATGGAGCTCATACTTATCCAGTGATTGGTTTTTCTCATGTCTAGTCCAGTTTGTTCACCGTGAGTATAATACATCTCATTTTTAAGAGCATTGAATAATTCTCATGTTGCCAAATACTGGAATAAACATAAAGGCCGCAAATATCAATTCTGATGAACAGAAAATAGGATATATTTAAAACTTCCTGCTGAATTTATTCATTTTTATATTTCATTGCAGGATATGAATTACCAGCTTGGCTTTTAAATCAACACATAGTTATATTCAAAATGAGATTATCATATTTTCAAAATTCCTTAACAATGATTACATTGATTCTATTAATATTAGCAGGACTTGCTCAAACACTTCCAATACCAACTACTGTGATTCAAGACTATAAAATCATATGTAATTCTGCAAATAATACATTAATTTATCAACATATTAATGGTACAATGCCAGATTCAAATGATCCATTATATCCACCAATTGGATCATGTGCTGTGAAATCACTTGTTATAAAAAAAGATACTCCAAAGACAAAAGCTAAATATAAAGAGGATGAAGCACGACAGAGACATCTTCTCTATATAGTGCTAATATTTGTGTTTTTGTTTGTTTATATTTTTTTCAGTGTTCATGGTGTTCGTCGTTTACCTAAAAAAAGAGAAGAATATGAAAATTGTGCAAATTCTATAAAAGCTGATGGTGAACTTAAACAACAGAGTAAAGCTTACATAGGGTTGAGAGTTTTCTTTAGTAAGAAATCACTTATTTATCATCTTTTGTTAACATTTTGTTCATTGTAAGTATACATGTTTGAATTACTTATTGATATAAATTAGTACTAACATACAATATTTTATAGACTTTTATTATTTAATTATATTGGGAAATACTTGAATAAATTCTTGACTATAATATTTAGTCCATTGGGGAATGCATTGAAAAAGATGTATTCATCAAAAGTTTATCCAAAATTAATTGATAGGGGAGCTGAAATAGTTATTTCTACACCAAATGGGAATAGTTCATTCACAAGAGAAAAATATATAGAAGTGAAAAATCCAAGGAAAATTGTTACAAGATCAGATATTGATAATTATGAATTTAATGAAGAAAGATTAAAAGAAGCTGGGAAAGCTTTTAATTTACCTTCAGAAGGACAATATATCTTTGTATCATATAGAGATTTAAAATCTACAGATTTGAAGAAGTTAGAAATATCCCAAGAAGAAAAATCATGTTTACTTTGTCTTGATGAATATTTGGAGACAGATTTTGTTGTTGTATTACCATGTAAACATTTATGTCATTATGTATGTTTAGATAATGTTGGAACTAAAGAAGAAGCTGAAACAGATCAAAGCTCTGAAGATAAGGATTCAATTTGTCAAACATCTATAACGAGATGTCCATCATGTGAATTGAATTTGGTAAGACATTGTGAATATTATAAACAGAAAAAATTGAGTCAAAGGAAAGTTCCATTTGATAATGAGCATTAATCTCTTCTATATAGAAGCTAAACTTGTTGTATAGTGTATTGAAATATTAATATAACACTCAACTTAATGTAAGGTATATACCCCTTTGTTCGGAGCACGATTTTGACACAATTTCTATTTAAACATCTCAACTTTGTGCTCATGAAATGGATTGAGAAGACTTTGAAAATAATCACTCATGACAGGGAAAAATATGTTATAAATGAAATATTTTATCCTTTTCAACTCTTTCACTTTTCACTTGAAGATGTATAGGAACCCATAAAAATTGATTAAAGATAAATGCAGTTTCCATCATTGATACAATCATTCTTAGTATTAAATGGGCTTTTAGCAGTTTCATACCTTAATTTAGGTACTGTTAATGCTTTACCTATACCCATGGCTTTATATAATAACTATGCTTATCCTGCTATGACTTCAAATGAGAATCTTGTTTACTATTTAGATGCATGTAAATCCAATGGTACAAATCCAGAACAATTAAGATCAAAAATTGGTGATGATGGAGTTTTCTATTCTGATCCAAATTCAACATTATGTTTGTATAAAAAACCAACAAGAACGAATTGGAGGGATGATAGTACAAAAGCACAGGGATCAATAAGTGTGAATCAAGATGATGATGATGATGAGTCTTCATCACCAGAAGATCATGAGGGATTGATGATTTGGGTTTGGTGTGCAATACTTTTGGGATTTTTTACAATTACCTTTATAGTTATTTTTGAAGATCTTCCTGATCAAATAAAGAATTTTCAAAGAGTGGTATCAATGATTAAAAGAGATGGTGAGGTTAGAGAACAATCTAAAGCTAGAATATATCTGAGAACTATCTGTACATGGAAGTTTTGGGGGTTAGCAATTTTATTATTTTTTTATGCACCGTAAGTATAGTGTACATTGAAGATAAGCTAAGTACTAACTGCTGATATAGAGTTGGTGTACCTTGTCATTTGGGATATCTTGCATGGAAACAAATTGTAAAATTATGGGGGAGAATATTTCATCCAGTACAACAAGATCAAACAACTGATATTGAATTAGTTGAAAATGAAAAAGGTGAAATAGTAGTTACAAGAACACAAATAAATAACTATAAATTTTTGGTAGAAGAGTTGGTGAAAACTGCTCAGTTATTCATGATACCCACAAAAGATCAATATACTTTTCAATCTCATAAAGATTTGATTCAAAGTGAAAATAAATTATTGAAAGGTCAAGCTTCATGTCCAATTTGTATTGAAGAGTATAAAGATTCAGATTTTTTGATTATTTTACCATGTGAACATACTTTCCATTATATCTGTATGGATGAGATGAGGAAATCAAATATTGAAACTTTGAATAGTCCAAGATCTCGAACAGTACCTAGTGATAAATTATTGTTGAGATGTCCAACATGTAAATTAAATCTTATTAGATTTCACCAGTATTTAGTTAAGCATAAATTGGACCCGGCAAATGTGAAGTTTGATAATAAGAATTGAATGAAAAGCCTGTTATATGATAAATTTCACCTATATTCGTAGATTTTAAGTAAAATTGTTGATAAAATTGATAAAAAGTCTATACTCTCTGTCATTTCCACCCGTGACAACTATCCCGCGAAAACATTTTTTTTTCTAAATTTCCGCGAATTATTTTTAAAGCCAATAAAATTCGTGGAAAATCAGATTTGTTAAAATGGGAAAAAAACTAAATTTGCTTAAAGCGAAATTCAATAAAACATCAACAAAACACTTTTAAAAAGGATATCATAGAACATTAATCATGTCTTCCTTCACTTCTATTGTCAAAGCATCAGATTTCATCTTAAGTACTCCAATTTTAAAATCTGTCTTTGTTCCAGCTTCAAAATTCTTCTGTGATTATGCTGGTTATAGACAAATTGGTTTAAAATTAGATGATTTAATACATGAAGAAACTCCAATTGTTCAAAAAGCTTTAACAAGATTACCAAAACATGAAAGTTATGCTAGAAATTTCAGAACTTTAACTGCTGCTCAATGTGGTATTACTCATCATTTATTACCAGCTAAAGATCAAGTTAAACCTGAAGAAGATAAACCATATTTATTACCATATTTGTTAGAAATTGAAGCTGAAGCTTTTGAAAGAGATGAATTAGATAACATTAAAGTTAACTAAATAAGGACAAGACAAAACAAATTAGAAAAAAAGAATTAAAATCAAATCAAAACATTATAAATTAAATTATAAATAATATTCACGTGTAAAGAGAGAAATAATTTTGTATATGAAATAACATCAATATAGTATTTCCATCTAGGGTAGATGGGAAAGTTATTATTAATATATCTACTATGAAAAGAATATTTGGAATGTAGATTCAATTTATATATTATGAGTGTTTAATAATGATATTCATCAGTACCTTCTTCAGCAGTATTTGGGAAACCTAATTCACTTAAAATCTTTGTTGGACCATCATTTTGAATTAATTTTAATAATTCTTCATTTTTAGCCAAGATTAAACCAATAAATCCAGCTGCATTTAAACCTAATTTACCTTGTTCAACTTCATAATAAGCTTTTGATCTTGGAACTAAATAAATCCATTTCTTGGTGAAAACAACATTATAAGCAATTGGTAATTCAGTATCTCTTAATATAGTTAAAGCTCTTTGTAATAATCCACTAAAAGCTAAAGCTAAATATTCTTCATCAAATAATTCATCTGCTTTTTTTTTTAAAGGTAATGCAAAATGAGCAAATGGTAAATCTTTACTTTGTAATGGTTCTTTTATACTTGTAGCTAAGAAAGGTTCAACATTTGAAGTTAAACCATTAACAAAAGGATTAAAATTATCTGGGAATTTTAAAAATTGTAAATGTTTATGAGGTTGAGAAGCACCAGAATTTTCACCACAATTATAAAAACCAAAAAATTTTTCATTTTTTGTTGAAGATTTTTCTAATTGATCTAAAATTTTAATTGAAGCAATTAATTCTCTTGGTGATAATGGTGAATTTTGAGATTTAAATTCAGTTGTTGTTAATAATAAATGATTTTCAGTTATTGGATATTTATTTAATAAGATATTAAATTCACCATTACCAAAACCTGATAATACAGTCAATTTTGGATCTGGATTTAAAAAGGGATTAAACCCTTCTTCTCTTTGTTCTTGTTCTGGAGCTTTTTCTTGGGTTGGTTTTTTAGCAAGACCTGGAGCATGAGTTATAACAAATTGAACATCATTATCTTCGATATAATGATTTGTTGATTCTTGGAAAACAACATCACCAGTGCTTAAAGCTTGTTGATATTTTTCATGAACTAATTGACTGAAATTCTCTGGTAATTCGAATTCTGACATTGTGTGTAATTGGTAAACCTGTTGTTGTGTAGATTGATAGTAATATGTCTTTTGACTTTATATTTTATACCGATGAATTACCAAAGTAATCTGATGATGGTACAATTTATTATATTATGATTATGTAATTCTTATGTCATCATAAATGATTATATAATATATTACATCATCAACATTTATTACATCATCTATTACATAATCATTATTGTCTACATAATCCATTACGTAATTTTCTTGAGCTTTTAATTTTTTTTGTTTTCCCAACAAAATTTCAATTTTCGTTTAAATTTCGATGACTTTCAAGTAACAAAAGCGGTGATTAATGAATTGATGGATCAGTGGAAAATAAGAAGAATACTAAGGAAATCATAGATTTATATTATATCAATAATCAAATTTATCAACAATTACAAAACAACACTTTAACCTAAACTTATCTTGTTTTATTTCAATCAATCACGGTGGTTCATTACACAAATTCAATAATAGTTCTTTGTCATATTCATATTAGATTTATATTATATTCATATTTATATTCACATTCATTTCACATTCATTTCACAAAATTTCATAGTGGTTCATGACTAGTACAATACCACAATCTCCAGTGGAACAAGATGTTGACAATAGAATAATCAATCCAGGTTCCATTCAAATCAACGTTACTGGTGCTTTTATAGTTGATGAAGAATTATATGAAGATGAAGAATCAATACCCGAAACAAATGATATCGTATTACCTTATCAAAATACTGAAAATATAAGTCATATAGCTATAGATATTGGTGGTTCTTTAGCTAAAATTGTTTATTTCACTTCAAATCAAAGTGTTAATAATAGTACTGAGGATCTTGGTCCTTTAATTAATAAAAAAATTAATTGTATAAATGGGAATGGTAATAATGGGAATAATAATGGTAATGGGAATAGTAATAATAATGGGTATGGAATTAATGGTAATGTTCGAAATGATAGTATAAGTAGTGATGATTCAAATGATGAAATATTAGATCCAAATCGTGGGGGTATATTAAATTTTTATAAAATTGAAACTGAAAAAATTGATGAATTTATACAATTTATTGCAAAATTAATAAAATTTTATAATAAAAAAGTTCATATAATGGCAACTGGTGGTGGTTCTTTTAAATTTTATGATCGTTTAAGAGATGAATTAAATGTTCAAGTTAGTAAAGAAGATGAAATGGAATGTTTAATTGTTGGGTTAGATTTCCTCATAACTGAAATTCCTGATGAAGTTTTCCTTTATACTGAACAAAATCCAATGCAATTTGTAAATCATACTAAAAAAGATATATATCCTTATTTATTAGTTAATATTGGTTCTGGTGTTTCAATGGTTAAAGTTACTGGACCAAATCATGATGATTTTATAAGAGTTGGTGGTTCATCATTAGGTGGTGGTACACTTTGGGGACTTTTATCTTTAATAACAAATGCAAATTCTTATGATGAAATGCTTTCAAGTGCTGCTCAAGGTGATAATACCTCGGTAGATATGCTTGTTGGTGATATTTATGGTACTGAATATAATAAAATTGGTCTAAAATCAAGTGCAATTGCTTCATCATTTGGTAAAGTTTTCAAAAAAAAACATTCCAAATCAACAAAAACTAATAAATCAACATTTAAAAATGAAGATATAAGTCGTTCTTTACTTTATGCTATATCAAATAATATTGGACAAATCGCTTATTTACAAGCTAAAATTCATGATATACAACATATTTATTTTGGTGGGTCTTATATTAGAGGTCATCCTCAAACAATGAATACATTATCTTATGCAATAAATTTTTGGTCTCAGGGAAATAAAAAAGCTTATTTTTTAAGACATGAAGGTTATTTAGGTGCTTTAGGTGCTTTTATTAAAAGACAACCTGAAGGTTGGGGAAGAAAAAATTCAATTAAATTAGATGAATTAAATTTATCAAAAATTAGAGAAACTTTACATCAAGAAAATATTAATGAACAATCTGCATGTGAATGAATTGATATTGATTATCATATTCAAAATTATAAATTACTATATAACTGGCTTCCAATGTGTTTAATTCTTTTTTTTTGCCATCTTTCAATATTTGACATTTAATATTGTTATTTGAAATCATATTTGTAGAATCATGTTTTTTATTTTGTAATTTCTTCATAAATTGACTGTGATGCATGAAATAATGGATTTGAAGAGTTATTACTTTTTATAATTAATTGTTTTAACTTATCTTGATGAATTAAATCAAAAATTATTGATTCAATTAATCCATTTGATGAATTAAATTTAATTAAACATTTTGTTTGAGGGAAATCTTTATAATTAAAATGTAATATATCATCATCATTAAATTCAAAATTTGAAATATTTGTTATTTTAAACCAAATATTCATAAGAGTTTTCAAATTTTCATGTTTTTGTAATTTTAATTGAATTTTGGGATCTTTAATTGTTTTAGATTGTTCATTATTAATATTTATTAATTTTTCAGTTAATTTTTCATTTTTTTGTAAACTTTCTTCATATTGAAATTTCCGATTTTGTAAATATTGAATTTTATCTTCAATAGTTTTATGCATCTTATTGATATCTTCGAGTTTTTCATCTAATAATTTAACTTTCTCTTCACTAAATTTTTGCATTTCATTAATTGAATTAATTATTGAATCTGATTCTGATAAATTAGAATATTTTGATATCAAATCTTGTAATTTTGGTGAAAGATCATCATTTTCAGTATTATTTTGATTTTCGATATTAAGTTTCTTAAGTTTATCATTTTGAATTTTAAGATCTTGTTGTTTTGCTTTTACAGATTCATAAATTTCCGTAATTTTAGAAAGACCTAATTCTTGTTCTTCACATATCTTATCGATTTTCTCCATTGCCTCTTTAATACTCTTATTCTTGAGTTCTGTTTTCAATTTCCAATCTTCAATGTTTTTATTTGCATTTTCAATATCAATTTTATTAATATTCGAATTAGTTTCCAATATTTTTCTAAAAAATCTATCTTTAGCATCTTGTTCCAAATATAAGAATTTTAATCTTTCGAAAAGATCTTGATAATTTGAAATTTGTGGATCAAGTTCCCTTGGATCATAATTAACTCCTTCTTTAGCCTTTTCTGATAATAATGTTTTGATACGTTCATTGAAATCTGTTTCGGCACTGTACAATAACGTGCTTTTTTGGAACTCTTCAAGCTCTTTTAGATTAGTTTCTGAGATAGTGTTTGATGACATGGTATGTTGTGTAGTAGTGGGTCTTTCTCTGGCTTTTTATTAGCTTCTTCTTCAATGTTTTGGTATCTTTGTTCTTTTGTTTACATTTCGAATGTTTATATACTTTTTTTTTCGCGTCAGAATTATTCGTTACGGGCAAAATTATCATAACTACAAATTTCAAAATCTACTTGGTACTCATTGATGAAAAAAAAATTCATTGTTCATTAAAAGGATTTATTAAAATAAAAGACTGAAATGAAGAAAGTCAAATAAATGCCTTGGGTGATGGAAAACAAAGGAAAAAGCAAATATATATATATGGTTCGTAATTGAAAAATTGGAAAGGTAATGATCTTTATCAACCCAGTGTGATACCTTTCAGAATAAGTTTTATAATACAATTTTGTTTCTTTTTGGTCATGATTTGTACAAGATAATATATGTGATTTTTGATGGATCAGTTCTCAGTCTTTACAAGGGTATTAGTGTTGAATGGTTTCTTGTTGTTAGTGGAAGTGGTTGTAGAATTGACTGATCCAGGTGTTGGTGTTGGTGATTGTTGTGATTGAGCTCGCTGTAATTGTTGACTTTGATTAACTGAATTAGAACGACCTTGTTGTTGTTGTAACTGTGCTTGAGGTGTTTGTTTATTCACACTGCCTGGAGTACCTTGTCTTGAAGATACACCTTGAGCTTGTTGTGCTTGTTGAAGTTGTTGTGCCTTTTGTTGTTGAGCTTGCAGACGTTGATATTGTTGATAGAACAGTTGTTGTCTTTGTTGCAGAATTGATTCTTTCAATGTTTCGTAAGCTTTTGAAAGTAACATACCACCAAATCTAATAACTTGTGTATCATTTGATATTGAATTTAATTTTGAAGGATCATCACTAAATGGTTCGTTATCATTCATATCCATGATACTTAAATCAGAATCATATTTCCAACGGTCTTCATGTCTTTCTTTTGCATCTATAGCTTCATAATCTTCAGGATCGATCATGACTTCATCTTCATCTTCAAATGGTTTCTTAATCATTGGTTTTCTATCAATATAAACTTGACCATATCTACCAACTCTTTTTCTTAATGTAAAGATTGGTTCACTAGTATTAACAGATGTTGAAAGTAATGGATTATAACGTTCAGGAATAAACTTTGTTTGTGTAGTAGGTTTTTTGAATCTATTTTTACCAGTTGTTTGATGTAATTTAAATTCCAATGCATCTTTATCATCCAAGTTTTTACCAGTTTCAATGTATTTTTCAATATCTGGGATATAACCTAATGTTTGAACATCAAAAAATGATGACGTTATTGATGAATATGGTGTATGTGATGAATCAATAATATTTTTATTGGAAACACTTAAATCAAAGAATGGATTATAAGCATCATCAGTAAAATTTGTAAATCCAAAATCAGCTTGTTTACGTTTTCTTAATTTTTCTTCAACATATCTTTGCATACTAACATCTTTAGATTTGAGTAAATGTTGAACAGTTTCTAATTCCATATCTGGAATCTTAGAAGGTGGTAATTTGACATAAGGTTGAAATTGTTGTTGACTTGAATCTGTACCAGCCAGATCTGTAGCAGTTTGCGTAACTTTTGACTTGTCTTGAGTATTGGCATTGTTTCCAACTTTAGAAAGACCTTTCTTATCCTTCTTTGTAACTTCCTCTGTAACAACTTCAGGTGGAGGAGGAGCTGGTTTTCTCTTTTTATGAGCAATAAGATCTTCATCACTATCAGTAATACCCAAATCTCTTTTATAATTCTTAACCTTACATCTGAGTTCGAAAATTTCACGCTCATTTTGTAATGCTTCTAATCTTTTCAATTCTCTTTGAGCAACCAAAAACACTAATTCTCTTGTGTTTTTCAATTCTTGATAAAGTTTAATTAATTTCTCAGAACTTTGAGTATCAGCTCTTCTTGTTTTTCTTTGTTGTCTGAATTGTCTTTGCCTGAAACAAATATAAGCATCTGAATCATCTTCACCAGTAAATTTCAATATTGGAGTGACAGTTTTACCACCTCTTTCTATTTTTCTTGACTTGAAATGTTCATAAACAGCTTCACCATACTTCTCTAAAAGTTGTTCAATGGTTCTTGGTTTAGTGGGACATTTAGCATCAAAATTTGTAACAAAAGGATGTACTTGCAATTCACTTGATAAAGATTTCCTTATATTTTCCACTGATGACTTATCAAATTTCAATATATAAAGTCTGATTTCCTCCAATGGTAAAACTTGTGTAGGATCTGTTACCAAAAATGGTTGTTTATCAGATATCACTTTTTCATAATTATAAAATATATGTTCAAATTCATCTTCAGTTAAAGGTGCAACTTCTTTCTTCTTTAGCTCTTGATTATATTTGGTTAACCATTCTTCATCAACTTCATCCATATTATACAAGCATCCTGAATAATCTTCAGTCTGACATGAAGACTTGATGTATGACTCTGGTTCGTGAAAGCGACCTTTGTAATATTTACTGGCTTCAGTCCAAACTTTTGAAGCATCTGGAGTTGGAATATAAGTTTGAGCTGTGGAACTTATACCAGTGTTCTTTAAAATCTTTTGTAAATGCACTTCTTCTTCTTCATTTTTATCAACCCCGGTCTCTATTTCTTGCAAGTCACGTTGCTGTAGGTCTTCATTATCAATATCCGATATCTGGGACTGTTTAAAGATCTGTAATGTCTGCTTTGTAGAGATCTTCCTTTGACGAAACCGATTACCAGCAGATGAGGGTAGTGGCGCAACCATTATCTTTCATCAATCAAACCCATAGAATTTTGGCAGATTTCCCTAACCGTCTTTATTTTTTTCGCCACTTGTCAATTTTTTTTGCAATTTTGCCAGCAGCGGCTTTCAAAGTGTCGTTGAACTTTCAAGCAGTGAACACAAAAGCAGCGAATTGAAATCAACAAATCCACAAATTCCCTTGAAAAATGTAATATCTGACCCAGTGCTTAACGATACCCCCTGATCGACTGTGACTATTCCGGTTTGCCTAATATGCGATTCTTTTGAGGTTGTTTGGGGGTTGTTTGACGTTGGTTTTGAGTTTGTTGTTCTGGTTCTCAACCGGGTGGCAAAAAGCTGGAAATGATCATGAAAATTAACCCCTTTACAAAAATCACGAGAATTCTTTGAAAAAATGAAAATTTTCACGAATCTTCTATGGAAATTCGCGGGTGGTACTTAACCATTACCGCTTTGGTATCACAACAATAGTATTCAAATCGTTTTATTTACAACGTATATACCATGGTGAGTTAGAAGTCTTTAATCTTCTTCCTTATCGGCTTACATCCATCAATATGAACCTGAAATATCTAAGCTTCAGTTTCGAGTGTTTACTCTTTACTCTTAAGTGGCCTTAGATGAACTCCATAATATATATAAGTAGTCTGGGTAACATGCAAATGTTTCTAGGGTAACAGTTGACAGACCTACCGAATGAGGAAATTGCGTAAAGCTTCAAGTATTATACTTTCGCAAATTTTAGATCAAGCAGGTATATTAGCTCTAGTATAACGATATCACTTTTAATATAATATACATTGGTTCACAAGAAAACTTATAATTATAAAGGCATTCATTATTCATAGTGTAAATATATACAAACATATCACTGTGGTCTATCAAACTTTCAAAAGTTCATTGTATCTATTCAAAACATTTTTGACTTTTTTATCTATAATCTTGTACTGATGAACAATTTCTTGGAAATTTTCAATCAATTCATCATTCAATATGATTCTTACCGTTGAGTTTTTTAAATCTAATTCATCATTATGATTTATATGAGTTTTAAAATTATTTGATGTTTCAAAAAATGACCAATTTTTTCTTAATTTTTCAATAGTTGATAAATTTAAATCTGTTTTATTCAAATCAATTTTCTTAACCAAATAATTTTCAAGCCAATCTGAAATAAATTCAATAGATTTATCTAGGATTTGGAAATTTTCATAAATCTTTAATCTTCTTAATTCACTCTTATTGATATGTGAAAGTGCTTGTTGACTGATTTTTGCACTTGGATCTTGTAATGATCTTATAATTTCTCTATTTGGTTCAAAATAGTTGTTCAACTCATTTAATAACTCATTACTAAATTCTTCAACTTTATCTTGGAATTTGTTCAATAAATTGAAAATAATACTTGAAAATTCTTTTCTGAATTGTAATGAAGTATTTAAAATAAAGCAAACATCATTAAAGAATTTTTTAAACTCAATGAAGAATTTAAATATTTCACCATTTTGGTATTTATTTAAATTTTGTGTTGATAGTAATGTTGATTTTTCATCAATTGTATCTAAAACTTCATACGGATCAATCTCTTCAACTTCTTCAATATAAAATTGTATAAAAGATTCCTCCAATAATGGTAAAAATTCAACATTCATAAATTGATTGAAAAATTGTATAGTTTCATCATTATCTTGTTGTTGTAGTTGATTATTACCAATTTGACTTAATAATAATTTTGAACCTTGAATAAAAGTTAAAAACGGTTCTAAGATAATTCTCATATGGAAAATATTTGCAGGTATTAATCTTGTTTGTTTCAAAAACTTTGAATCTTCAATATATGGTGAATCAATTTTGGCCATGTCATTTGAATTTATAAAACCTGGGAATAAATCTTGTAATACTAATTTGAATTGATTTGTATGATCTTTATCGTAATCAACTTTATAAAATTGAAACAATGTGTTATCTTTTTGTGAAGTTGTAGAGGTACCATTTATTGTATTACCATTCAATGATGAAGTTGCTGTTAATTTAGAACTTAGTGATAAATCATTATTAGAGATGTATGATAACACAAGATTTTTAATTTCTGACTTCAAAGAACTCCAAAGTCTATGTAGAGTTAATGTATCATTACTTGTTGATAGTTTAGATCTTGATGAGTTCACTTGTAATCCACTATTTTCTAATTCTTCAATGATTTTCAATATAACACGAACACTTTGTAATAAGAATAACAATTTTCTGAAAAAATTCCAAAATAAATCTTTAATGACAACTGTTTTGAAATTATCATTATTCAAAGATTGATCAATACCAATACCTTTTGATAATTCATCTGCTTTAGTGTTTGTATTTAGGTATTTTATAATTTTAGAATGTCTTAGTTTAGTATCTTCAGTTTGTCTATTAATCAATTGATTAATTTCATTTGCATTTCTTTGAATGATAATATCAATTGCAGTTGGTAATTTATCTAATTTATAAACAATTGTTAATAAGTGATATAATTGATTGAAAGGATTTGAATCATCAAATGTAATTAAACTTGAAGTATTATCATCATCTTCTAATGTAGACTCAACACCCGATTTCAGATCCGTTTCAGTTGATCTGGTATTAGATGTCATTAAAGATCTTATAAATTTATCAACGTTATAATGACTTGCTGCTGATGTTTCCAAAATATCAGTATCAATTGAGCTCATAATATATTTCTCTATACTGGTGTAATCTGAAGATTCTGGATTTCTATATTCATCTTTCCCACTATTAAAAGTGTTAAATAATTTTTTGGAATAAATTATATTATGAATTTCTTCGATTAATATTTCAAATAATTGTTGAGATTGAATTTGGAAATAATTTTCTAAATTTGATAATGCAGGTAAACTCCATAATTTAAAAGTTTGAGCCTTTTGTTGAACATTTTGTAAAATCAATTGAGCTTTTGAATAGTTTTTATCACTAAATGCATCATCAAGGTCATTTGGAGCTTTTTTAATATATTCAATGTTATTCAATATGGCAATCATTTCATTATAATTTTTCACATTTTCATTCAATGAACCCATACTTTCACCTGTTTCTGATATATCTTTAGATGTTGAGTTCACTGTATCTTTAATCTTATTCAAGGTATGTTGAGAATTAGCTATACTTTGTACCACAGATCTATATGAACCAACACTATCATTAAAAGCTTGAAAATGTTCGTTAACAGTTTGACGAAGACCATTTGATATACGATCTTTCAAATCTAAAAATTCACCACGTCTATGAGCCAAACCAACCGAAGTATTATCTAATAACGGTAAAGCGATGTCCAAGGGGTTTGCATCATCACCAATTGTTTGTCTCCAACTAAATTCTACCTCTGATAAGGTGGCTAATAACCCGGTTAATATCATATCTCAAGATCTCATTTTAGGCTATACTACTCACATTGAAGGTTGTCTAAACATTGCTCCATTTTAGATCTTTGTGCCTGATCTGTCATATTCACAGAGAGTGCACGTCCCCTAGTCTTTCTAGGAACATTGAGTGATGACATTGTATGTTTAGTTCCAATTCCAAATGTCTCTTAAAATTGTGTACTTTTGTTGATTTAGATGTATTTGTTTACGTATAGAAATCAATGGGATCAATTTGGTTGTGAGTGAGTTCCGACTCATCAGCTGACGCGTCACGTGTAAAAAGTTACCGGAATTCATAGGCTTTCAATTGTCCCGCAATTTGAAACTTTGTATGTGCATTGTAAAGAACTAAGATGAACAAAGGTGCTTTGATCTGAATGATTGAAGTGTTAAAATGGTGTGATTATTGCTGATTCAATATCCTCAGTGTCTTATTTCATCATTTCAGAAATTGTTTACACTCTAGGCAACTTGAATGCATCTGATACCGTTTAATTGCACTAAGTGCATACATTTCCATAGGCAAATAATGAACATCTGAGGTTGCAAAGTTGCAAAGTCGACTGTGAAGTTTGAACGTATTTTTCATTTATAAATGAATTACATTGCACTACTGTTCTTTCTAAGAGCTTCATACTGAGCATTAAATCATTTGAAACTTACCAGGTTAATTATTTTCAAATGACTGAACAATCAACTACAATTCCAATCACATGGCCTGAACTTTCACCTTCAAAACTTTCCACTGTCTTGACTGTTGCTGGATCAGACTCATCAGGTGGTGCTGGTATTGAAGCAGATGTCAAAGCTATCACTGCTAATGGAGCTTATGCTTTGACTGCAATCACTGCTTTAACTGCACAAAATACCAAAGGTGTTGATGCTGTTCAATATACAACAAAAGACCAATTTGAAAAAATTTTAAATGCCAATTTTTCAGATATTGATATTGGTGTCATTAAGACAGGCTTATTGACTGTTGATGCTATTGATGTTTTAGCTGATTATGTTACTAAATATCATGTTGGTAAACCATTTGTTATAGATCCTGTGTTGGTCGCTACTACAGGAGCTACATTGAGTAAAAAAGATGTTTTACTTAGAGCAATTGATAAATTAATCAAAAAAGCTACATTATTAACACCTAATTATCTTGAAGCTAAAGAAATTTTAAAGTATTTAAATAAAGATTTCGATATTGAAACTTTGGAAGATTTACAAAAAGCAGCAAAAATCATTCAAACTGAAACAGGTGTTGTTAGTGTCTTGTTAAAAGGTGGTCATATTCCATGGGATTCAAATAACAAAGTTGCATCTTCAGGTAATGAAAAATTCATAACAGATGTTTTATATCATTCAATTGATAACACATTCACTATTTATAAGTCAGATTTTATAACAACTGAAAATACACATGGTACTGGTTGTACTTTAGCTTCTTCAATCAGTGCAAATTTGGCAAAAGGTTATGATGTTAAACATTCTATTGATCAAGCTATTAGATATGTACATGGTGGTATTGTTGCAGCGGAAAAAATAGGACATGGGAATGGGCCATTAAACCATGTTTACCATATTGTATCACCACCAGCTCTTACAAATAACTTGAATACTTTATACACAGAAGGTCATTTTGTTGATTTCTTGAAAAATCATCCAACAGTAAAACCAATTTGGGAATTATATGTTAATCATCCATTTGTTGCACAAGTTTCATCTGGTACTTTACCAAAACATCAATTTGTTCATTATTTAAAACAAGATCATGCTTATCTAACAACATACGCTAGAGTTAACGCACTAGCAGCTGCTGTTGCTCCAGATATTGATTGTATCAGAATGCAAGCTGGTGTTTTGGAAAATATTGCTCATGAAATGACTTTACATGTTGGCAAATTGGCTAAGCATGGTGTTTATGACTTAAAATCTTTAGAATTAAGTCGTGCTGGTAAAGAATATGCTGACCACTTATTGAATATTGCACACCAAGGTGATTGGCTTGAAATTCTTGTTTCATTATCTCCATGTTTATTTGGGTATGGTGAAGCTGCTAATGCTGCTGATTTGAAAATTACAGAAGGTGAATATTTTGATTGGGTTCAAGATTATAGAGCCAAAGATTTCAATGATGCAATGGAATTAGGTAGACAAAGTCTTGAAAAGCATTCTATCGGTATAAGTACGGAAAAGGCCTTGAAATTGGTCAAGATTTTTGCAGATGTGTCATTATTAGAGGTTTATTTCTGGAATGATGCATTAAGTGTTGAAGAAGAAAAATAATTTTAAGCTGTACTTATAAATAACGTATATATTTTCAATAAACTTTTTCATTGATAATGTAACGAGCAACTTCGTCCGTAACATGTGTTTTCCAATCATCATCTGCCTTTTCTACACCGTCTCTTACTTCTGATGATGATATAGCTAGTGCATCTGGGTCATTCTCCATCAAGTGTATCTTGTCGGCCCATGAAGTTGGTAAATCTGTTTTGCCGTCTGCGATATCTTGAACATACTTGAATTGATCTGTAATGCTTTCGTTAGCTTCATCAGATCTCGTTAGGCAAAAAGTATCATTTCTTTGTATGAACTCATTTAAAGCTTGGGATATTGGAAGTGCTGTATAATATTTAGGATTGAAAATTCTGATCAATGTATCAAATCCAACAAGGAATGCAAATCTAACTTTTGACATATCAGGTACCCAACTATCTACCCATGTTTCAAGAGCTTTTGCCTTATCGATAAATTTTGGATACTCTGTGAGTGCAACTGTGACTGGTACTTCAAATTTTTGTTGAATGTGATCTGCAAATAATGCCATCATATCTAATCTTGATTCAAATTGTGCTGGTTTAGGTAATTTGTCCGCATTATTGATTGCCAGAAGTAAAACAACATGTATGTCATCAATTGAGGTCTTCTGATCTTGTGTGTAGTAGTCAATGGTTTTTGAAACGAGTGTGAGATGACCTTTTGTGGGTGGATTAAATGATGAATCTAAGATGCAAAGTCTTGAAATGTTCTGATTTAATGGTTTTTCTCCATGGTTAGAGTAAACAACTTCAAACCCTTTTTTTAAGTTTTTAAAATTTTGCAATTGCTTGAGAAATCGTAGTGGTGGAACCTCTATACTCATTTGGCAGATTTACTATATTATATTGTCTATGGGTTGTGTGATTTGTTGATGATTTCTTTCATAAGTGAAGTAAGATAACTAGAATCTCATGATGTTTTTTTAAATTCAGCACTATTTTTCGGAAATATACCTTTATCGGAAATGTGTCAAAGATCTCGTTTTAATATAAATATATTGTACAATATACATTTGAATATTTGTTTATATATAATATAATGAATGAATAATAGCTTGGTCTACAAGATCATCCATATAGCGCCACCAACTAAAGCTGATAAGACAATTGCAGTTAAAATACCACTACCAGCTTTATCCCTCCCTGTGATTTTTAAATCATCCTGATTTAATTGATTTTGTGAACCTGAAGGGTTTGATCCAGCAGATGCGTCACCTTTAGAGGTACCACCTGTATCATTTGTTAATGGTGCTGGTCTTTCATCAATTAGAAGATTTTGTATAACCTCTAAAGCTGAAATTTCTTCACCAAGACCATATTTATTATCCCAACTACCTTTGGTCCAATCAAGACCACAAGTATGACCATCGGTACCACCTGAACATGATTTTGCTGCTCCTTCAGCACTTTTTTGTAACCAATTTTGTATAGTACTAGCTGTGGAAGGGACCAATTGTGCTGTTTGTCCTAAAGATCTCGAAAAAATAGATTTGAATGAACGTTGATCATTATTACAAGTGCCTGAGCTTTGGCAACCCTTTTCATACATAATATCATCTTCGAAAAATATATCACAACCTTTCAATAAAGAATCAACTCTATCACCCCATGTGTCATCTTCTGTAGAATTATAGGCATATGCACAGCCTGCAAGTAATAGCCCATAATTATATGACCATTCTGATTTTGTGATATCAGTACAATTATCATCAATTTCAGCACCATCATATACTTGCATTTCATCACCTTCAACAACAAACTTGACATCAACCAACCACTGGTAAGCTTTTTCGGCCACATCAAAGTAGGTATCATTCCCTGTGTATCTACCCAATCTACATGCAATGTTGAACATACATGCAGTAGAAATAGTATTCTTATAAGAATAACCTGAATTCCATGTAAAAATTTGCCATCTTAAACCACCACCACAATGATCAGGATCCCATCTTAACCACATTGTATTGAAAACAGCTTGGGCCATAGCAATCCAACCAGGTGTATCATCATCTTTTGGATTTGTAAAATTTCTTTCCGCAGCTTCTAAAACAGCTATACCCCAGAAACCTTGATCATCATTACCTTCTGTAGTACTTTGATTTTTTGGTATATAATCATTATCATCACCCTTTTGTGCAATTAAAGCATTATAAATTAGATCTTCGTATGTATCGTTTTGACAGAAAAACCAATGACCAATTAAACTACCCATAGCTTCACCAGATTCCCACCAATAGTAAGGATTTGAAAACATTCCTACTGTACCACCATATTTATCACCTTCATAATAATCTAATGTACCATCAGCTATAAGTGCTGCTGCTGAACAAATTGAGTCTTTATCACTTATATCTAAATCAACGGCTATTGTACTAAATATGAACAATGCTATGGATGTAAAAAGACCTAGAAGCTTCATTTTTAAGCAATTTCCTTCCAGACTTGAGTAGTATTGAAATAACTCTTCAATTTATATCTATTTATCTCTTAATCTTCAAAATTTTCTTTGGTTTTATTGTAATTTATGTTTCTGTTTCTTGCTTGATTATCAGTTTGAGATGTTAAACTTTAAAAAAAGCCAAGCTAAAAATTATGCAATGGTACCTGTCTAGATGTCCGCCAAAAAACGCCAAAATTGTTCCCAAAAGGTTAGTTGATTGCACTTTCGTCTTTGGTTCAAGGTTTTGAATTGGATCAAGTTTCCAGTCAAACTTTGCTTCAATCTTTTGTCGGCTTACTAAAGAATTACAATGTGAATATAATAAGTAAACATTAAAAATTATCGTCAATCTACCAATATAGCTCATACAGCCTTCTTTCTGTGTTTATTTTTGGGAATCTGCTCGAAAATGTGCAAGAGCGCAAAAAAAGGTTGTGCCAAAAAAGCGAAAAAAAAATAATAACGCGAAAACGAGCATGAGCTACGTCGCTACGTCTATAAACATCTCTTTTAATTAATTTTGATTTAATGGCGGACAATAATATCCATTTTGAAGAGTCTACTATCAACGCTAATACTACTGATTAATTACTAATGTTCAGTGTTTATATCTATATAAATAAACTGCAAACTTCAAACTTTTTAAAAAAACAAAACAAACAATAATGCAAAATAATTTAATCTATAATCTAACCAATAATGAATGAAACAACTAAAGCAATCAGTGTAATTGTAAATAAACTGAATGAATTGGTAGTTGAAGATGCAGCACTTTCTGAAATTTGAGTACCATTCTTGTAAAAATATTTATAATCATCAAATGGATGTGGGAACAAATCTTTTTCAACAAGTTTCTTAAAATCCCATTCAATTGCAGTTTCAGTTTTATAATTCCAGAAAATCCATCCTGCATTGGTATTTTCATAAGTAATCAATTGTATTTCAATGTAATGACGAATATGTTCTTTATGTTCATCAGAAAAATCTTCATAATATGTAACATTTTCACAAGATTTTTTTTCATCTTTGAATTTAAATAAAGATTCTTGAGTACCATTGACACTGTTTGCTCTAATCAATTGTGTTTCATTGAATGTGTCATCGTATCTTGCACCTGTTCCAACACCGTTTAACCATTTAGCACAATCAGTGATAGCACCTGACCATTCACCAACAATTGAAGGGTGATACTCTTGTTCTTTGGCAATACCTTCACCAAGATTTCTAATATTTTGAGCTCTAGTATTTGGTGATTCTTTAACTGCTTCAACACTGAAAACTTCATAATGATGATGATCAACAACAATATCATGGAAATAATTTTTAGAAAGACCTTTATCATGTAATTCATCATTAATAAAAGGTTTTGAAACATTAGGGTAATCATTATTTAAATGATGATTCCAATAACCTATTAGTTCAAAAGCATCATGAATAACAAATGTATTTCTTGATTCTTGTTCAACTCTAAAGTCATAATAATTATTATAATAAAATTCATATAGTTCAGTAATATTCAATTTTGGTCCAAATGGTTCATTGGCGATTTCAATACCAATGACTGTATCTGTATAATTCTCTACACCATATTTACCAAATATATAACTTAAAGTTTTGTAAGAAAGTTTAATGTTTTCTTCTTCATCTTGCCATGTTACATTACCTCTTTTACCACTATTATCAAACCCATTCTGAGAACCTGGAAGACCATGTAAATCAACCCAAACTTTCAAATCGTTTTCCTTTGCCCATTCAATAGCCTTATCTAAGTATTTTTCTTGACCTTGAACATAAGGATCGTCATCTAATAAACCAAAAGCCCAATAACCAATTGGTAATCTAATCAAATTTAAACCAAAATTCTTAGCATCTTTAAAATCTTTTTCGGTATACCAAGTAGCCCAATGCTCATCCAATTGTTTCTGAGCTTCTTCTTTCCCTAATTGTTGAGTAAATGTATATTCATCCACTGGAATCTCGGTTTCATCATCACCAAATTGTTCAAATAATGAAGGTGTGATATATGGTTCAAGAACAAACCAACCACCAAATGTGACACCTTGGATTTTTTTATCTTCATCATCATAATCCCAGATGGAGTCATCTGATCCGTTCAAATTTCTCTTGATATGAAATGCTGAACATAATTGTAATGATATGACACTTAAAATCAGTGTATTAAGTAACATGGTTTCTATTTTTGGCACTTGAGATCTTTGAAATTATAATGAATTGTGAATAACTTTGACTCCCACCCACACTTGTGCTGATGATGATGATGTGTCAATGAGTGACAAGAGACAGGGAACACTCTGAGCCTTCACAAAAGCTTTGAAAGTTGAACCCCTTTGGATTTTGTGGTTTTGTGTGTTTGTGTCTTAAATTCCACGTCTTTTTGACTCAAATCTCGTCTTTGTGTAAACATAAATTCTTGGAAACCCTGCATTGACAATTTCGAAATCTTTGACTTGTGGTTTTCAATTAGGGCATGAGTTTATGAGACAACGACATAGTATATCTGGTAGCTGTTCATTTAGCCAGAAGATGCAACTTGAATCTAGTAGATACCAACTAAATAGTAAACAAAACCTTTTCGTCTCATTCTTCATTTGCACCAACCCCCATATATACTGGTGCTGACACTGTGCTTATGTCAGGCTGTGTAGTGAAAGGTACTGGTTGTGATATCCCTGACCACTGATAACTGATAACTGATCATGCTAATATCACAGTAGCCTAATTAATGTGATGGAAAGTCTGTTTGTATAAATATTCCATTGTCAATTTTCTTTTTCCTTCATTGTCCCTGTTCATTTTTTGAGTGGTTATTTCAAAAGAATAAACGGCTAAACTTAATTTCCCCAGATGAAAATTGAGTCTTTTCATGCTTTGATGACTTATTAATGAGGAGTTCACTGGGAAGTAAATTCAATATGGATGATTATAAAAGAGCCACTACTTCACTTTAGGGACAATGAGTTCTTTGTCTTCTAGTCTTCAAAAACATTGTTCAATATGTCAAGATTGGATAACAAAATTGTACTCATTACTGGTGCTGCATCAGGTAATGGAGAAGCAACAACAAGAGAATACCTGAAAAAGACTGAAGGTAAAATCAAATTAATATTAATTGATATTAATGAAAATAGATTAAAAGATTTGAAAAATGAGTATTTGCAAAAATACACCAACTTAACAAATGATGATGTTTATACAAGTTATGGTGATTTATCTAAATCTGAAAAAATTCATGAATTTTTCCAAAAAATACCTAAATCATTGATTGAAAACTTGGATATCCTTATAAATAATGCAGGTTTAGCAAGAGGTTTAGAAAAAGTTGGTGAAATTGATCAAAAAGATATTGATTTAATGTTTAGTACAAATATTTTAGGTATGATTACATTAACTCAATTGATTGTTCCAATTTTCAAGAAAAACAATAAAGGTGATATAATTCAATTAGGTTCACTTGCAGCAGAAGATCCATATCCTGGTGGTTCAGCTTATTGTGCAACAAAAGGTGCAGTTTCAACATTCACCACTTCATTAAGAAAAGAATTGATTAACTATAACATCAGAGTTTCATTAATTGAACCAGGTATTATTAGAACAAATTTCTCAAATACAAGATTTAATGGTGATGAGACTAAAGTTAATAATGTATACAAAGATTATGAACCTTTAAATGCAGATGATATTGCTGATTTAATCATTTATATCACTTCTAGACGTGAAAACTGTTCAGTTAGTCAAGTTGTGATTTTACCTACACATCAAGCAACAATGAGTGATAAGGCATACAGATGATTTAGCTCCACCAGTACTTTTCATGAAATTTTGATAATATAATATATGGATTATGAACGAACTTTTAGCCTGATTTGTAGCTTTGATCGCGTTCTGAAATGTTCAATGTCGTAGAGATTATATTAAAAGGGAAAAAAATCCGGGGTAGCATACAGCGAAAAAAGGATAAATAAAATTAAACCCTCAAAAGATCCAACACCTATATCAATGATCTAATTTCGACAATTTTATGACTTTCAAACTATTAACTTGATAGATTCATAGCTATTCTTTAATGTTCGAATCACTTAAGGGTAAAACAGTGCTAATCACAGGTGCTTCCAGTGGTATTGGTGAAGCAACAGCAAAGACCTATGCTGAAGTTACAAATGGGGAAATATCCCTAATTTTATTAGCAAGAAGATTTGATAAATTGAAAGAAGTTCAAAAATATATTAAAACAAAATTGCCAAATACTAAAATTGTTGTTCAATCAATTGATTTATCACAAACAGATCTTATTTTACAATGGGGTGATTCTAATCAAGAACTAATTAACAAATTAGATATTCTTGTTAATAATGCTGGGTTTGCACATGGATTGAAAAACATTGGTGATATTCCACACTCAGATGTTACAAATATGATTAACACAAATTTAACCGGTCTAATAACATTAACACAAATTGTGGTTAAATCTTTCAAATTTAGAAATACAGGTGACGTTGTTAATATTAGTTCAATTAGTGGTAAAGATCCTTATATCGGTGGGGCAATTTATTGTTTAACTAAAACTGCTATATCAACATTTTCTGATGTCTTGAGAAAAGAATTCAAAGATACAAATGTTAGAATTATTGAAATATTACCAGGTTTAGTACAAACAGAATTTGCATCTGTGAGACATGATGGTGATTCTTTAAAAGCTGAAAAAGTTTATCAGATTTATGAACCACTTAGTTCAAAAGATATTGCAGAGGGGATTATTTGGAGTACATCAAGACCACCAAATGTTCAGGTGGCTGAATTAATGTTGCTCCCTACTCATCAAGCTTCAATGAGAGATGCTGATATGCAAAGATGAATTAGCTAAGAGATTGATGATAAGTATTATAGCTAGTAATATGAGCATAGTATCTAACTGGCTTAATATATATCATATTTCATTTTTTTTTTATTATTGTAGGCTCATATATCGTGAAATGATTTAACTCTCAATTTCAAATCTGTATTACAATTGTGCCCAGGAATTAGTTTTAATTTTATTCATATAATATAGACTTTCGATATATTGTACGTCGGAGTTTATCGGGTTTAGCTTGAAAGCTCTTGAATTTTAATAAAACTTACTTTTGAGCCCAAAATAACGTATTAAGAGCTTGAAAAAATCATAAAAAGTATAATTGAGTGCCATAGTATGTTTTTGTAGTGTTATTTAGGCGAAATTCAACAAAACTAAATTTAAAGTTTTTTGAAATATGGACTTATATTTCTTTAATATTAACTTTCAAAATGTAGTAATTAAAAAAACACAAAATTTCAAACTTTGAAAAACACCTTTTTGAAAGCACTATGAGATACTTTACCTTTAAAGGACCATATATGAATATTTTAAACTCTCCTTCTTTATACAAAAATATCTTTTAATATCTAATATTCCATATCTTAGTTTATTGCTTACCAATCATTACATAAGCAACGGTTTTTCGTGATATTTGTGTTTTTTCCCTGCAAAAAATTTAGAGGTTAAAAAAAAATCAATTCGATCTCCCATAATTACAAAGTGAATTACATACGTACACGTTGGGAAACAAGGAAGGTTTAGCTGTTTCAAAGCTATAGTTCAAGATATTTTGGAACCAAAAGAATACCCTGATATTGACAGAATAAGTAGATCCATCTGAGGATGTCCACAAATGATGCTCTGAGGTCCAAGAAACAATTTAAATCTCAATCTGTGAATAGTTTATTCAGACAACAAGCTAGTTTATCTGAGAATCAAGATGGGAAATCTTCTACAAGTTCATTAGCACTTAAAAAGAAATCAAATGGCTCTACAACTAAATTGAAATTGGTTTCTAAAAAATTGAATACTGTCAATAGATCAAAATTAGAAAAAAAAATATCTGAATCACCAAAAGAGAATTCTCCAGCACCTGTTTGGAATAGCAGGTCATCATCTCCTGAACTAAAGAATAATCAAATAACTCCCAAAGGAAAGAATGATACTCCATCCACTACCAAAGAGAACAATTCAAATATTGAAAATATTAAAAATAAGAATATAGTATCAAATGTTCAAGAAACCCCTGAACAACCCAAACAACTTAATAGTACAACACAAACACCAGAAACTGTTCCATCATTACCAGACCAGATACCATCACCAGATACAACACAACAATTAACAGCAGAGACTACAAATGAAGAAGAGGAGGATAACATGTGGCTAGATTTACAAAATCAAATACATAATGAAACTAAAAATACTCAAACTAATGATTCATCTTGGGCTTCAACAAATACAAAATTAGCAAGCTTTAGAAAATCTTCACAAACCCCAACAGGTATTCAATCATTGAATCAATCACCTTTAATCTCAACATCAAATAATAACAATAATAATAATGATTTATTTATCGAATCACCAGTGGATTTTTTCAACTTGAATAATACAAGACAACTTTCATCAGAATCCATCTTTTTCAATAAACAATTCAATAACAACAACAACAAAAATATTAATAACCAAACACCTGATTCAATGTTACATAATGGCTATCCTCAAATAAGCTCCCCTAATATACCAGAAAATAATCCGTGGAGTACAAATTTTAATCTATGGGGTAATGATGATAGACAATTATCAGCAAAAAGTGATTCATTTCTTTGGTCACCATTCAATCAGAACCCTCAAAGCTCAATTGAAAAAAACGATGATCCTTTGAAAAGAATTGGTTTAGAATCTCAGACCAGAATTACATCAAGATTTTTTCCTTCACCTAATATCAAGCAAGAGAAATCATCCCCCATTCCAACTCAACCATTAAGATCGGCTTCTGACAAATTCGTTGAAGAATTAACTAATAAAAAGTCAATTGAGGAAAGCATTGATGGTATCATTAAAACCATTGGACCTAAAACTATACATCCAAGTTATCTGAAAACTTCAACATTTGAACTAGAACTGGAATCATCCTCTGGAAATCCATATTTTTCTTCACAAACACCACCTCCACCATCATCATCATCATCATTGTCATCTATTAATATACCAGTTTCATTCCCGGGATCAAGAATTAATAGTAATACAAGTGTCAATATGAAAAATAATACAACACAACAAGAGCTCAAGAAGCCAAATTTATCAACAAATGATCAATATTACCCAGAAGGTTTTGCCTCAACTTTTTATAAAAGAGGTATAAATAATTTCATGTTTGTTAGAGAGTTACAACCTAAATTGATTACATCAAAAGCTAAAGATACAGTGGAAGTTCGAGTTTCATTACCTTCAATAAAGACCAATATCCAGGCTGAAGAAGATGTTTTTTTCAAAATGAGATGTTACATTATAAATGTTAGTCTGAGAGAATTGAATGGTAGAAACAATAATGGATATAAAGTATCACAGAAAGCTAATGGGCATATTAATAATAGTAATTATAACGGTAATAACATTAATTTTAATGGGAAACCAAGATTCGGTAATTCGAATTATAAAAAGGGACACAGTAACGGGTATTACAGGAAGAGTCAATGACCAGGGAATATAAAACGATCATTTACAAGAGGGAAATTAGAATAGAAACAAAAACTATGTGTATAATGAATTATAGTGTTTTAATATGAAAAGTTTATATTTATAGAATCTTTTTGCTTAATTGGTATGTACTATTTACTGTGTAGGCTATTTAATTATCACCCGCGAATTTTTATAAAAAAGAAAAACTGTTGATTATCAAAAAAGGGTCTGATTAACTGCATTTTTGGAAAGAAGCTATATTTGTTCAAGTGTGTTCAGGTCAGTGGTATTTTGATAGAAGCTTCCAGTCATAAGTATAGAGATGGCACAACTGCGGGAAGATCTGGATGCCTACAGGTTGTTCAAAGAGCTCCTGGGAGGGTTCGGAGAGTTTGATGTCTATGAATTAACTGCGGGAACAATAACAACACCAGAGAAATTTATTGAACTATCATTTCCAGCTTATTACATTACGAATATAACATCAGCAGTGTTCAATAGTACGGAGTTTAAGAATGAGGTGATGGAAATTTCAAATGAATTAGAACCAATGTTTTATAATAAAGAATCATTTGTTGGAGGTGTTGCAACTATATCATTTGTTTTATCAGGTACCACTACAGCTAGTTGGATGATGTTTTTACTATTGTTTCTTGCTTCAAATACTATACCCAATTCTTTAATTTTAACAAATTTATTTTTTTCAGTTAGTCATAGTGTTATGCTGGTCAAATTAACTAAAATTTTACAATGTCAATATAGTCAAAATTATTCAGATATGGATGAAGTTAAAAATTGTATAACATTTGGTACAAGTTATCTTGTTGTACGATCCATATCCACATTATTAGTTTGGATTTCATGGGTTGATATAATGGTTCAAATATCAAAATATTCATATAAAAAGAAAATAATTATATGTGGATGTATTTTAAGTATTATAAATTTTGCAATTAGATTAGCATATGGATTTTTATATACAAGAATGGATAATAATGAACCAGGATTTAAAGCTATAAAAGGTATACATTATGCTTTTGACTACTTGATGTTGATAATATTTATTTGTCAAGTTGCTAGATATACTATTAGAAAAAGACAATTTGCATACAATAGGAAAACAATGGCTTTAGCAGTTTTCAGCTGGATTATAATGTTGACACCATTTGTTTTTTGTACTATAGATGTTATTTCATATTCTTTGAGAACGTGGTCATCATATATTTTTTCATTTGCTATTTTATCTTCTATAGTGGTTATTTGGGAATGGATTCATACAATAAGAATAATGGAATTGAAATATGAAAGAAAAGCTGTCTTGGGGAGAAGGATTTCCAATGATAGTTTCTTAGATGACCCAATGAATCCTAATTTAGATCCAAAACATCATCATAATAATGGATATATCCTCAAGAGTTTGAATTTACTTACACTTTTATCATCATTAAATTTCTGGGGTAAGTTACAAAAATATTTTCAAACGAAAACTCATCAATATTCCCAGGCAAACTCGGATCATCCAGAAGATGTGTCATTCATAGAGATGGTAGATGGACTATCAAGACAAAGCTCATATCAAGGGTCAGCAGTATCGTATGATAATCACCCAGAGTTTAACATAGATCATCGGTATCTAAGGAACACTCCTTCTTCTTTTGCAGGAAGTCGAGATACACCTTTAAGTATGAGACCAGCTTCTTCTGAACCACCACGAAGCAAAGGCCCCACCCCTCGTATCAACGAAGAATCTACCCAGGAATCCCATGAAACAAATGACGACCAAAACAAATACAACTAACGAAATTATGACTAAACTTTGTATATTTTAATAATGAAAAGTTTTTATTTATTCAATATTGATCTAATTTGTATGGAACTTTTCAACCCCGGAAATTTATTTTCTGGCAGATTCTAGAAAATTCCGACTCCAATTTGAGTCAAAGGTATAAAAGAACTCGTAACTCCATGATTTGACAGTTATTTGAAAGCTAGATTGCAAACAAGATTAGCTGTTAACTTACTGAAAGATAAATGCTAAGCAAGAGAATTCCATCATCATTAAGAGTTGTGCACAAGCTGGAGTCTTTGGGGGTAAATCATGCCTCCACAAGATCTCTATCCACTTTAATCAATAATCAATCTTTGAAAAATGCTAGGTTTAATTATAATAATCACAAAGCTTTGAGTCCAAAGATCTCCTTAATTCAACCTGCTAGATTTGCAAGTAATGGTCCAGGTGGAAATGGTGGTTTCAGAATGAATATGAACCAAGGACAACAAGAAGAGGAGAAACCAGCTTTAGAACAATATGGTACAAATTTAACAAAATTAGCTGAACAAGGTAAACTAGATCCAGTTATTGGTAGAGATCAAGAAATAAGAAGAGCCATTCAAATTTTATCAAGAAGAACTAAAAACAATCCAGTCTTGATAGGTAGTGCTGGTGTTGGTAAGACAAGTTTGATTGATGGGTTGGCTCAAAGAATTGTTAAAGGTGAAGTACCAGAAAGCTTAAAAAATAAACAGTTAGTTGCTTTGGATCTTGGTGCTTTAATCGCAGGTGCAAAATTTAGAGGTGAATTTGAAGAAAGACTGAAAAAGGTTTTAGAAGAAATTGATCAAGCAAACGGTGAAGTTATCATATTCATTGATGAAGTTCATATGTTGTTAGGCTTAGGTAAAACTGATGGTTCAATGGATGCTTCAAACATCTTAAAACCAAAATTAGCAAGAGGGTTGAGATGTATCTCTGCTACTACATTAGACGAGTATAAGATCATTGAAAAAGATCCAGCTTTATCAAGAAGATTCCAACTAATCCAATTAAATGAACCAACTGTGGAAGATACAATCAGTATCTTGAGAGGTTTGAAAGAACGTTATGAAGTTCATCATGGTGTTCGTATCAATGATTCGTCATTAGTGTCAGCTGCTACTTTAAGTAATCGTTACATTACTGATAGATTCTTACCAGATAAAGCTATTGATTTGGTTGATGAAGCTTGTGCTGTCTTGAGATTACAACATGAATCTAAACCTGATTCAATTCAAATACTTGATAGAAGTATAATGACTATTCAGATTGAACTGGAATCATTGAAAAAGGAAACAGATCCTTTATCTGTTGAAAGAAGAGAAAAATTAGAGAAAGATCTAAAGCTAAAGCAAGAAGAGTTGAAAAGACTAACTGAAGTTTGGGAAACTGAAAAAGCTGAAATTGATGCAATCAAAAATGCTAAAAAGGATTTAGAACAAGCTAAAGTTGACTTAGAAATTGCTCAAAGAGAAGGTAATTACGGTAAGGCTTCTGAATTACGTTACGCAAAAATCCCAGAATTACAGAAAAAAGTTGAAATAAGTGAACAAGAAGATCAGAAACAAGATTCAATGCTACACGAATCAGTTACATCAGATGATATTTCAAAAGTTATATCTAAAATGACTGGTATACCAATTGATACTGTTTTGAAAGGTGATAAAGATCGTTTATTATACATGGAAGATTCTTTGAAAGAAAAAGTTGTTGGACAAGATGAAGCTATTCACGCAATTTCAGATGCTGTTAGATTACAAAGAGCTGGTTTGACAAGTGATAAGAGACCAATTGCAAGTTTTATGTTCTTAGGTCCAACAGGTACAGGTAAAACAGAATTAACAAAATCTTTAGCAGAATTTTTGTTTGATGATTCAAGTAATGTTATAAGATTTGATATGTCAGAATTTCAAGAGAAACACACTGTTTCAAAATTAATTGGTGCTCCACCTGGATATGTTATGAGTGAATCTGGTGGTCAGTTAACTGAAGCGGTCAGAAGAAAACCTTATTCTGTTGTTTTATTCGATGAATTTGAAAAAGCACATCCAGATGTTTGTAAAGTTTTATTACAAGTGCTAGATGAAGGTAAATTAACAGACTCACATGGTACTCACGTTGATTTTAGAAATACAATAATTGTTATGACATCGAATATTGGTCAAGATATTTTGTTACAAGATGAAGAAATTAAGAGTGATACAGGTATTGTTTCTGAATCCACAAAGAATAAGGTCATTGAAGAAATGAAACATAATTATCCACCAGAATTCATAAATCGTATTGACGATGTTTTGGTGTTCAATAGATTATCCAAGAAAGTCCTACGTAACATTGTTGATATTAGATTGAAAGAGGTCCAAGAAAGATTAAATGATAAGAGAATTACTTTAGAATTGTCAGATGAAGCTAAAGATTGGTTAACAGAACATGGTTACGATAATCTATATGGTGCTAGACCATTGAACAGATTGATCCAAAAACGTTTGTTAAATCCAATGGCGATCTACTTGTTAAAAGGGCAAATTGGTAATAATGAAACTGTTAGAGTTGGTGTTAAAGATGGCGAGCTGGATATTCTTCCAAATCATGAAGAAGGTGCTATTGATGAAAATCAAAATGCATAGGATAAACTGATCAATATCATGTATATATATATATATAAATTTTATGACTTGAATGAAAATAATAAAAAAAATAGACCGTAGCTATAAGTAATTCGTCAGAATTATATACTCTCTGTATATGATTATTTGTAATTTCTGAATCACATAATGTACGGTTTGACAATTACAACTATATTAGATTATAGTCATGTATAGATCAAATAAATAAAATAAGGTATAATTTGTTCAATAAATATGCCGATATAAATAAATATAATAATAAATATATAAATAATACGTTATTGGTTTAAATTCCTTATAGAAATTTAGACAGGAGCTGCTCCCTGAAAATCAGTAATTGTTGGGGTTTCAGGATCGGCTTCAATAAGCGTCTCTGTCCACTTGGTTCCACTTTTCAATGTTTTAGGACTTAGCTCATTGATTCTCTTTTCCCATATAATATCAGCAGGATCTTGATCAGGCTCGGACCATTCAAAATTATCACCACCAGATAACCAATATTCTTGCATCATTATTTCACTTTCAGGCTCAACAGGTTCCAAGTCTTTACTATCTAGTTTATGCACAAAGTTAGCACTTAAAAACCCTTCAACACCATTAAGCTTAGAGTCAACCTCAGCAACTCTTGTGAGCATTTCAAGTTCATCTGAATGTCTAGATCTATAAATTTGCGAAACACCTTTTTGGAATTGAATAAGTGGCGATTGACCTGTAATCTTATCACTGAATGATAAGGTCGCGAAAAGTGTCATATTCAAGACATATGTAACAATCATAGCATAAACACCAACCATTGGTTCTAAGCCAGCACTTCTAAAACCAATATCGACAGTACCGACTAATCCACCAAGACCAGCGAAATATTTCATCAAGGTATGAGCTTGTTTTTGCCTTTTGTATGCAATGAATTGAGGTGACCCGGTGGTAAGTTCGACCACCTTTGTAGCAGACTCAATGTCACCATCCCATAATAAATGCCTGACAGGAAGCATCGCTGTCGATCTAGGAATATGTGCCTCTGGATTTTTGGCATAATAAACGTTGATGATTTTTATTATATGACTTGCTGGTGGTTTTAATACCATTATCTCCTTTAATGATTCTTGATTTATTTTGAAGTTCGGAGAGCTTAAGATATCATCAATAAGCTTTGAAACTTGGACTTCATTTCTCTTTGAGTTAAAATTAAGTACATCTTTGATCATTTTAGTGAACGTAGTTGTATCAACTTTGACATCTCCCTTTGTTGAATTTAAGGTTTGCTTAATTGAATTTGTGAGTTTAACTAGATTCTGGTGCTTATTTAGAGTCTGACCCGTACCAAAGCATCTCCTGTTTATACCAATCTTCAAAATTTGATGGAGCATCCTAGCTGCTGTTGCTATGTATAGTTAATATTTAAAGTTGTAATTAAACAGATGTTGAAGATCCGTTTTTCTGAACATGAACTGGGGTTAAAATTCGCGGGTTATTATTCTCCATCTAAAGCCTGCAATTGAACAAAGTACACTTTAGTACTGGTACTGGCTCAATAGTACTTTCAAATATGCTCTCGATAATATTGTTACATACTAAAGAGTATATATCAAAGTTTTGTACACCTCAAGGTCTTTTGAAAGCCAAAAAAAAAAAAAATTAACCGGTTTTGACCCAAAAAAGGTTCAGGCGAGATTCGAACTCGCGACATTCTGTGGGTGAAACAGACGTGATAACCACTACACTACTAAACCAAATTTTCGAAAAAATTAACTGCTGAAAGAACCTACAGTATTAAAAGTTTTGATATTTAGCCGCGGGCCGCCGGGGGGTTTTCAACATTTTGATGTTGATATTATCATTTTCAAATTATAGAACTGTCATCACAGGAAGTATTCAGTGATCCAGAGCTACATTTCACCCTTCTGACTAATTGAATGACGATCATCTGTAATATAAGTACACGTTTAATGAGCTTAAAATTTGGTATAAATGTAATATGATAATTCAGAATTAGTTCTATAGTGGTACCACGAGCATTGAGTAGGGCCTATTATCATGGACAAATTGGGATAGTTATATAAAATATTAAGCTTCCAATAAGGTATACCTTGTGTCACAATGACTGATAAGTACGTCATACTTAGGCCGGTCTCTTATATAGCTTATACTAATTTTGTTAAATCACAACATCTGAAATATATAGGAAAAGCACCTGGTGGATCAGTTTGATAATAAGCTAAATTTTGAGTTAGTCCTAGTGTCTAAAATTTAACATTAACCATGAGGTGTATGATCTTTTGATACACTAGCTTCATCTTTATATATTAATATTATACCTGATCAGCCTCTCAATGATTGTCTTGAACCGGTGGGTTTAGCTGACAGCTAGTAAACCAAATTGAATAATTTAAAATTAGCTAGTATGTGCATGAATAGAATCAGGCACAAGGCCTAGTGTATGTAGGAATAGTTATCTTGATAATATTACCATCTAACCACCCGATAATATAGCAGAATAGCATCACAATTCACAATATTTTACGCGATAACTGATATTAATTCAGTGTCCACCAGAAGCTGTAACTGAATAAAGATCAAGAGATGGTCTGAATCGCTTATTGGGAATTAATCCAACGGTTTTTAATCCGTAACAACAAAATGAAATATACCCAAGAGCTCAAGCCCTCAAGCCTCAAGCCTACCTTTGTAACTTACACAATGTGTATTATGAGGCGGACCACCACGCTCCCAATTAATCCGATTCTGTGCCTCAGTTACCTTAAGTTTTAACACACTAATATTTGAATCTTCAGAAATTTAGCACCTAGACCTTGGGATATTTGTTGCAGTTAATCCGGTTATTGATTTGTGAGGTTGTTTTGGTTTTCTAGGTACTCCTTATGATGAGGCTGAAATATTCCGGATTCCATGATCGTGGACGTGAAGTCTGAAATACAATCCACCCAGCTTGAGCCTTGAATAACAACTAGATACTATAGTGTAACTGAGTCTAGGACTTAATGAGGTTTCAATACTTGATTACTATTGGATTAAATTTTTGAGTCCAAGTATTTGGGTGTAAAAAAACAGCTGATTTCAGTAATTTGGTTATAAAATATCCCGATCTAATAATTTCTAGAAACAGTACAAACGTCTTTTTTAGTGGGACGTTTACATAAGCGATTATATACATTAACGTGGGACGATTCGTGGGGTCTCTAAAAACCTGTCAAATTAAAATTAAAGGCACCAAAATTACACAAAACCACACGTCGACAGCTGGGAGTGGATAACTGAATGACGTTAAACTAGTCTTAGCGTCTTAAATTATATTAGATTTTACAGAATAATATCATGAGGTATACTAGCCTCGCTTTAGTCTATAATTCATTAATTCTGTATTTCATTTTTATATACTATAACGATTTCGCTTTATATTATATATAGTTTTCTATTGATCGAAACAATCGTTCATTATCAACAGGAGGTTAAATAATTAGCTGTGATGTAGGTTGTATGAATATTTATATGATCTATTATATGTCAAATTTTTGATCCCATGAATCTAATTTCATGGTACCATTTAAAGCCAAATTCAAATGCATCTTGAAAGCATCTCTTAAAATATGTGGTTGATGTAAAGATTTAGTTTTTTGTGTGTAATGTTCAGCTCTATTAACGTAATCTAATAATTGATCAACATAATCTGGATGAGCAATGTTTTTAATGATTTTTCTTGATCTTTCTTTTGGTGATAAACCTCTTAAGTCAGCTAAACCATGATCAGTAACCAAGACGTCCAAGTCGTGTTCGGTATGATCAATATGAGAAACAAATGGAACAACACATGAAATACCGGTTGGATCAACTTTTGAAGGTCTTGCAGCTGGTGTATGCATGATAGAAATTTTAGCATTTCTTAAGAAGTCACCAGAACCACCTAAACCATGTAACATTTTAGAACCTGAAACATTTGTAGAGTTAGCATGTGCATAAATATCAACTTCGACTGGTGTATTCATAGCAATGACACCTAATCTTCTAATAATTTCTGGAGAGTTTGAGGTAACTTGAGATCTTAAACATAATTTGCTTGAGAATTCATCCCAGTTGCTAAAGAATTTTTCAAAACCTGGTTCGGTTAATCTAATTGAAGTAGCAGTAGCGTAATCTAATGAACCATTTTGGAATAATTCTAAAAATGAATCTTGTAAAACTTCAGTCCAAACAGTCAAGTTCTTGAATTTAGCATCAGCTAAACCTTCAATAACAGCATTAGCAATGTTACCAATACCTGATTGTAAAGGATGTAAGTTTTCTGGAACTCTACCAGAGGCAACTTCAGCTCTGAAGAAGTCAACCAAGTTGGCGGCAATAGCTTGGGACATTTTATCAGATGGAGTATTTGCTGGAACTTTATCTTTTTTGGTTGATTCAACAAGAGCAACAACTTTACTTGGATCAATTGGAATTGCAGTAACACCAGATTTATGAGAAGCTGAAGTGTATGGTAAAGGTGGTCTGTTTGGTGGATTGATTGGCATATCAATATCATGTAAACCTTCAAAAGATGGTGTAACTGTGTTTAATTCAATAATAATTTTATCAGAAACTGACAGCATTTCTGGGGAGGCACCAACAGCTGGACCTGGAACAATTGAACCATCTTCTGTAATAGCGGTAGCTTCAATGATTGTATAATCTAATAAATCATTTTCTTTTTCTTTTGTGTAGAAACCATAGGTTAAATCTTGTGGGAACATTGATAAATGCTTATCAAAAAATTGAATTTTACCATCGTTGATATTTTGAGCAATTGGTTTACCAACTTGATGAGGAGCTCTTCTTGCAATCATGTTGTTAGTAGCCCATCTACTTTCTTCAGGACCAGCTGAAGCACCAACAAATAAGTTGAATTGTAATTGACCTTGTAAATTGTTATCTTCAACATGTTGAGCCAAAGCATCTGGAACAACTTTAGGAGCACCAACACCAGTGAAACCTGACCAACCTAAATATTGACCATTTTTGAATAATTCCACAGTTTGTTCTGGAGTTCTTAATTTTTGTAAATATGGAGCATATCTAACTCTTTGTTTCAAGATTTGTGACATTGTGCAAATGAAAGAACGGATTAACTATAAATCAACGGATAAATCAAGAGATGAAATTGAATATAAAGAATCAAATTTGAAACTTGACGAATGACTGTTTAAATATACCGCACTGCTAAAATAAAGTACAAATTCAAAAGCTTTGTTTACAAATCTGGTTGGGTCTTTGGAGGGGAATTGAAGGCTTTAAATATTATACAAGTAGACTTTCCACTTTCTAAATTCCGAGGGCTCCAGGAAAACTTGGAGAAAAGTGGGAGATCTTAAAAATCTGGAGGGACTCGGTGGGCTTGAGGTGTTAAGTCCAGAATAGAGGGGTGTACATAATTGGGTATATAATTAGCGAGATCAAGGGACTAGAGACTACGATATCTTCAACACTTTACTTCAACAATTGATCATGATGAATCTTTCAAAATCTATTAAATCTATTAATGAAATACTTTCTATGATTATTCATTTCAGTATACCTCGAAACTCCTATGTCCTATACAATAAGCACTCAACGCTCACGGACCGGCGCCCGAATCGCTCATGACTTGATCACACTCCAAGGAGCAATGGAATCTAACAAATTCACGAGCTTAACTATGGCAAAGGGACAATTTACCAATATATACTATGAATAATTGTCAGGTGGACTCCACAATTTTTGGAATCCAACGATCCAACCAACCGGCTCCCGGTTTACTCCTATTGTAACCTCAATTGTTCAATTAGATGACAGTATTATTTCATCGATCATTTGTTAATTGAGCTATATATATTTTGAGTTAGACCGCTCAATTCTTTTGTCTTTTGTTTGAATATGTTGAATATATTATGTTGAATCAGCTTGTTGGTTTGTGGCTTGTTTTGACGTGTATAGTATTTATTTTAGTTAATTTTATCTTCTCCAACTTTTATTTGATCTTGCGGCGGGCCTATAAATAATCGCAATCGACTATTGCTTCCTAAAGTGGTCAATCGAGGCTAGATAACACATTAAAAATTAAATATATGTGTACTACAATTTAAACGTTTAAACGATACCCCAATAATTTTGAACAATAAGTTAGTCTCTTGTTTATTCATCATGTTTTTGCAAATATCTATAGTAATTTTCAATCAAGATCCGATCATTAGACCAATTTTTATACCTTAAAACTAATTCTCGTATTTCCAAAAGTTTCTCCATTGGATTATGATTTTCAATTGTTATATCTGTTTCAATCAGTACAGATTCATCAGGTATTATCTTCAACACATTTTCTAATTCATCCCTTTTAGCATTATTATTGATAAATGAAGATAATGATATGAAAAAATGGATTTTAGATTTCTTGAATGTTTTGATGAAGAGTTCTAATGTTTCAATTGATCCCGTATATGAATGTAAGCATATTGATCCAACATAATTAGGATAATCTTTCAACACTTTTAACAAAATTTCATGAATAACACCACTTGTTTTGACATTATGTATTGATATACTTAAATTCAATTCAAACGCCACTTTCAATTGTTCAATAAATATACGTTTTTGATGATCCATATTCACTTTATAATTTGTCAATCTTATATCTTGTTCCTTTCCACAACATTGAGGATTACCATAGAATCCAGATGTGGGTATTCTAAATAACTTATCAAGGCCAATCTCTCCAATGACGATGGGTTTTTGATATTTGGGTATCAATTGTTTAATCATACTCAAATGCTGATGAAAATCAATTGGATCTGGTAGTAATGTCAATAATTCATTATCAACAGATTCTTTCTTGAAAATTTGAGAATAATGTTTTTGTTTATCAAATACTTGATCTAGCGTGAAGAAGTGTGAATACCATGGATGAACTCCAAAACTTGGTGTAACTTGAGGTATAGATGCAAATTTAGTAATATATTCCAAATCAATATGATTTGTGGACATCAACACTAAGCGAAGATCCTCCTTCAAACATATCTCTTTATAAGTTTCCACTAAACCATCGATTGATTCCTTTGCAACGTCTGTTCCAATGTGACAATGTGCATCGAATATCATTGTAATTCTTTTTGTTTGAGGTTTCTAAGTGTCTATTGTTTTCTAGAAATCTATTTTTCCTGCCGCAATGGAAAAATCACAGGATCTCTTTTTCTTTAAAAAAAAAAAAAAAAACAAACATAAAAAAGTGCACACTGTCTTTTAGCAAGCAATACATACAAGATCAAATTTTTAACAACAACAAATACTATAAAAGCTAAACAATTTAAGCGCTCAATTGCAATTATTCAATTAATCCATTTATCATCAAGGAACATTCATCATGACATTGATCGTGGCTTCTTTGTAAGTATTCATAGGAGTTTAGACGCTCACGTTTTTGTGTCGTTTTTCCCGTATATGCTTGATTGTGGGATGATGGTTAAAAGGTAGTATATACTAACAGAACACAACCAGGTTCTTACCTTATACGGTTGAATTTCAAATGAATCAAGTTGATGAGGAGTCAATAGAAGAATTAGCTCAATCTCATCCAATTACTGTTCCAAAACAAAGAACTGCTTCAATTAACGCTGGTAATGTCAATCCAAATGGACCTCAACCTCCAACAACAGGTACAAACCCAACAGGTCCAGGTTCTATCCTGAATAAACAATCACATGAACAGTTCAATACGAATAATTCATCAGTTGAGGATTTCTTTTATCAATCATCTAATAATTCACCAAATGCTTCAACTTTACACCTCAAGCCAGGTTATACTTTTGGTTCTGCTCAATCAACAACTTCAGAACAACCATCACAATTAGCTCAACCTCATGCTAAATTACCAGATGCTTTAGTTTCAGCTCCTGAATTAGCAATTGCTGCTGCTCAAGCACAAGGTGTTATCCCACCAAAGTCTGAAACACCTTTCGAAGACTTGAAGAAGAATGCATCACAATCAAATTTATCAAGCTTAACAGGATCTCTTAAAAGTGGCACACCAAACCCTCATTCATTATATGCCAACAAAAGTTTGAGCGCTAATGGATCTTCGACTTTCATTCCAAAATCAAGAGTGAACTCACCTCCACCAAACTCTGTTACTGAAGCTAAGAAATCAAGAGGTTATGATGTTGGTATCCCAGCGGTAAAACGTGTACACCCAAGATCTAATTTGAAATATCGCACAGATTCTTTTACTGAAAATGAAAGAACTAATGAAGATATTTCTAAAATCCATAGAAATTCAGTTGCTAATTTAGAATTAGATGATGATTATGATTCAAATCGTAACTTTGAAATTCCAAAATTTGGGGGTGTTTCAAACAAAAAGATTTTACATCAACAAGATAAGGCAAACATTTTCGAAAAATCACCTTTCAATGTCGTGGAGTTTGCTAAAGGTAATGGTGGTTTGAAAAATGCTATAAATTCATCTTTAGAGGATGGTATTGTTAATGACTACACATGGTTGGGTACTATTGGTATCCCAACAGATGAATTACCAGATTCCACCAAGGGTAAGATTGTTGAAAAGTTAAGGTCTGAATATCACTCTGAATCTGTTTTACCAAGTGATTTTACTTTCCAAGGCCATTATAAAAATTTCTGTAAACAAATTCTGTGGCCTACTTTCCATTATCAAATCCCAGACAATCCAAACTCAAAAGCTTTTGAAGATCATTCGTGGGAATACTATAGATCTTTGAATCAGGATTTTGCAGATAAAATTGTTGAAATTTATAAAGAGGGTGATATTATTTGGGTTCATGATTATCATTTACTGTTAGTTCCAGAAATGGTTAGATCAAAATTACCAAATGCTAAGATTGGATTTTTCTTACATGTTTCATTCCCATCTAGTGAAGTTTTTAGATGCTTTGCTCAACGTGAAAACTTACTTAAAGGTTTATTAGGTGCTAATTCTGTTAGTTTCCAAACTGATGAATATGCAAGACATTTCTTACAAACTTGTAATAAGTTGTTGTTGGCTGATGTAAGTGATGATGAGTTGAGATACAAAGGTCAAACAGTTAAGGTAGCTTCAGCACCGGTTGGTATTGATGCACATAAATTAATCCAACAGCAACATAGTGATATTGTTACAAACTGGAGACAGCTGATTAGAGAAAGATGGCCAAATAAAAAATTGGTTGTTGCTCGTGATAAATTCGATAGAATTAGAGGTGTCAAGCAAAAATTATTAGCCTATGAAATTTTCTTGAAAAAGAATCCAGAATATATTGAATCAACCGTTTTAATTCAAGTGTGTTTGAGATCAAGTGCCACTGATATTGCTTTAGAAACTGAAATTATGTCGATCGTCGATCGAATCAATTCATTAAGTCCAAATATTTCAAATTCTCAACCAGTCGTATTTTTGCACCAAGATATTGATTTCACACAATATTTAGCCTTGATTTCGGAAGCTGAATTGTTCATCGTTAGTTCAATGAGAGAAGGTATGAACTTAACATGTCACGAGTTTATTGTTGCAACTAATGAAAAGAAGTCACCATTGATCCTTAGTGAATTTACAGGTTCAGCTGCTGTATTTACAAAAGGAGCAATATTAATAAATCCTTGGGATATAAAACAAGTTAGTAAAAGTTATGAAATTGCCTTTAATTACACACCAAAAGAGCGTGAAGAGAATTGGAAAGAATTATATGATGTCGTGATGAAGCAAGATTGTGACTATTGGGTTGAATCAAGTTTAAAGTTTATTGAACAAGCATGGGCGGATCAACAAAGAAAAAGAAATTACCAAACTTTGAATGTCGAAAATTTTGCTGCAAAATATAAAGGTGCTTCAAACAAGTTATTTATTTTAAATTTGGCCGTTATCCCAACCGAAAGAATATTACAAATATTGACAGAATTGAGTGCTTCGAATGATGTTTACATGTTATCAACTTTCAAGCGTACAGACTTGGAAAGAATTTATCGCCGTGTTCCAAACTTAGGATTGATTGCTGAAAATGGTGGTTTTATTAAGATCAAAAGAGGTGGTCCATGGATTAGCGTCACAGGTACAGGAACTGCAAGCTGGATTGAAACCACAGAGAAAGTTGCCAATTCATTTGCAGAAAGGCTACCAGGGTCTTATGTGGAAATTGGTGAAGTTTCATTGAAATTTCATACAGAACAGGTTGAAGATAAAGAACGTCAAAGTTCTAGTATTGGTGACTTAATTTTCCATGTTAACAATAGTGATAGTAATATCCACGCAACAGTTATTGGCAACACAGTTGTTGTTCAAGAAAGTGATTTAACATTCAAAGCTGTTAAATTTTTGATTAATTACATTACTAAAACTGGTAACATTAATGAAGCTGATATTGTTGCACCAGCTTCACCAGTTAGCCCAGGGCCTGATAAGCAAAATTATTTTGATTTTATTCCAAAAAAATTGGACTTTTTAACAGTTGCTGGGTCATCAAGTTTAATTTTTGAACCTGTTTTAGAATATGCTAATGGTTTAAACAATATTGATAATGTCTTCACAATTGCGTTTGGTGGTGATGTTTCGAATGCTAAGGAGCACGTTGAAGGTTTAAATGAATTGTTTACAGTTTTAGCAAATGTTACAGAACAATGAGTTGATACAGTATGTGAATTTTAATGTTTTTTTTTTTTAGATAGAACTCTATACAGTATATAAATATAACTATATAGAGATAGTTTAATATGATGAGAATTGGATTATTAGTTGACTTGATAACTGTCTTTTGCGATATCATTCAATTCTTTTAAATCTTGATAATCACCTTCAGCAAGTTCACCATATTGATTCCATATTTTTTCGAATTCTTTCATTTCAACTTTGCCGCTTGGTCTATTAACTATCCAATTAACTTCCTTAAATCTTTTATGACGTTCTCTATCAGCCTCGATTCTCATTAATATTTGATCTTTAGTAAATATTTTTTCATCTACTTCTGATTTATTTTCCACGACTTCACCATTTAGTTGTTTTAATCTTTGTTTTAAACCATTTTGTTTATTTATTATTAAAAATCTCCAAGCACCTTTAAAACCTGATTCATCTTCTTTTATATCAACTTCATGATCAATGTTTGTAAGAGAAATATCTTGAAACAAATTCCTTAATTCTTCATTATGATCTTCATAAAGATTTTCCATATTTGTTAATATATCTGATGTACTTTTCAAATTGATTAGATTTTGGTTGGGTACAACTTTTTTAATTATTATTGGGAAATCATTTTTTAAATTATTAATATATGGACCATTTCCATTAGTTGATTTAACTGGGTTGTTGATAACAGAGGATGCTAAGGACTCTATGAAATATAATACATTGATTCTTGAATTCAAATCTATTCTATCTAAAACTTCCAGTATACACGAGTGGAAATCTTCATGAAGTTCTTGATTCTTTAATGCGAACGATACACCTTTGGACATGGCCATCGATGATGGATTTAAAGTCTCTAAAATTTGTATGAATTGTAATCTAGCTTCAAATGGGTCCATTATAGTCATTGATAGTTGATTTGGTGCTTCATCTAGCTATTTGATGTATAATCCTTTGGTGTAAACAATATATAAGTAATGAATATTTATTTGTAGCAATTCGCGAGATTCGAGATTCTTATGAAGCTGACATAAGAAATTACAAAGATTTTTTTTTTTTTTTTTTTCATTTTTTTTTTAGTTCCTAGACAACTTCGCAATGGCGAAAAAAATATGAAAAAAAGTAGTTGGAAACATACTGTTACGTTAGTTGTCTCAAGATAACAAGAAACCTATAGTCAAAATGCCAAAAGCTAAGGGAAAAGTAAGTAAAGATTTGCGGTATGAACCTTTAAAAGGTTGAAAGAACAAGTTATTAACAAAGCGCTTTGCTTTTCAGGGTGGTAAAAACAGAAGAAGAGGAAAGAACGATAATGAAGGTCAAAAGAGAGAATTGACCTTGAAAGATGAAGGTCAAGAATATGCTCAAATCACCAAAATGTTGGGTAACGGTAGAGTTACTGCTTCATGTTTTGATGGTATTGAACGTATGGCACACATCAGAGGTAAACTTCGTAAGAAGGTTTGGATGGGTCAAGGTGATATTATTTTAGTTTCATTAAGAGATTTCCAAGATGAACAATGTGATGTTATCCAAAAATATAATGCTGATGAAGCTAGAGCTTTGAAATCTCAAGGTGAATTACCAGAAAATGCTAAAATTAATGAAACTGATACATTTGGTAATGATGATGAAGAAGATGTCAACTTCGAATTCGGTGCTGCAGATGATGATGATGATGAAAATGATGAAGAATTAGATATTGATGATATCTAATCTAATTCAACATTGTTTTATTCTTTTCATATAAGTTGGTTTTTCTTTTCAACATGTTTTAGAAATCGTTTGTAATTGCATTCATTTTTGTATATTTATTCGGGGTAGATTTATGATAATATCATGACAGATAAAAAGTTTCATAAATTTTTTTTTTCATTGTAGAAAATGACTACAACATATATTTTAGTTCAACAATGTCTTGTATATGTAAAAAATGTTAATGTTTTCCAATGAAGAATTGAAGTTTATTCTAATTTTGATTTAATGCTCTTGTTTTATATTTTTATACACGAAATCTATCCGTTTCACGTTCGTTATCATCGTCCAAATTTAAACTATCAAATCTTCTTAACCCAACGGATTCTTCAGTGTCATGATCATGACCTGATGTTCTATTCAGATTTAATGATCTTCTTGCTTGGAAAGCACCAACACCACCTTCCATTGGAATATGACCTAAATCATCACCTTGTTGACTAAATAAAACAGATTGATGATCTTTCTTCTTTCTTGAAATGTTCAATAAATAAACACCTGAGAAGATGATTAAAAATCCACAAATCAGACTGATTGAATCTTTTGGACCTGCATCATTATAATTTCTGAATAAGATAAATGAAGCAACTAATGTTGCAGTTGTAAATGTAACATAATATAATGGATTGACAATTGAAGTGTCAAATTGATCTAAAGCTTTATTAAAATAATTCATTTGTGTCATGATACAAACAACAACGACGATAATGAAAATATAAGTTGATAAATGAGTAAATTGATTATTACCATTTAAAGTTAATTTTAATGCAATACCAAAAGCTTTAATACTAACGATTGAAATTGAACCAACAGTTGAACAAATTGAAATATAATAAATTGGATTTTTATGACCATATAATGGAGCAATTTTATAAATCATGATTAATGCAAAAACAGAAACTGCAACGACATAAGTTATAAATAAAGGTGTCATTGCATAATTTAAAATTTCATCAACAGTTTCAATATCTTTATCAGATGGTGCATGTAAAACAATAATGACACTACCTAATAAACAAATTGCACAACCCATTTTCCCTAAAGTACCTAGTTCTTCACGTAAAAATACAGCAGCTAAAACTGCACCAATAATAACAGATAAAGCACCTAATGGTGTAACTAAAATAGCTGGAGCAAAAGTATAAGCTGCGAAATTTGCAATTTCACCTATAGCCATTGTAATCATACCAGCCCACCATATTGGATTTTTCAAATATTCATGACCATCACCATCAAACCCTTGTTTTGAAGCATCTTTTAAACCTTGTTTTGTGATGATGAATGAAGTACCAATCGCGAAGGAAGACGATATGGCAAGGGCCAGCCCAATATATTTATCTGCAACCATTTCCTGTTAATCCTCAAGTATAATTAATATGAATTAAATGAATGTGAAAGTTTTGATCTTGAGGCTAAGTATTGGGTATTGTAGATCAAGGTTATAAAATTGTTTGATCTGATACGTTTCGAGACCAGTTTCTCGTTTTTGTTGACGTTTTATCAACTTTTTTTTTTTATCAACAGTTACATTCGCGACTTTGCGCGTTTCACAATTAAAAAAGGCGAAGTTTGTGATTTAAAATCAGGTACAAAACCAGGGAATTGAAAGATCAAGGTACTTTAACTAGGACATCACCCATGTTGGAAGTTGGAAGACCAGGTTATTATCACATTTCTTTCAACAGGATTTCATTGTTAAAAGAACCAGTTTTGAGTCACTCTGATGCTTTTCCCAACCAAAAGTAAACATAAACCGTTATAGAATGCATTCGCGACAGTATAGAGGAAAAAATTTCGAGATGCTCATCGTTATCAGCGGTTAAAGCAGATCAAACGCTAGAGAACCTGTGAGAATTCATCTGATACGTTTATTGGTGCTAGTTGCTGATGAAGATGAAGATTGTATCGCTGTCTGAGTACAGTTTTGAAAATGGAACAGTGCTTCAACAAGATGAGCTTTCAGTTCTTAAAAAGTTTCTTATATCTCAAAAAGATATCAATGCTTTGCATTATATGGACTTTTTAAAGGCTTCTTATCCTAATTTATTGGTTTCATTGCAAAATGCAGAAGGTGTTGATAATTATAGAGTTCTTTGCTCTGATACATTGGCTCTATGGATCCTAAGATCTGCTCAATTATGTGCTAAATCTGAAGAATGGACTAAAATTAATTATGAAATATTTTTCAATAAAGATCAACATGCCACTTTTATTTTCCAATATGTCGTTGATTATTGCAATGAGACTGGTGGTCCTCTGTCAAATTCCCTGAAAGACCTTTTAACAAAACTTTTGATTTTGATTAGAAGATATAATCCAACACAAACATTACAAGAATGGATTGATATTACTTTGAGAATACCACATGAAAGAAGGGTTCAGTATTATTTATTAGAAAATTTGGCCAAAGAAGGTTCCACTGCATCTTATATTCTACAGAAAGGTCCAAATTTAATTAATGATATCATACAACTTATGGGTATTAACGCATTGGCGAATCCAATTGGAAAAGCAGTTAGCGCTATTCTTAAAGAACTTTATGTTGATGAAGATCACGCTGAGGAATGGGTGACAAATTATTGGGGAGTTATTGATCAAGGATTGAAAAATACCGAACTAAGAAATCGTATTGAACAATATATCTTACCTATTCTTTTCAAAACATCCAAAATTGCATTCAATGTATTTGTCAAGAATTTACAACATGATATTGATGTTTTCATAAGCTGTTTAAACATTGGTCAATCACTGGCTATTGAAGAAGAACCATTCCCGGAACTAGTGTCATATGAAACACTGGAGAAACTCATTGTCCAAGATGAATTTAAAATCAAGATATTTCAATTATTAACATTTTCACCAAAAGGTTCAAAACCAATAAATCCAAAAGTTTACGAAATTTTAAAGAGAAACATGGATATATTTTTCACTGATTGTGAAGTTGAAACTAGAAATAAATTCACAAGTATGTTGAAACAATTCATATTCAGAGTTAAAGATTCAGCGTATGCTTTTAATAGAGATGGTACTAAACTTAAAGCTAAAAAATTAACAACTGAAGCTAAAGTAAGGTTTGAAGGTGTTGATTTAGCGCATGATTTCTTAAGTTGGCTTATTGAGTACTCTAAACTTCAAATAAAACCAGGTGCACAATATCAAAGAATCAACACAGGTTTTAAAACATTACATTTTTTAACTGATACTGGATTAGATTCAAGAATCAAAGTCAAACAAGATATATATTATCCATTTCATATTGAAGTTTTCGATAATTCGCTAAAAAGACTTTTGTTTGATAATATTTTAAGTACTTATGATGATCTGAGAAAGTCTGCCGTTTCTTTATTAGTTTCATATAAAACAGTTTTATCAGATGATGAATATTCAAGTTTAGTTAATAAGGCGTTTGATATGTTGAACGATTACACACTGGTTGACTCCGGATCAAAAATTATTGAGTGTTTGTTTAAATTGTATCAAGATGAAGAATTATTGAATAGATTAATCACTAAAATTCCATTGAATGAAGATATTAAAACAGCAGTTTATTCACCTGTTGATGGTTATTTCCAAGCGGTGAGATTAATTATGGAACAAAAGAATAGTTACAGCAACACTAAAGCCATTATTGAATTAATTAATCGTAATTGGAATATAGTTCGTGACATTTTAAGTCATGATTCCCCAGAAGGTTGTGATCAATATGGTGTTGGTTCTGCACAATTAGTTCTGAGTTATGCATGGAGATCAACAAAAGAATCTACTGTTTTGTTACAAAAGGTGTTAGATTTTGTCGACAATGATCAAGAATTGCTACAGATTGGGGAAATTGTACTAGATCAATTAGCCACTGTTCGTCATAGAGGTGCTTTTTCTGCTGTTTATCCAACATTCATCAAAGTTTCAACAATCTGTAAAGAAAAATTACCAAATCAAAACAAGACTTGGTTAGATTTTAATATTTCATTAATTCAAACTAAAACTCAACTGATCACAAGAAGATCAGGTGGGTTACCATTCCTGATTACAGCAATTGTTACAGCGGAAAGAGATCTTTTAAGATATGCATTTGATAAATTAATGAAAATTGCACAATTACCAATTGATGAAAAAGATGAAAGTGAAAAAATGGATATTCCTCAAGTCCATGCTTTTAACTGTATCAAAAATCTATTCATTGAATCACAATTAGCAGATTCTGTAATACCATTAATTTTTGAAGCATTAGAACTTGCCCTGTCTACATTCTCATCCAGAATTTGGTCGGTTAGAAATTGTTCAATTATGCTGTTCACAGCATTACAAAATAGACTATTTGGTAGAAAGAAAATGAGTGCTCGTGTGTTTTTCTCAAGATTTCCAGGTATTGACGATTTATTGGTTAAAATTTTGAAAAATTCAATAACAGAAAATAAACTAGAAACTTTATTCCCAGTATTGACAATTTTATCAAAATTACAACCAAATATTGGATATGATGGTCTGGATAAATTTAAACCATTGTTAAGAGTTTGTCTTTCTACAAAATATTGGAAAATTCGTGAAGCCGCAGCTCGTACAGTTCCAGCATTAATCGCAGATAGAGCCAATGAAGCCAAATCACTTTTATCATCTTGTTCCATCGCTGATCAAAATCAATTACATGGTCATTTATTAGCCATTATTGAACTTGACGTACACTCATCGGATTTTGCAGAGTTAGTTTATCAAAAAGCCGACGAATATTTAGTTTCAAACCAATGTTCATCAACAAAAATGTCATATGTTCAGATCTTGTCACCATTATTAACTAAATTCCCAAATGAAAAAATCATTATTCAATTAGAAAATTTATTTCAAAAGGAAAATGTTGATTATCAAATTGATGGTTCAAAACAATTGTTGCTAAAAGAATTATTTAAAGCTATTAAAGACAATCAAATATTTTTGGAAGAAGCTTTGTCATCTCCATTTTTTGAAGTTCAAGTTGAAGCTATACAACATTGTGCTGAAAAAGATATTAATCATCCATTGTTATCCAAAATTGCTAACGATGATGATGCTTGGACATTTGTTCGTTCTAAAGCTATACCTTTAGTTGATGATTATAGTGTTGAGAAAGCTTTTGATTTTGTTGAAAACCAACAAGATTATGGTGAAGATATTAAGAGATCATCTTTGGAGTTATTGGGTAGTATTGCTGCAGAAAGTGAAGATTCAAAAGTTTATGATAATTGGTATAAATTGATTCTCAAGAATTCAGATGATAACGAACCATACCAAATCAGATTATCCGCATTGACTTCATTATTAAGATATTTGAAAATTAAATCCGACCCGAATGTTTTGGGCTTGTTGTATGATTTCCTTTCTGATGACGATGATGAAATTAGAGAATTAGCATGTTCATATTTTGATGAAAAAGTTGTTACTTGGTCCACAGCCAACCAATTCATTCAAAATTTTGGTCGTGATTCAGAGTCTGCACATGAAGTTTTCAAAAGAGCTTTGAGTTACAAACCTACTTTTAAACCTGTGTATGGTAATGATAAAGTTCTTTTCAATATTGAAAAAATGAATTTTTATAGAAACAAATGTGAACTTCATCAACAATTAGCTCAAATGATTCAAAATAGTAAACATTTTATTACCCAAGAAGAGTTTAATCAAATCATTCATCATTATATTGATACTAAGAACCAATTAATCAATTTTATCTCTTCTAAAGGTGTTGATGGAATTTTAGGATGGGTTTCTGAAGAGGAAGTTTTTGAAGATGTTTATTCAGTGATTTATCATTTGAAATCATTAGATATAGATACCACTGACTTGCAAAAAATCGCAAAAGAAGTGAAATTGCATGACTATTTAATAGAATTACTAGCATAGATATAGAATAAATCTATAATTTATAAATTTGTTTTTTAGTAGATAATCATTAAATTGCACTATGTTCATTAAATAATTATGCGCGAAAAGACTACCACGGTTTTGATTTTTTTTTTGTTTTGCCGTCATCACAAGAAATTTAAATTTGACATAAAAAATGTTGAATTAATAAAGATTGAAGACGTGTTATAATTCAATTGAATTGCTCCTTTTATTCATAAATTTATCATGGCTGAATTAGGTGTTTCGTTTCTGAAACTTCCTGTTGAAGTGATCATTCAAGTATTGAGTTATTTGGAAGTTAGTGATCTTAACAATATAGCAGAAACATGTCAAGCATTAAATCAAATAATTAACGATGAAGAACTTTGGAAAAATTTATTTATCAAGAGATTCCACACAAATCATTTCAGTTCAGTATCAAATTCATTTAAATTTAGTTTAGAATTATTTGAAAGATCTGAAATTTTACATCGATGGAAGAAATCAACTGGGATTCATAAGACATTTTTAATTAATACCACATCTTTAGAAGAAGTTACATTAAGTTATCCCAAAATAATTTCATTAAGTGATCAAGGAGATATTAATATTTCATCAATTGATAAAGGTAAAACAGATATAACCATGCCATTAACAACACCTTCAAGATGTACATCATATTCATTTAATAGTTATGCAGCTGTTTTTGGTAGAATTGATGGTAAAATATATGGTAAATTATTAGCAACGAGGTCATATTTAAGCTCACCTAAAGAGTTTAGTAGGTCACATGGATGTATGGTTACTGCAATTGATCATGATGATATGCAATGTTATAGCGGTGATGAACAAGGAAATGTATTTATATGGGATATGAAGAATGGTGAATTTACAAATAGTTTTAAAGTTTCAAATGAACCTATTGTAAAATTAAAAGGTAGAGGAAATACTACAGTTGCCATAGATTCTACTAAAATTTATATATTGGAACATCCTGATAAAATACGATCAATTGAACATAATAAAGGATCTGAATTTTTCCAAGTTGATTTAGGTGCTAAAGCAGTATTAGTTGGTAATTTACATAATTTATATATTTATTCATTTCATGATTCATCATTTGGAAGATCACAAAAAATTTCAATTTTCAATGATATTGAAGAAGATGAAATTTATAAAATTTCATTAGAATCCAAGAGACATTCAAATAGAGATGTTAAAATTGCAGGTCATGATGGATGTAATTTAGGTATATTAACTAAAAAGGGGATTGTTTCAACTTATAATATTAGAGATACAAGATTAAGATCAGATGATTATAATTTACAAAAACAATGTGAATTTACTCCAATAATTGATAATTTGAAAATACCTGATGGGATTCCACCAATTTGTTCAATATCAATAAATTCATCAGTTGTACTCTTGGGTTCGTATAATGGATTTGCAGCAGTTTATGATGTTTTAACAGGTGAATTTATTAAACTTGTTTCAAGTAGGATTCCTAAAAGGTATTTAAATTTAACTCAAGCTCCATATTTAATACCTGTTAAATTTATTCAATTATCTCCTAAGAATCAAACAAATGGTATATTAATTGTTAATAATGCAGTTCAATATTTCCAATTTGGTAAATCTTTATATGATTTCCAAAATCGTCAAAAGAAGAAAAAAGTTTTAACAGGAGTTGTTGGTGATCGAAAGGATAAATTATTGAAAAAAATTAAACATGATATTCATGAATTAAATTATGAAGATTATGAAAGTTATAAACAAGATCAATTATTAGATAAATATAATGGATCTGATATAACTATGGAGGAAGAAATTGAATTAGCTATGGTTTTAAATAAATCTATGAATGATCAAAATCATAATACAGGGAAAGAATTGGTGGATTTAGATGAAGATATAGATGAAGAATTATCAAGGGTATTGGAAATGTCAAGATTAGATCAAGGAGTATCATCAAATTCATATGAGAATGGTACAGGTAGTTCAAGTAATAATATTGAAACACCACAAGAAATACCGAATGATGGCGATGCTGATAATGATGATGAATTTGAAAAACAAATCCAAGAAGCACTCAAAAGATCTTTATACGAATAAAATATTATGAATGTTTACTTGATTCCCGTAGTTTATAGTGACACATAAATTCTGCCACATTTTCTGGCGTATATTTTTTTTCTTAATTAAACGAGTGAGGAACGAGACAATAATAAGTGAATTAAACAGCGTTAAATCCATTGAATTTAAACGAAATTTGTTGGTTTGAACGAGATGATTATCAGGGGCTAAATGGGATTCATAATACTTATCTTCAAGACATTTTTCAATTGATAAAGCATATATAAACAGCACATTTCCAATATTCAATTCATTAATCATTCCACAATTTTTCGCGTTTTGTTGTCTTTTTTTTTTATTTTTATTTTTCATCCACTTTTGTTGAGAAATTGTGAAAGTAAATCTGAATTTTGACAACTTTATCTTTTAATCTTTTAACAATTTGCCATCTGATTTGATCAAGTTGACAATCAATTCACATTCATTTCAATTCAAAATGTCATCTACACGTCCTCAAAACGTTGGTATCAAAGCCATCGAAGTTTACATTCCTTCACAAGTGAGTAGATACTGGTATCCTTTTTCTATTTTGTGTTACAAGATCTAACAAATTGATAAAATATAGGCGGTTAATCAAGCTGAATTAGAAAAATTCGATGGTGTTTCTGCTGGTAAATATACCATTGGTTTAGGTCAAACCAACATGTCTTTCGTTAATGACAGAGAAGGTGAGTATTGAATCTATGGGAAGATAACAAAATTAAGCGCCAATATACTAACATCAATAGATATCTATTCATTATCTTTAACTGTTTTATCAAAATTATTTAAAAACTACAACATTGATCCAAACTCTATTGGTAGATTAGAAGTTGGTACTGAAACTTTATTAGATAAATCTAAATCTGTTAAATCTGTTTTAACTCAATTATTAGGTGAAAATACTGATGTTGAAGGTATTGATACTGTTAATGCATGTTATGGTGGTACCAATGCAGTTTTCAACTCTATCAATTGGATTGAATCAAGTGCTTGGGATGGTAGAGATGCTGTTGTTGTTGCAGGTGATATTGCCATTTATGATAAAGGTGCTGCAAGACCAACTGGTGGTGCTGGTACCGTTGCACTTTTAATTGGTCCAGATGCTCCAATTGTTTTCGATAGTGTTAGAGGTTCATATTTTGAACATGCTTATGATTTTTATAAACCAGATTTTACAAGTGAATATCCATATGTTGATGGTCATTTTTCATTAACTTGTTATATTAAAGCTTTAGATCAAGCTTATGCATCATATAGTAAAAAAGCTTTAAAATCAGGTGTTGAAGGTGTTACTTCCAAGACTGTTGGTGCTTCTAAAAGATTTGATTATAATGCATTCCATGTTCCAACATGTAAATTAGTTACTAAATCATATGCTAGATTATTATATAATGATTTTAGAGAAGATCCATCATTATATCCAGATGTTGATCCATCATTAGCTAAAGTTCCATATGAAGAAAGTTTAACAGATAAAACTATTGAAAAAACATTTGTTGCATTAGCAAAAGATTTAACTAAGAAACGTGTTCAACCAGCTTTACAAGTTCCAACAAATACAGGTAATTTATATACTGGTTCATTATATGCTTCATTAGCTTCATTATTATATTATGTTGGTAATGATGAATTACAAGGTAAACGTATTGGATTATTTTCATATGGTTCAGGTTTAGCTGCATCATTATTTTCAGCAGTTGTTAAAGGTGATATTTCTCATATTGTTAAAAATTTAAATTTTGATCAAGTTTTATCATCAAGAAAATTCGCTACACCAGAAGAATATGAAGCTGCATTATCATTAAGAGAAGCTGCACATTTAAAGAAAGATTTTAAACCAACTGGATCAATTGAAACTTTATTACCAGGTACTTATTATTTGACTGAAGTTAATGATAGATTCCATCGTAAATATTCCATTAAAGAGTAAAGTTATTGAATATTTATTTTGCTATAGAATTGTGCTATATAAGTAATGCATTAATATAATTGTAATGAACTTGTAGTCAAATCAAATTAAATCAAATCAAATCAAATGGAAATCAAATCCCGTATAGTTTTTTGTCAAACGAGTATTGGTTAATTTTGTTACATGGCACAAAAACCCCCATCAAATAGAAACCGTTGCAAAGAAAGAAAATCAAAAAACAGTGGGATTTTCAGCCAATAGCGAGTGCGCAGAACTGGGCTGCGTAACCACTACCATCATTACATAATCCAAATACAGCCGGTAATAAGTGAAAATAATATTCGTGGGTATTAAATCTTTTTCACTTTTATACCAAAACAATAAAGACAAAGGAGATTTTATATTGAAGAGGTTGTAAGGTTCCAAGGTTCCAAGGTTATTACTCCACAATGCCCTTCAAGTGTTTCAACAACAACTTCTACCACTCTTCAAAGAGATATCATACTGCTGCTAAACAAAATGCTACTGCTTTCTTTGATTCTTCATTCAATTATATTAGACAAAATTCACATTTAGTATCTTTAGAATCTTTATCAAATGGTGCTAGAAACTATCCAAATCCACATCCTGCAAACTCAACAACTACAAACTATCTACAATTTGATTATAACGGTGGTAATAACATCTTGGTTAATGATGATGAAAATCAATCGGGTGGCATTGGTGTTAAATCATCAACAACTTTGATTAATGAAGAACTTGAAAGAAGACATAATAGACATCAAAACCCAATAACTTTTATTTTGCCTTATCAATTGGATCAAGTTGCTTTAGCTTTAAATAAATCAAGTCGTCAACAAAATTTACAAAAAATTACACCTGTCAATATCTCAAACGCTTTACATACTACAAGATCTCATAGATTTGAACAAAGATCTCAGTTCCATACTTCTTCTTCAACATTACAAACCCAATACAACATAGCATTTAATGATCAACATCAAACATCACCAACTTTAGTTGAAGAAAAGATTAAAGAATTGGATTCTAAAAAACCTATATTGCAAAGCCCGGATCAATATAATGAATTAATACCCGAAGAACAAAATGATGAAACTTTTTTAACTCAACAAACAAATCAAATATTAGAAGCTAATGATAGTTATCAATATGAAAAGATCCATTCATTATATATGGCAATCAAAAGAAATAATATCATTCCATCAAGAGAATTATATGCAATTGTATTATCTTCAATAGTGGAAAGAAAAATTGATGATTCATTAGATGATAAATTATCAACATTATTAAATGTTTATCAAGATTTAGTTTCAAATAAGATTAAACCAGATTCCCAAATTTATTCAATTGTTATTAATAAATTATTATCTGCATCAATTGAATCAAAATTAAATCCTGAATTAAGTAAAAATGGTTTAGATTTTTTCAAAATTGCAATTGATATATTCAATGCATCAAATTGTTCACAAATTCAATCTTTTGAAAATGATATTTTGGATCAAATATTAATTGGTATGAATTTATATCCAGGTATTGTTAATCCAACAAGTTTAATGAATTTCCTTAATAATCAAGAACATTTTATTAAAAATCATATTTATTATATTTCAATGATTAATTATTGTAAATTAACACAAAATTCAAATGATGTTATTGAACTTTATGAAGAATTCAAAACCAAATCCATTGATTTAGAATTATTAAATGAAAAACAATTCCATATTTATTCTGCATTTATTTCAACTTTAGTGGAAATTAATGAAATTACATTAGCTACAAAATTTTTAGATAAATTATTAACTTCAATTAAAAATTATTCAGAATATGATTCCAAATTAAAGATGTTATTAACTTCATATATTTTAAGTCTTTCTAAAATTGATATTGGTAAAGCCATGGAAATTTGGAAACAATTTAATAAAATTGATTGGATTCCAGAATTTTCTTATGAATTTTATTCTCATTTATTAAATGATGTTACAACTTATACTGATGGATTAAAAATTTATAATTATATGATTGGATTACCAAAAGGGAAACCAAGTAATGAGTCAAAATTAGAATTAGATATGATTTTAATTAAACCAAGATTTATTGATTCAATTTCAAGATTTATACTAAGTGCTATTCAATCAAATGATAAAACTCATACATTAAAAGCAATTAAAGAATCATTTATTAGAAAATCATATTTTGATTTCCAAGTTTATCCAATAATTTTCCAATATCTTTCAAATGATGAATTAACAACAAAAATTATAAATTCTCATGGATTATCAATGCCATTAGAATCAAGTTTTGAATTTTTATCATATTTAACATCAATACCAAATAATTTAAATTTAAATTTTGAAGAAATTTCAAAAACTGAATTTTTCCAAAAATTAATTAATAATTTTAAATTATATGATCAAAATACTAAAAATTACATGGGTTTTTATTCAATTTATAATTCAATCTTTTCAAAAAATTTAAATAATGAATCATCATCTTCAATTGAATTATTGGAAATTTGTTCACCATTAATTATTGAATTTCATGATTTAGATAATTATTATACTGAATTAAATCAAGAAACTTTAGTATTTAAAAATCAATTAACTGCATTTTACTCAAATTTAATTGAAATTTTACAATTAAATGAATCATCAAATGTTTCACCAATTACAAAAGAAGCATTAATTTTAATGAACCAAATTTAATGATTATTACATACACATATATATGATATTATGATACAACATATTAATTTTAACGATTATTTATACAATTTCTATATTATTCTTATTGTAGATATTTTAATAAATCAATTAATTCATCAGCTAATAATGGAACAGCTTCAATTTTTTTAAAAATTTCCTCTTCAATTGGTTTAAATAATTCTTTACCAATTGAATTATTTGTTAAAGAAGTTAATAATAATGATGAACTTTTATTAACATCATTTAATTGTAAAGGAGAATGATAAATTGGTAAAGGTTCTTGTTTAACATCAGAATTTGAATCATAAATCATTGATGACTGATCAATTTTAGATGATGTTTGAACTGTATTTAAAGCTTCTAATTGACCAGTTGAAATATCAACAGATTTATATCTTGGTTCAATACCTTTTATAATAAATTTTCTTTGACCATTTGATAAATTTATAACCATTGCACTTGAATTTGGGAAAGCATTTGAAACATTTTTAATAAAATCAACAGCAGGTAATAATTTTTTTTTATTTTGTTGAGTTTCTTTTTCAAATTGTTTTTCATAAGCTTTCCATAAAGAAATTTGTGTAACTTCACCATCATTAACAGATTTATATGAACATCTCATCCATGCAGTTGCTCTTGAAGGTTCTTGTAAATTTATTATTTTTTGATAATGTTCAGGTGATAAAATTGGTGGATTAATTGGAATTGGTGGTTTTGTTCTTTTAATTAATCTTAAAGTTGGTAAATTTTTAAAATCATTTGGATTACCCAAGATATTTAATTGGAAAGTTAATAAATAAGGTAATTTTAATTTTAAAATTTCTTGTCTTGTAGAATTTTTCAATAATGTATTAATTCTCAGGTTCCCGGGTAGAGAAAATTGATAAAGAAAATCTAATGAAGTTAAAATTAAATCATAATCATTTGTTAACAAGAATGAAACAATTTTATCTAAAATTGGTGAAGTTAAATTATTTGAACAATTTTCTAAAGTTAATTCTGAGCGTACAAGAAATCTTGCAAATGATCTCATTATTGAAATTAATAATGATCTTTCATGACTATATTGGAAAATTTCAATTAAAGTTAAAAATAAATCATCATCTTTTGGTGCAGGTGCAATATATGAAGATAAACTTTCCACAATATCAATAGTATAACTTAATAATTCATTATCTAAATTTTGAAATTTATTTCCTCTATTGAAAATATAATCATTATTTGGAGCGTCTGATTTAAATTGACTTAAAACTTCATAAAGTATCTTTTTGGTTCTTGAATCTAATGCTAATAATTGAGTAAAATCACCATCTTGTGATAAATTTCTTAAACTTAAAGCACTTGTTTTATTAAAATTATCATATAAATCATTAAGTAAATAATCTAAAACCCATTGATGTTTAATCAGATATGGAGCAGAATTACTAAATTGTAAAATGGTTCTTGAACACCATTCCAAATTAACACCAGCTTTAATATTTAGTTGTAAATGTGTCATTAAATCACTACCTTGATAATTATTTCCTGGATGTGCATAGTAATTTTGATTCAATTGTTGATATGGGTTCAAATTGGATTGTTGGAACGATTGTAAAGTCTGTGGCACCACAATAGGTGTTGGAGTGATCTGTGCCAGTATTTGATTGGACATATTGTGATTTGATATTGAAGAGTGATTTAGATCTGTTGATGTTGATGTTGATGTTTTTCTATTTGATTTCTATATTTTCGTGTTTTGAATTGAAAATTCGAGATTTTGAAAAGATCCGAGGTGTGATCATGTGATTTGTGACCTCGTATATCCATTTATAGAGGATTGCCTAATTAGGAAGTATTTCATGTTTTTTCTTGTGGGTATAAAACAATGTGACAAAAAAATTAGTGAATTTATACCCATAATAAGCACACAGACATGTGAACTGTGGAGGTATAAATAAGTTAATGGTTCAATTGATCAACTACATAGCAATGACAATATGAAATTAATATTATAATGGTGAATTTCATTCTTCATAATTTCATTCATCCATTTCAATAGATTGATCGAGAACTCATAGTTTATCCGTTGAGTTGCTCAATTGCTGTTTCAACACTGTGCACACCCCTTATATATTTATTACATGTGTGCATTATTGTGGATTGCTAATGACACAATTTTTAAATAATAACCCCATTATGTGTATAAATACAATTGAAAATAACCTGTCAATTGTGATTTTGCTTTCTTTATACTAATATACCATCAATTCAAAATGAAATTAACAAAGGTGTTACTTTTCACAACTGCTGTTTCAGCATTCTTATCATCAACTGTCTTAGACTCTTGGGATCTTAATGATTTAAAACAATACTTAAGTGATAATAAAATTCCATTTGATGAAAAAAAAGCTACAATTGAAGAAATTAAAGACCTTTCATTAAAACATTTTAATGTTCAACAAGCAAAATCATCATCAGCTTCATCATCTGCATGGTATAATCCAAATGTTGTTAAACAAAAAGTTTTAAACTATTATAATGGTGTTACTGATTCTTTTACTTCTAATCCACCAACTTCTTCATCTGCAATTGATTATTCAAATATCAAGAATTGGATTTTCGCAACTTGGGGTATTGAAGATTTAAAGAAAACTTTAACTAAATCAAATATTAAATTTGAACCTGAAGCTAAACGTGATGAATTGGTTCAATTGGCTAAAGATCATTATAATGATATTGCTAAAAAATATGGTGCTTCTGGTAATTACCCTGGTGATTGGTTATATTCAAATTGGGATAAAAAATCATTAAAAAAATGGTTGGATGAATATGGTATTGATTATTCAAGTTTTAAAGATTCTCAAAAAGATTTAATTCGTAAAGTTCGTGAAAATTCTTATCAAGCTGCTCAAGTTGCAGAAGAAGAACGTCAGAGTATTTTAGAATCTTTGGATTTATCAAGTAAAGCTTTATTTGATAAAGCTGGTACTGTTAGAGATGATATTTTCAATACTTGGTCTTCATCTCAATTGTATAAATGGTTAAAGACTCATCAAGTTGATGTTGAAGAATCCCTTAAACATAATAAAGAAGAATTGGCTTTATTAGCTCAAAAACATAAAGGTCATTTAAAAGAAGATGTTGATTATTGGTCCAAAACTGCCAGTAAATCAGCATCTCCATTTTTAACTAAATCATCAGATCGTGTTGATAATTTAATTAATGATACATTTTTCGTTGGTGTTGAATCATGGTCAAGAGATCGTTTAAAAGCTTTCTTACAAGCTCGTGGTGTTTCAATTCCAATCTTTGCTACTAAATATGAATTGATTCAATTGGTTAAAGATAATAAATTTAAACCAATTCAAAATTTTAATAATGATTATTTTTTCCAAGGTTGGTCTAGAGAAAATATTCAAAAATGGGCTGATGAACAAAATGATGCTGCAGCTAAAACTTCAAATGATATCTTGGTTAAAGCAAATATTGCTTATAAAAGTTTAGCTTCAAATTTAGATGTTTATTATAAACAAGCTTCAACAGTTGCATCTGAATGGCAGTCACAAGCTTCAGATTTTGCAAGTGATGCTGCATCACAAGCTTCAGATTATGCATCACAAGCTTCAAATCAAGCATCAGGTTATGCAAATGAAGCTAGTAAACAATTAACTGGTGCAAGAGATTCATTTTTTGAATATTGGTCAGATGTTGAATTGAGAGATTATTTAAATTCATTTGGTATTTATAATTTAAAGAATGTTAGACATGAACAATTGATTGATTTAGCTAAAACAAATACTAAATGGTTTATAACTGGTGCTAATTATGATGCTGATTCTGTCATTGCCAATGCTAAATTGAATGGTGTTAATTTCTGGAACAAAGTTGTTTATTATTATAAGACTTGGTATAACTATGTTTATTACACCATTTTCCATTAAATTGACTATTTTTATATATTAACTATTACTATTATTACTATTATTTAACCAATGTGTCTATGATTTTATGAATATTTTTCAAAATTATTTGTATTTAATAATTTGTAGTTGTACTTTATACCAATGGTGTATGGATGTTTATATACCGCGAATTCGCAATAGCTAAAATTTAAATACTATCAAAACCCGATGATATAATTTTGATATTTTGATGAATCTCTTTAAACAAAAGTACTATTTGATAGAGGTTATATAAAGATGTCTGGTAGATATCCTTGGTACACAAAAGTTGCTGATGCAGTACATCGTTTAACAGTTTTAACTTTAGTTGGTGGTTCATTATATGTTGCTGGTGGTATGACTTATCAAATCTATTTAAATGGTAAACAATATGAAGAACAAGCTTTGGCTCAAGGTGTTATTGAACCAGCTACTGAAGAGGAAAAAAAATAGATCTATCAATATATTTGATTCAATGAAATAAGCATGTACATATATTACAACAATAAACTATTAAAAAACAGTTGAGAAAAAAAAATAAAGATTATTCTTGTACCTATTTATTTACCAAAACATCGGGAGATTTAATGTTTTTTTTTTAACTTATAATGAATATACAATTGGAATTACGTTTATGATTATGCTATGTATATATATTCATGTTTTCACTCTCTTAATTTTGGAATCAGGTTTCTTATCATCATTATCTTTCCGTTTCTTCTTATTTTTTTGCTTTTTTAATGAATGTGTTAAACCTAAAGATTCCAATTTTTCAATTCTTTCTTGCTGATTTATAATATCTTCCTTAATTTCAGGATTTATCACTATAATATCATCTTTTGAATATTCTAAATCACAAACTGGACATTTTAAACAATCTTTATGTATTGTAGTGAGACATTTTTTAGCAAAAATATCTTGACATTTAACTAAATAAATATATGGTATACCATTACTCCCCAGTATATTACCAGTAATTGAACAAATTAATTCATTTGATTGATTTTTAGAAATTTTCAATTCCACTATATCTTTCAAACTTTTTATATGTGATATTAATAATTTTTGATTTGAAGTGAAATCATCTGGATTTAATAAATATTCCAATATACTTTCTTTATTGTATAAATTACCTTTATAATCACTAACTATGGGTATATCTAATGGTTCATTTGTTAAAGTACATGAAGACCATTTACCTATTCTATTATATTCATGAGCTTTAAATTCATCATATTTAGATGATTTGTTTTGTTTGATAAGATCTTTTCTTTGAAGTTTTATACCACCATCAGCCTGTAAGCACAAATTGTTAGTATTTGATTATCCAAACATAACCTCTCTAGTCACTTACACCCATTGTTTTGATCTTGTTGAATTGATGTTTGATTGAATTTGAAGATGAAGTTTATGAATTTTTCTTACATAAGGAAAAAAATCTCGGAGATGGCAAAACTTAGTATACGTTTTTCAAAAAATTTATACAAAGTATTATAAAGTTTAAACAAACAGGCAAGCACAATAAATAAAGATGTCAGAAGGTTTAAATTGGTATGTATATCATTATACTTTTTGAATGAATCATATACTAACAATCTGCTTTTTTTTCAGTCAATTTTATACCAAAATTGGTGCTTGTAGACATGGTGAAAAATGTTCAAGAAAACATACAAGACCAACAATTTCTAAAACTATATTAATGACAAATTTATATCAAAACCCAGATGTTTCAAGAGATCATAATAATAATACAAATAGTAAAACTGAATCTAATGAATTGCCAACCATACCCAAAGATCAACAAGAAGTTATAAAATTTGATGATTTTTATAAAGATATATTTATAGAATCAAGTTTAATTGGACAAATTGATGAATTAACAGTTTGTGAAAATCATAATGATCATTTAAATGGGAATGTTTATGTTAAATTCAATTCTGAAGAAGCTGCAACAAAAGCAAGAGACTTATTTAGTACAAGATGGTATAATTCTAAACCAATTTATTGTGAATTAAGTCCAGTTGTTGATTTTAGAGGAAGTACATGTAGACAACATGATTCCAAGACATGTGATAGAGGTGGAATGTGTAATTTTATGCATGTTAAAAGACCTTCAAGAGATTTATTAAAGACATTGAAGTTATCACAAAGAAAATATTATCAAGAAAAAAAATCCATATGAATGAAGTTGAGATCCAATTGAATAGTATGGTTTATGAATCCAGATTCAATTACCATAATAATGTTTATTTATTTCTGCTCCACATTCGTTCTTTTTGAAGTCATTTAGATACTTTTTATATGGAGGTAATAATGGTTCAAACAAGGTCATTCTTTTTTTTTGGCTATGGTATATGTCAAGTCGTATTTCAATCTAAAAAACAAAAGGGATCTACATACAACCAACGGTTCACTTATACTCCTCAATTAAAATACATTTCCCCCCAATTCTTTTCAGTTCCAATAAATGTGTTTTATGAATTCATATATCTTTTGTAATCCTTAACTATGCGCGAATGTGTTTTGACTTGAACCCACCCGCGAATTTATCGATCTGTTAAAGAAATATTGATGGCAAAATCGTATCAACAACTTCAAAACCATCAAAGATACAACATCAATTGAAAATCAACCCACAAGAATATCACAATGGCTGATAGATACTCCTTCTCCTTAACCACATTCTCCCCAAGGTATGTTTTTTCCCCCTTGTTTCTCTTCATGATTTTTATGAATTTGAGTATCTCGAATCTGTTTATACTAACAAAGATTTATTTAAAGTGGTAAATTAGTACAAATTGAATATGCATTAAGTGCTGTTAAACAAGGTGTTACATCATTAGGTATCAAAGGTATGTTTATTAAACGATTGAACAATAGTGCGTGTTTTTTGAATGGAGTTCACTAACAAAATGATTTAGCCACCAATGGTGTTGTGCTCGCCACTGAAAAGAAATCTTCTTCATCATTAATAAACACTGATACATTATCTAAAATTTCTTTAATAACACCAGATATTGGTGCTGTTTATTCAGGTATGGGTCCTGATTTTAGAGTGCTAGTTGATAAATCAAGAAAAATTTCTCATACAAACTATAAAAGAATTTATAATGAATATCCACCAACAAAAATTCTTGTTAGTGAAGTGGCTAAAATAATGCAAGAATCTACTCAATCAGGTGGTGTTAGACCTTATGGTGTTTCTTTATTAATCGCTGGTTACGATGATCATAATAAATTTGGACTTTATCAAGTTGATCCTTCAGGTTCTTATTTCCCATGGAAGGCAACTGCAATTGGTAAAGGTGCTGTTGCAGCTAAAACTTTTTTGGAAAAAAGATGGAATGATGAATTAGAATTAGAAGATGCTATCCATATTGCTCTATTAACTTTAAAAGAATCCATTGAAGGTGATATGAATGGTGATACTGTGGAAATTGCAATTGTTGGTGAACCAAATGATGATGCATTAGGTTTTAAAGGTGGTAAAAATGAACAAGGTCCAAGATTTAAAAAATTATCTGCACAAGAAATAAATGATAGATTAGAAAGTTTGTGATTTTACAATTTACTTAATGGTTTTTAGATTCTTGAGTAAGGAAAAGAAAATTAAATTTTGTATCTAAATTATAATGTACATTATGAATTAATTGAGACCTATCTATGTAAAAAAATATATTACTTATTTAAATGGTGCTTTTAATGGATCAATAACATGACCTGATTTGATTGTAACTTTTGGCATTGTTAATCTTTGATGAGTCTCTCTTGAAGTCCATTCTTGACCAATTGGCATTCTTAAACTTCTTTCATATTGTTCTCTATTTTCAAATGGGAATGGAACTGCTGATGATTGATATTTAGCATTCTTTTTATTCACTTTTTCATTAATTATAACATTTTTTAAATTCTTATCCTTTCTCTTATCAAGATCAATACCTTTAGTTTTCTTAACAATTTTATTCTTTTTTTGTTTTTTATTCTTAGTTTTACCACCAGCCCAATCACCCCAACCTGGTAATGTTAAATCTTCAATTTGATCACCTTCATCTTTCATAACTTGTTTCTTTTCAGCTTCAAATTCTTGAACAACATCATCACCTGCAAAAGCTTGTTTGATTAAATCTTGTTGTTTAAACATATGAATATTTGAATCATCATCATTATCTGAATGATCTGAATCTTCACCATGTGGATCAACAACTTTTAATGTTTGATTCATATCTATTATTTGTTCAGGTTCTTCAATTTCATTTGCTTTTCTCTTTCTTTGTTTATTTAATTTAGATGCATTTTTTTCTAATTTAGAACTATCTTTATCAGTAACTCGTATTTTTCTTGATTTTTGAACATTTGAATCATTGCTTGTTAACCAAGGATTAGATTCATCTTCATCAACTTCTTTATTGGCTTCATCCTCAGTTTTCTTCTTGTTTTTTTCAATTAATGATTCTCTTTGTTGTTCCTTTTTATTTAATTTATTTGTTAAACTCTTTGATTCATCAATTTCATGTTCTTCCAATACATTTTCATTTACTTCCTTCATATCAGCATTGGATTTGGATGCTCCTGGTGTATATATTCTTCTACCTGAATTAATATGTTTATTAACTCCACTATTAGATTCAGCTTCATTAAATGCATTTATATCTTCATTTTCCTCTAAAGCTCTTAAATTTCTTTTAGTTTCTTCATTTCTTGTACGTTCACGAGCTTCAGCATTTTTCATGAAAGCCATATTTAAAACACCAGTTTTACCCAAGTTTTCTCTAGTTTCACTTTCAGATTCATATTCAACATCTTTATCAAGATTTAAATCGTTACTATCACCAAATTCATCATCACTTTCATCACGATCTAAAATTTTAGATTTTAAAGCTTCACCACGTCTCAACATATCTTCCATTTCATCTCTTGCTTCTTTATCTTTTGATAACCCTGATTTGATCATGGATTTTGACCAATTTGAATTGTTTTTATGTTTTAATGACATTCTTTCTTGTGCACGTTTAGAATCATGATCTTCATCATCACTTTCATCACCTTCGACTAAAGCTTGATTTTTCAATAATTCCTTCTTCTTTATACGACGATATGATTTAGATTTAATTTTTTTAATTCTTTTAGCTTCTCTTTCATTTCTAAACATCAATTCTCTCATTTTCCTTAACTCATTTTGTCTTTTACGCATTTCTTCAACAGACATTTTGGCAGTAGCAATTTCTTCGAAAGTTGATTCTTTTTTATCATCTAATAATGAAGATGCATTCAAAACACCATTGACTTTTTGTTCCAAATCTGTTAGTGCAGGAGTTTCTTGGAAAGTTGATGCAGCATTATGTTCAGTTGGTTTATTCATTGGGAAAGATAAAACTTCTGCTTCTCTATTTTGTTTAACAGTTTCTCTCCATTTATCAACTTCATCTTTAGATATTTCATAAGCAGCCTTACGTTCATGTCTATCTTGAATTCTTTTAGGTAAAGGAATAGCTAATGATTTTGCACTTTCTTCATTATCTTTATCTATAAGCATTGCATTTTTAGATGAATCTTGATCCACAACTGAAAGCATATCTGCTAAAGAAATTTCTTGACCACCTCCTGGTAAAGCTAATTCATTTTCTTCAATTTGAAAATCTTGATAATGCTTTCTTTCTTTCTTTTCCTTTTTAGTAAGTTGTTTTTTCAAATTTGTCAATTCAACATCACTTCCATCTTCTTGGTCATTTACATCTTCGAATGGAAATTCTTCATCATCTTCATCATCATCATCTGATTCGGATTCTTCATCGTCATCTGAGACTTCTTCTGATTCACTTTCCCATTGATCATCAAGCACTATATCTTTTGTATTCTTATTTTTCGCAATGTCTTTATCATCAAGATCCCAGACGGCTGATAATGGTAAAAATTCACTTTCATCGACACTATGGTATCCATCTTCTTCATCATCATCCTCTTCATCATCGTCTACTTCACCTTTCTTTAATTTTTTTTGTTTATCTCTTATAGTTTGAGAAAATTTTGAGTTAAGAACATCAAAGTCATCATCTGAACCAAGGGCCTCATCTGAATCAATTTCTTCATCTTCAAACTCTTCATCTGAACCATCATTTTCTTGGTCTCTAAATTTCTTTCTTGGATCCACTATAGCACCATCATCTGAACTATCTGAATCATCATTTTTAGAAAGTTCTTCTCTTTGAGCAATTTCAAAAGCGTTTTGAGCTCTTCTATTTGATTTAGCTTTGGTTCTTCTATTATTCTTAGTCCCTTTAGCCATTTTAACCACTTGAATAATTGAAATAATTTGAAACTCTTTAATATTTGTATTTTCTATATATGTAGAATATTTTTATCTGTAAGGTTTAAAAAAAAATTTGAGATGAGCCGGAACTCATTTATAATTCCGGTCCACTTATATGTGTAGAGTACATTTGGAAACTATTTAAGCGCATAGATACGTGAAGTTAAAGATACCTGGAGATTATAGTGCTGCAGGAGCTTGATACCTTTTAGAAAAGATACTTAAGAATTCTTGCTTTTGAGCGGTAAAAATAATATATTTAAACCATACTAGAATTCACCTGTCGGTTAAATAAATTTATTTCCGTTAATTTACCCGATTTAGCAGAAGTTTACAATTTAAATCCATTGTAAATCAACGTTTTGAATGGAAACATATATTTAAACCCCGTTATATAGTTTCAATTATACTGGGATTTTATGTGGGATGTAAATTTTAGCTTTATTTCTACTTTTAAAATTTGCCAAATTTTTACTTTCTGAATTTTAAAAGTTAATATTTTAAAAACAAGGTTGATGAGTAAAATTTAGTAAAATTTTGAGTTTTGATTTTTAGCTTATAATTAATATAACCTATTAGTTCTTGAAATATTGAGCTAGGAATATATATATTATGTCTCAATAGCTATCTTTGAGCTCTTAAATTACTAATTAAATTGATATTTAAATTTGATGCTTATGTAATCAATATACATTATAATAACATATAATAGATCATTATTCAAATCAATTATACTGGAATATCTAATTTCATAAGTTAACTATGTAAGCTATATTCTTTATAGTATTAAAACATCATATCATGGTTACTATGATTTTTAGTACCGGAAAGGGTTAAACATATTACTGAATATATGTGAAGTCATTTAATTTAATGAATAGCATTTTATAGCTGGGCGCAGGCGAACGATACATTGTAGTTTTTCTTGCCAATTGTATATGACAGTGGATTGAATCATACGAAAATATGAGCAGTATGTGGTTATATATTAAGACTACTTTTTGATGTCGAAAAATCAAATTTTAGATCTTTGCTTCTTTGATTAACAATATAAGATACAACCTGATTTTGAAAAAAGAATCATTCTCTTAGTGATTCTCATGTGCGTGATTGAAAGCCCAATTGAGTGATAGAGTTAATTTATCATAAGATACCTTTCTGCGTTAGGTGTACTTTACTATATCATATAAATGAGTGAGTGTAATGTAGTACTTTTTTCTAATTTAGAATTTTTCATGTTCATAAATTTATAAAAAATAAACAGAGGCACACAGTCATGATGAACTTTAGCTTAACATCAGAAGGTAAAAAATTCATTACATAACAGAGAAATAAAAGACACTGAATAGTTTTAATACTGGGAAAGTATCAAATAATCTCAATAATGTTGTAAGAATATGCACATTGAAAAAAAGTTTGATTTTTTAGGTTCATATTGAATACAAATGTAGACATTGCAACATGAATTATGACATTAAAATTTCAATCTATACTTGTTCAATAATTTTTTCATTGAGCTGGTTGTTGAGATTGGTTTTCTCTTTGTTGTACTTTTTGTCTCAATATTTGATCTATTCTTTGAATGGTTAATTGTTTTTCATTAATGATCTTGGTTAGCTGTTGGTAATCCTCCATTAGTTTCTTGATTTTGGCTTCATAGAATGCTGTAGCATCTTTAGCATTTTTCTCCACATAATAACCAGTACCAACATCAACTAAAAATTTCTTATTATCTTTAACTTTACCTGGAACATATAATGAGCTAGATAACGGCACCAAGATATCCTTTCCTTCACTTTCTTCAGCACCCACTTGTTGGATATTCACAACACACTCTTTGAATTTGTTTGAGGCCAAGTTTAAAGAAGCCAATGAAGAAGAAAAATGTTCTAATTCATCTTCAAATTGTTTTCTGAAAGATGCTATTTGTTCAGGCTCAAGTTTACTAAGATCCACTACCGATTCAATGTTAGTACCAGATACATTCCTGCAAAAACCAACAAAAAGATCCCTCTTACATACCTTTCTTTTGTTCTGCCATCTTTTCTTGTGTGAATTTTGACTTTACTTTTCTAACAATTGAATAAAGAGTTGTTGATGCAACTTTTGATCAAATATTTCAAAAGCGAGTATAATATTCGCGTAGCAAAAAAAGTTACATAATCTTCAACCAAAATCATTAATTAATTAACCATAATATACGCTTCATATCAGAACAAAACCTTCAATTTAATAGGCATTTCAACAGAGAAGATGAGTGGAGATGGGAATCAAAACACTGATACGACATCATTTGCCAGTATTTTAGCTGGTGTACAAAGGTTAAGGGGTGACAATAACCAAAGTGATGCTTCCTCAACATTAGCAACTTCAGCTCCAGTACAACCGATTACAAGAAAACCAGATACAACAAGACAGGCACCACCACCAGCATCATCATCATCATCGTTCATATCTACTCCCCAATTACAGAAAAGAACAAATGCTTTTAACCAAGATAGAACTAGCTATAATGATCCTAGATTTAATAAACGAGCAAGAGACCCAAATATTCCTAAACCATCATCAATTTCTGTTAATAAATCACAAACTGGTAATCCATTACTTCAAAATATAACAAACGTTAATTGGAATTATGTTGAATCAAGAAACATATATGATTATTTGATTAAGAATAGACAAATCATTTTCTTATCGTTAAAATATCATAAATTACATCCAGAATATATACAAAATAAAATGAAACCTTTGATGAAAAAAGATGCTATATTATTAACAGTGGTTGATATTGAAAATAGTGAATCTATATTGAAAGAATTGAATAGAATATGTCTATATAATGAATTTACTTTATTATTGGCTTTTAATTTTGAACAAGCTGCAAAATATTTAACATATATGGCAACAAGTGTATGATGCTAATTATAACCTTCATTTCAATTCATCAGTTCCCTTTTTGTTACCATTTGCAGTCATCTTTGCGCTTTTAGCACCAAACTGGATTGCCCTTTTAGGCTCTTCAGAAACAAATGACATGCCTAATTTAGTGGCTAATTTTCTTAAGATGAATTTTGAAATCTTATAATTTATTTCAATTGATCCAGTGGAGAATTCAATTACATTATGTGATAAAAATGGATATCTAACTTCAACACCATTATGTGAAATAACTTTATCATCCCGTTGTAAATTACGTTCATGAATATTATTAATTTGTCGTGTGAGTTCTTCTATTAATGATTCATTATCTTTATTGGCAAACTTATGATAACCACCATACAATTCATCAGCACCAAGACCACTTAATAAAACTTTTGCCCTTGATTGATAATTATTAGTTCTTTCAGATGATTCATATGTTGATATATCATTATTGAATTTTAATTTTGTTCCTTTACCTTTAGATGCAAAATAAAATGCAATTGCAATTGATAAATCCATTTCTGTAGATTTTGGAAACATTAATTCAATAACTTTTGGTCTTGTTTCTAAATATTGTTCATATGGGATATTTATTTCAATAAGATTAAAATTGATTTTTGGATATTGCTTACTTAAACTAATCCATGAACTTATAGCGAGTTTCCTATCTGGGGCATCATTAGCTTTTAAACCTGTTCTTGGATTATCAAAACCAACATTTAAAAGGTCAATTGTAGTATCAGGTTTGGAGATTGATGCTGCAATACCTGCAATGATTGTACAGTCTAACCCACCTGAAAATAATATAGAGAACAATGTATCATTCACACTATTTGAATGTAATGGTTGAATGGTTTGGATTCTTTCGGTAACTGATTGTGTTAATACAATATTTAATCTTGATAAACGATCTTCTAGGCCTTGATAATCATTGTCAATGTTAGAATTTATGGTATATTTCACTTCTGACGGTATAATATTTAGTGAACCAGAATTAAAGTCATAATTGAAAATACTACCGTTATCACAGTCAATGAAGTTTTCTTTAATCTCACCTATAGGTTGAACAGATGAAATATATAGTTCATCATTTGATAGATAGTAAGTTAAACTTCTTTTCCCCACTGGATCACGACCAAAATATAATTGATTGTTTAGTTTATCATAAACCACAAGTGCAAATTCACCATCTAATTTCCTTATAGTTTCAACAACTGAATTATTTTCTAATAAATTTTGAATAAATTGAGTATCATTACCGTCAATTTCTTTATTATAAAGTTCTCCATTAAATTGGATAATGTAATTTGAAGATTCTAACGGTTGTTTGGTGAATGGTGATCTTAATGATAAGACGGAACTGCAAAAAACCTTATCAAATTGTGTATAAATCTTTGCATAATTTGGACCTCTTGATAAAATTTTGGGTATTAATGAGTTGAATAGATCTGACGTTGAAGATGATTTGTACTCTTGATTATTAAGAATTTCTTGAACTTGTGGCTCTTCAAATTCAATATTTGAATCACCCCAATCAAAACCTTTTTTATAATGAAATAAAATACCACACATAATTGGTACTACTTTCTGATTCACCTTCCAAAAAATTTAATTCATTGTATAAAAAGACGTTTAAAGCTCATCAAATTTTAAAGCTAAAATATTCGCGGCCACTAAAAAGAAAAACAAAACACTAAAAAAATATTAACTCATTGTCAACAAACATCAGTAAACAAAGAAAAGAAATCTCCAAATAAGAAGAAAAGAACAGAAAAACCCAAACACATTTCACATCAATATGTCTACCATCCAGACGTATATTCCAGAAGAAAAACCAGCCAAGTTTGATTTTCAACTCTTTTTGAAACAGTTGAAAAGTAAAAAAGCTGATCCCGTAATACGATACATTAGATCATTTTTAACAAAATTTAATCAAAAGTTATGGACTGCTCAAGAACAAGAGAAGTTGATAAATGATTTTAAAGATTTCATAATAGAGAGAATGACAGAGTTTGAACCTTTTAGCTTAATGAACAAGAATGATTTTGAAAATTCTATAAGTGGAGTGGAAAAACTGATAATGACAAAAATTTATGAACAAACTTTTTCACCTGAAATACCCTCTTCAGTCATTGATGACTCTCACAGATCTGACTTGGAAATTGATGAAGTTTTACAGAGTAATTATAAAGATTTTTCTCACTTGGGGATTAAAGATTTTGAAGTTGATGAAGCCATTGCCGCTAGAGGTGATAAATTTATAAATTTGGCAGGTGAAGAATTAAACAAAATGGATCAGTTTAAATCTCCAAGAGCAAAAATTATATGCATTCTGAATAGCTGCAAAATCTTATTTCAACTAATTAAAAGAAGTGATCAAACACAAAATGCAGATGAATTTCTACCTTTATTGATCTATACCGTTCATAAGACTGCACCAATACATCTTTATTCTAATTTGATGTTTATTGAACGATTTGCATTTACAAGGACCAGTGAAGTACAATATTACATTGTTAGTTTAAATGCTGTTGTTGAATACATCAAGAATTTATCATCAGATTCAAGCTCAGCAGATGAATGAACTATCCATTTTCATTTCCTAATACGGAAGTCAAGCGAAATTTTTAAATGGGCACATTTTTTAATGGTTTTCAGTTTACGGGGTTTGATGGATTCAGATTTCTTCTTTACCAATATATAAAGAAGTTCAACTGCTACATTGTGATGAGGTTCTTGTTAAAAACATTGAATATATCATCAGCACAAAATGGCGTTCACACTGATTGAAACTAGTATTGGTGCTTTATTCATCCAATTAGCAACAACTAATTTTTATTGGCAATTAGGGGAAACTATTGGTTTCTCATCAGCTCTAGGTAATTTAATACTTAAACGTAACTTGGCTCATTTACCAGTTTTATCAGGTGTTCTTGCTTCAAGTGCTTTTGTTTCCAAATGGTATCCTCAATATGTTCCAGATTTTCCTGTTTCAAATTTAACTTCAAGATATGGAATTAGTACAACAATAATATTATCCATTGCAGGTTTACTTGTTGGTTTAGGTACGTATATTTCAAAAATTAAATAAAATTATGATCATAATACTAACTACAATTAAAGGAACAAAGTTAGGCACAGGCTGTACATCAGGTCATATGATTGGTGGCATTTCAAGATTAAGATTAAGATCATTTGTTGCTGTTGGTGTCTTCTCTGGTTTTGCAATGTTATTAAATAAAACCTTAGATCTTGGGCTATACAACGGTACAGGAGTTAATTATGAACTTTCTTTAAATACGTCATGGTTTAATGAAAATAGAGGCCTTTTGTTACTTTTAATCTCAAGTGCTTTACACGTTTATCTCTTTTTACCAAAGTTATCACAGTCTATTAAATCTGATTGGTATAAGCAATTTAATCGTTTATTTTCTGGATTTTTATTTGGTATTGGATTACATGTTTCAGGTATGGTCAATGTCTCTAAAACTATTGGGTTCTTATCACTTTTTGATTTGAACAAATTTGATCCATCACTAATTATGATTATGATTTTTACAGTATTACCGAATATTTTCATTTGGAGATCAATTGAAAAACCGTTATTATCGGAAAATTTTAATGTCGCTAAATCTAACAAACTACCTTTGAAATTTTTAGTTGGTAATGCAATTTTTGGTTTAGGATGGGGTATTTTAGGTATATGTCCAGGTCCAGGAGTTGCAAATGTATTCCACTACAGTTCAATTGGTATTTATCTTGTTTCATTCATTATTGGTTATGGATTTGGATCATTTATATAAAAAAAACAAAATAAAAATTGGGTTATAATCTATACTTATAAAATGGCGAATTATCGCCCATTTGATAAAATTCCAAATCACTTAGTCCTTCAAATGTATTATTTTTTAATTTTTTTAAATCCTGAACATTTGCGTAATTATACCCCCAAGCTAAAACTAACGATACAATAATAGCTAAACATGAAAATCCCAATTCTAATGAATGTCCTAAAGTTAAAGTTGTAGGTTTATAAAAATTTGAAGCGAAAACACCTCCAAAATTACCAAACCCAATTTGAAATGCCATACCAATCGCTTTTCTTTGAGAATTTGCCAAATTGTTTGCATTCCATGTAATCATACCAGGGAAAGCTGAAAATAATGCACAGACGCCAATGAAAACACCACCATAAATGACATTTGGTTTTGAAGTTTCTTGTCCAACAATGGCCATTATGAAACCAATAACAACGATTGACATGTTCCCAGCAATGAAAATAAATCTAATTCCAACTCTATCTGCAAATTTTGATTGGATTATCGCACATAAAGCTGCAACAATGAATACAGGTATAGTTAATAACTGTGATTTTGAAGTTGAGTAACCCATTGCTTTAACAACACTTGGTAAAAATAAGGTAATACCATATGAAGGTGCTGTAATAGATATAAATAATAAAGCTTGTAAATATAATTTGTAATCCTTAAGTACTGAAATAACTGCATGACGAAGACCTGGTTCTTCACGTTCACCAAAATGGCTATAGTTAGGATGCGATAAATCAGTTATTTCACCATTTGAATCATTTTTTAATCTCCAAATTACAAATTCACGTTCTCTTTCACTTAAAAATTTTGCAGTTTCAGGATAATCATATAAAACAAAATATGATATAACTGCAATTATCACAGTTGCTATACCTTCAATAATGAAAATCCATCTCCAGCCTTCATAATTCCCAATTCCATCCATTTTAGCAATTCCAAATGCTAATAATCCTGAAAATGCACCGGCAGTTGTAGCAGAACCATAAAATAATGCTTGACGAAATTGTAATTCCCTTTTGCAATAATACATCGCTTTACCAGGTGTTAGTAATATTCCCAAGTTAAAAATTATTATTAATACATACAAATCCAATAACTAGCAGCTGGGTAGAGTCCTGCTTCTGCTATACCTAAAAACAGTCTCGCTGCAAATAAACCCGCAAAGTTCTGAACAATACCTGATAAAGTCATAACTATACCCCATATAACCATTATAGTGGGGACAAATACTGATGGACGACCTATTTTTTTAAGAACAATGTTTGATGGTACTTCAAATAATGCATAAGTGATAAAGAAGATTGTGACACATAAATTGAATTGATCTTCCGTTATATTTAGTGTAACAGTTATACCTTCAATTCTAACATTTGCGATTGAACCTCTATCAATAAAACTAACAAGATATAATAAACTTGCCATTGGTAATAAATGAAAGTCCATTTTCCTTAAAACCTTTGATTCATTAATATTAGAAAAATCAGGTTGGTTGATTTGAATGATTTTTTCATCTATTTCAGTTGGTGGTTTGGTTGTTGATACATTTTCGATTAATTCAATTGATGGTTTGGATGACATTCTTGATAAACTAACAAACATAAACTTCAATTTGATATAATGAATTGAAACATCTTTTATAACAAATTCCAATTCATCGAGGGGTTCTTGAGTTCTTTAGGAGTTTTCTTACCCCAGATTAAGTCAATGTCTTGGATATATTAGGATTAAGGGTCCTAAAAGCAACAACAACATTTCTCCTCATGAAAGGTTGCAAAAATGTATTCAAAATAACATTAGAAAAATAAACATCATGTTGGAGATTCAATTGGTTGTTAGCATTCAAGCTTAATTCAGAGATCCAATTCCACCTCGGTTCATTGATTGTTTGATATATTGTGTTGAAAGCTGTTGGTCAAAGAATTCTTTCTAATATTCGGAAATATAAAATTTTTTATACAGCTTTGAACTGCAAATTGGAATCCAATACAGATTAATTTGATGGAAAGCTGATCAAATTTTATATCAGTGACCTTTACAATACATTGTTTTGTGATTACATAGATTGGACACTGATACACTGTTAGTTATACTGAGAACATCATTTGAATCCAAGGCACAATATTGCAATACCCCCCAAAACACCTTGATATGATAATATCTTTCAAAGGTGTCAAATACTGAAAAATATCAAATCCATATGCTGTTCCATCAATCAATGATTAAGGATTTATTCAATCTGGTATCCTTTCCAAATAATTTTACTTATAAAGTCTTGCAAACTGAAACTTTTATTATCACTAAGTATGGCGTGAACTGTCGCCGGTGTCGCTATATTAGGAAACTGTGGTGATATGACGATATGACGTTTTATTTGAGTTGTCAAAATAAATTTATTTGATTAAACAAATTCAAACCTTTCACATCTTTTTTCATAAAACCTTCAATTCAAAAAGAACATGACACAGGAGTTCAAGATCAATGATGATGATCTCGTCATTATCCAAAATCATGCTTATAAGTTATCTAATCTACCCGCAGATTTAAAATTCCAATTAGTTCAAAAACTTCAATCCAACAATGATCAAGCTTATACCAAGCCTGATATATCAAAAATCTTCAATTTGAACGATTTCGAACCAATAGCTCAAAAATTATTGACACCTGAAACTTATGCTTATTATAGAACTGGTGCTGAAGATGAAATTACATTAAGGGAAAACCAAAAAGCTTTTAAAAGAATATATTTCAAACCAAGGGTGTTAAAAAGTGTTTCAAAAATCTCATTAGAAACAAGTGTTCTAGGTTCATATTCCTCTTTGCCCTTTTATATAACTGCTTTCCATGGTGCTTCATTTGATGGTAACAATGAAGGTGAGTTACCTCTTGCTAAATCTGCAGGGAAATATGATTTGATTCAAATGATTCCAGGATTAAGTACAATTCCTTTAAAGCAACAAGTTCAATCACATGGAAATGTGGAAGTGGACCAATGGTTACAAGTTTATCTCAGAGAAAGTTTTGATGAAGTGTTGGAAAAAATCAAAAAAGCAGAAGAAACTGGTAAAATTAAAGCTATTTTCTTTACTGTTGATGTTGCTCAATTAGGAAGAAGGGAACATGAATCACGTATACGTGATAGATCAGATTACGTTAAAGTTCCACAACTTGCATCTGATTTAAATTGGGATGATTTAATTAAGATCCGTCAATCTACAAATTTAAAAATTATATTAAAAGGGATCCAAAGTGTTGAAGACGCAATCAAATCTGTTGAACTTGGGTTTGAAGGTTTTGTCATCTCAAATCATGGTGGGCGACAATTAGATACAACTAGATCAAGTATTGAAGTTTTAGGAGAAATTGTCCCAGAATTGAAAAAAAGAAACTTGTATCACAAGACAGAAATATTGATTGATGGTGGTGTAAGAAGAGGATCAGACATTATTAAAGCTTTGGCATTGGGTGCAAAAAGTGTTGGTCTAGGAAGACCTTTCTTGTATGCTTTACAAACTTATGGTGAAGAAGGAATTTCAAAAGTCATTGATATCCTGAGAGAAGAACTTACTATAACTTTAAAATTATTGGGAGTTGTCAAATTGGAGGAACTTAACGAAACTTTTGTAGATACTATAGATTTATATAGAAATAGAGCATAAATGATATTGTTTTTTTAGGACGTACTATATTGGTAGAAAAAGTGGCGCGCTTTCGAAGGTAATAAAATCACAAATTTCAAAATTCAGCTCTAGTATCAAGAAGAAACCCATGCCACATAACAAACATACTGCAATTATATATATATAAAGGGGTCAACATTTGAACATTTGATTTTAGCCTGATGAACCTGTTTAAACCATGATTCAATTATAAGAACATTACTCGGTTATAATTGAGAAATATCCCCCCTATAAAATGTCAAAGATTGGTCATGTCCTATTAACCAAATCTAGATGGTATGAGCCTGACTCAACACCTCAAGAAAGGAAATTATTGTTCAAGTTAGACTTGATGATCTTAACATATGCCTCATTTGCATTCTTCACTAAATTTTTGGATGTGTCTGCTTTGAATAATGCTTATGTTTCTGGAATGAAAGAAGACATTGGTATGAAGGGGAATGATCTAACTTATGTTAATGCGGTTTATGAATCATGTTATTGTGTCTTTCAAATACCAATAAATTTATTGTTAACAGCTTTTCCAACCTCATATATCCTACCAGCATCTGAACTTGGATGGGGAATTGCAACATTAGGTACTGCATTTGTTCAAAATACCCATCAGTTAATGGCCTGTAGAGGTTTATTGGGATTGTTCGCCGCGTCGAATTATTCTGGATGTACATTTGTTATAGCCAGCTGGTATAAAAAGAATGAACGTGCTAAAAGAATGACATTGTTTTGGATTTCCAATCCAATTGGAACTGCAGTTGGGGGCTGGTTACAAGCTGCTATATATACAAATCAAAACTTAGCTTTGAAAAGTTGGAGAATTTTATTTGTTGTCTGTTCTTGTATCACTATTGTGGTATCAGTTTATGGGTTTATTGCGTTACCAAATCTGCCGCATGATATCAGGTCAAGGTTCTTGAGTGAAGAAGAGAAACAATTAGCAGTTGAGCGTGTTTCTAAAGAAAACATAGTTACAAAGAGAAAGCTATTAGACATAAAGTCTTTCGTGAAGTTGTTATACACTTGGAAAACTCCACTGTTTGCATTCCTATTATTTTCACAAGTCTTTTCCTATTATCCAAGTGGAACCCCATTTACCCTTTGGCTAAAGAGTCGTCAAAATTTGACTATTCCACAGATTAATAATATACCAACTGGTGGCAATGCGTTATCGTTGATCAGTGCTTTATTTTTAGGGTGGTATGCTGATACATTCGATGATAGATTAACGCCTTATGTGATTGCAACAACTTTTGCAATTATAGGAAATTCAATTTTGGTCAATTTTAATACAAGTGAAGGTGCCAAATATACTGCATTTTTATTTTTGTTCATTTCCCATGGTGTTGCACCTATATGGCAAGCTTGGGCTTCTGACTTAACTTCCCACAATTCTGAGTTAAGAGCATACTCAATAGCTTCAGGAAATGTTGCCAGTGAAGTTGGCTCATTGGTGGTTCCGTTAATTGTTTTCAAAGTTACGCAATCTCCACGTTTCAAGGCAGGATTTATATTCAGTTTGGTAATTTCGATTGCAGAGCTGTTTATAGCCATATCAATTTCATTCTTAGATAAGAGGTACCCAATTACAACAGATATTAATGATGATGATTGGATACCTTCAAGAAGAACTAGTGGTAGTATTTCTGTTGTTGAGTATCAGCAAGCCAGAGAAAAATGATTCATTTTAATTGATTGAGTCGTGATGGTACACAATGGTCCTAACTCCTAACCAATCCAACGGAATAATCAAGGCATCGAATACGAACCACACTCATTTCAGGGGTTTCAATCATTTTAATACAGATACAATATAACTGTTTTGAATTTTTTTTGTGATTACGGTTTTATAATTCCCACTCAGATCTGTATTGTCGCATTTTTTGTGAATTTATTTACATTATACCATTTTAACTACGTCGACGTAAAATTGTTTCAAATTTTTAATGTTCAACTGAATAATATTATAATGGATATATAAATTTCTTATTTTCCAAATCAGTTAAATCCAACATTGATATATCAACTTTTGTCTTAACTGCATCTCCATTAGAGTCAAAAGTTGTAACAAATCCATATTCATCTTCAATTTTCCCATCTTCAATGTCTTGTATATATTGTCTTCTTTGCTTATTTCTTTTATTCAAAATGAATCTTATAATTTGTAATGTCAAAGGAGCCAAGACCCAACATCCAATAATTTGAATAATCCAAGCTAAATAATATCTTGGTGCATCTTGTTGCCTCCAAAAATGCGGACAAACGAGACTTGAAATACAATATCCAATAGACCATGCAATTGTTCTAACAATCTTTTTAGAATATCCAGCCGCAGAGGATTGTGACCATGAGAATCCCATAATAAATGTATTTGCTGTACCTGCTGTCAAAAAAGTACCTGCAAGAATACCATAAGGTTTATTCAAGGGGACTGATACGGCAAGGAGACCACCTAACAACGCAAATAATGAAAACACCGAGCCGACATGAGCTGATTGAGTTTTGAATTTGACTAGAGCTAATGATCCAGCTATTGCAGATAGTACTGACCAACCTGATTGTGCCACTGAAACTAAAGTTGATTGTAAATTACTAAATCCTAAGTTTTTATAAATAATTGCAGTTTGAAAACCTAAACTTTGACACAACATTAAAAAGAATACAAATAACCCAAAAAGATATGTTATTGGGTCTTTTAAAGCTTCAACAACTTGATATCGTTTAACAGTTTTCTGTTCAATGGATGAATTTGTAACAGCTTTAATTCTCTTGATAACATGAATGCGTTCTTCCACTGTGAAATATTTATAAGTTGCAGGGTTATCAGGATAAAATAAATAACTTGAAATTGACAAAATTATTGATAATCCACCAATAATAGTCCAATAAACTTTCCATGGTCTCCAAGTTTCAACATGTAATGTACCATAAGCAATCAAACCACCTGTAACACCTTGACTTAACGTACTTATCCAAAAGATTGGATTTACAAATGCTTGTTCCACGGGTGGGAACCACATGGCAATTGTATGTTGGATACAAGGCGTAACCCCAGCCTCAGAAAACCCAAGGAAAAATCTAATAACAATCAAATGCTTATAATTCTTAGCTGCCAACATTGAAAATGTAGTGATTGTCCAAACAGCAGTGACACCAGTTATATACCAAGATAATTTAATTCTTTGAAAAATATAATGACTTGGAATTTGGGCTAATAAATAACCAACATAAAAATAAGTTTGGATATCATTATAAGTTGATTGAGTTAAGTTTGCATCCTCAAATAAACCTAATAAAGCAGCATAACTAAATGCATTTTTATCTAAAAAAAGTATAAAGTTAACAAAAAATAAAATTGGTAATATAATAAGCCAAAGTTTCCTTTTGATACGAGCTTCTAATTCAGGAGTTAATTCTCCTGCTTGTTCTTCATATTTTTTGAAAAGTTCTAGTGTAACATCAGCTTGTTTAGCATTAACAATTTTATCATCCACTAACTCATCTGTATCTTCCTTAGAATCTAATCCTTGAACTTTAATCGAAGTTCCAAATTTGAGATTGGTCACCGATGATATTGATAATGATCTTGACTCTTTTGACATCTTTGAGAGACCATTCCCTTCATATCAAGATATATGATAAATTTATTGGAATCCCATGGTTTTTAACGAACATCTCAACGATTATATGTGGCATACCAGCGCCACTGTGTCTAATAGAATTAATCTTGGAAGCAGTTTATCATCAATAACTCCACGATAGTCAATGCTGAGCTCTTTTACACAGTTTTCAGAATGTTTTATTCACGTTGTATTTTGGAAATTGAAGCGCAAAGCTTAAAAAGGGTTCATAACCCACCCACCATGCGAACATGCAGTAACCCAACTTTCAGGTCTACTTTTACCCAATTTTCGGTCTATAGGTCCATTGTTTTAGCTCCATCGGTCTACCTTTTAACGGTGTCCAGTCTATATACGCCTGTGATGTATTCTACTTGTAGCTCTGTCAGTGTATCCGATCTATATTAGTCGCACCTCTTTCAGTGTATACGATGTATGTATGTTACTTGTATCTCCGTCAGTGTGTACTTTGGTGCTTTTGTGAAACAAAGTATTTATATTCTTCGTCAGTGTATACAATCTATGTTACTCGTAGCTCTGTCAGTGTATACCTTGGTGCTTTCCTTTTCGTAGACAAATTTATTGATAGTCATCCCACCTCAAAACAGTGGCTCTATCCCTGGGTGTGTTCCTTGACCTTGGTTCGCTCGATATATTTTGTCTTTGATTGCTTCTCAAGGGAGCTTCGTGTATTCCTACTCTTGTGTATCCTCAACGGCTGTGTATAACGCTCTTCTTTGAAGTGTAGCGGTGTATGCCAAACTTCCACTGGGTATCTAGTTTTTTCCTCTTTGCGAATTTTTTTATTGCTGTAGACTTGTTTTTGTCTTTAGTGTCTAGCCTTGTTCTGGGGTACAGCTCGTCTGGGTGCATGGACGCTGGGTGGACTAACACTGGACGCTGGGAGGACTAACACTGGACGCTGGGAGGACTAACACTGGCGGTGGTTTCGCGAACTCTGCCTGTGGGCCTACCGACTCTGGGCTGGCTATTTAACACTAGGGTCTGGGACTAACCAAGTGGCTGGGTACGTTCTGGCTCGTATCTCAGCATACAACAATTCAATTGGCGGATGCTTATGATAGATGTTGTACTCATGAAATTCTCTATCTCTGGGTAGGGTTTTGGTGATGTTTTGCAATTTCATGGTTTTTTAATTTCGGAGATAAATACTACTACATAAAAGTATTATACTATAGACTATATTTTTGAATTATATATTTTTATGAAAAAACAAAAGTCTGATAATTGCTGGTTTATATAGCTTTATATGTTAATCTGGGTGTTTTATGATGATTCCCCTAACTATAATTTCATTTGGACTACTGGTTGCTGAGATATTCCACCCCAAAGTATTTCGGAGTTCCGCTGGTAGTTAAGAAATTGAAATCAATTAAAGCACATTTTCAAGTTAAGCCACTAGTACCTAGGGGTATAAACCCCTCCAGATATGATATATATCAAGTTTGGAAGAAATCTATCGAGTAATTTTCAAGTTGTGGTGCCTTAATATTTGCTCTCCATAGTTAAGCGGGGGTCGGCGCCCCATGGTGAAACATCCACTGCGTATTTCTCAGCGGGAACAATTTTAATGAAATCAGGGGCCCTCAATTACCCAATTGCACATGGTCAAGCACCCCAATTCCCCTGTCCATGTTTTAATGGTATTTTATCTGGGAAATCCTGCTTACGTAAGCGCCCAATTGACCCCTGCCAAATTCCCGGGCAAGCAATTAGTGGGCAAATTTTCAACGTCGACAAAAAAATGTAAACAAATACCAACAACTTTTATCAACAACAACAAACAACAAACAACAACAACAAAAACAACGCAAATAGTGTTTACTATAGTAAGTCAATTATTTCTGACCAAAGTTTGCACTGTTTATATTAAAAGTATTGAAACTGACACTGATTTTAGCTTAATGGAATGAGAGCTTATACAAAAAAATTCCATCGAATTTATTAAACAACTATAAATTCATTCAATTGATGATTTGGTTAATAAAATATCTCAAGATGATATGATTACAAATCACGGTGTCTTAACAGTGGCTGTTTTAATTTTCAAAAGATTGAGACCTTTATTTAGATCTGATGCATTATTCTTAGAAATTCAATTAGTTTCAGATAAATTTTCAGTCCCATTTTTAAATTTATTAAAAAAAGTTGATTCAGAAACAAGGCTCAATTATTAATATTGTTTATAATGTCTTGTTATAATTAATTAAAATTTATTATGATTTAAATTCTCAAGATATCCCAGGATTTTTTTGAAGATAATTTAAATGATGGTATTTCAATCATTCATAAATATCTCATCTTTTCAAATGATCTATTAAAACAACAAGATCGTGATATTGAAACTGTCACAAAAGTTAAAACTGCCATTTCAGAATTGATTCAATTATACACTACAAGATATGAAGATGAATTTGATCAATTAATTCCACAATTTGTTCAAAGTACATGGAATGTATTAACCACTACTGGATTACAATCAATTCTTGTAAGTAAATTATTATCATTTTTAACATCAGTGGCAAAATTACCAAAACATTATGAAATTTTCAATCAGAAATTACAGAAAAAATCATCATTCCAAATTTAACTGTTAGAGAATCAGATGAAGAATTATTTGAAGATGATCCAATTGAATATATTAAAAGTGATTTTGAAGGTTCAGATCCTGATACAAGAAGAAGAACTTCAATTGATTTCTTAAGAGAATTGAAATTTAAAAATGAACAATTAGTTACAGAAGTTGTTTTAAGTTATATTAATTTATATTAAATATCAATCATCTCCAGAAAA